GGGTGTGGGTTCCGTCATCATCGACGAAGCGGCCACCGCCGCCGGCACCGCCAGGTATGTATCTCCTTCTCTTTGGCGGCGGTTCGGTCTGAGGGACAGCCGAAGGGGTAGGGTGCTCGCGCGCTGATCGGCTGGGCGGTGGTGCGGGGGAATCGCCGACCTCGCGCGCAATGCGAGCGGCATTCGTAGTCCCCGGAGGACGTCCCCGTTTTCGACCGGTGGGAGGTCGGCGCGGCGTGGAAGGTTTCGAAGGCATGTTTGGCGATTGTTTTCTCTTGGAATTATGCTTCTTTTGATGGGCTATGAGGGGGAGTGTCAAGAATCACCGCGTCGGGAGGAGGTGGCGCGCGGAGTCGTAGTGCGGTTGAGGGAAGGGGCGGGGCATTGGCGAAACGGGACCGTGCACGTATCTCCGACACGCAACAAGGTTATAGTGTGAAAGCGAAAGTAATACTGGCTTGGAAACAAGTTGAGAAGGACATCAGGAGACGAGGTGATGTCGAACTTGCGGCTCAGAGTTACTCCTGCGAAAAACAGAGAACGCGTGAGGTTGAAACGCACGGACCTAGATACCATTGTTGGCCGCAGGGGCAACGCGCTATTAGTCATCTGCAGATGTAAGAGGCAGGGGGTGAATGGGGTTCGCTTCAGGTTTTGGGGGGAAAGCCATACCCGCATCCACCTGCACACTAGCGTCTTCTATATGACTTTTGATTGGATACGCTCCCCATTTTCCATATGGGTTTTATCAGATCGAAATGCCATTCCTGGCAGGGCCGTACGTAGTCCCCTTGTCGGCAGCTACCGTTTATCCTCCCCGGCCGTTGGCCGCGGTGACCATCCCATCATCACATCTTTACTTCTTAGCGCCTCTGCCCGTCTCGTCAGTGCGGCCATTGTCTGCTCGCTGCTGTGCATCATATAACCTACCCACTCGGTTGCCATATGGCTGGCTGCATGAGGCCGTCACGGCAAGCATGCAGGCAATGAGAGGTCCACCGCACATCTCACCACAAGTTTACATGTACCGAGTCATTTCGTTGAAGCTCAGACTCGATGGGTTGCACATCGCGACAAGACAAGAACGTTGTTCAATTCGGCCGAGAAGTGGGTTCGCACTATACATAATGGTGGCACCATGGCTAAGGCTGAGACTCGTCGCATCAGCACAAGATCATATTCCTTGCGCCATGGAACCCTCCTCATCGATCCAATTAGAGCCCCGTCGCACGCCAACGCAGTCGAGAGCCTTCTGCTCGAACGTCCGCAGTCACCAGACCTGCGACCGTTATTGATGGCACTGCAATCAACCCCGGATCTACCTCCACATTTCCGGGCCCTTTCTCGAGGCGGCCAAGTCGCGGCCAATGTGCCTTACCGCCCGCCCCCCCTCTCGATCGGACACCACTAATCCACCACCACATGGCCACCCTGTCCGGCAAGTCTCTGATCAGGGTTCCGATCAGCTAGATAAATTGCGGTCAGAGATCAGTCCAGACGCATTTTAGAGATCACGGTTCGCGAAGCCTTTTCATCTCACGTCTTTACCCATGACGTCCTGACAGCGTCATTCAGTCGTCAGTCGTCAGCCGTTGGCAACATGTATACCGTACCGGCATCGCATGCTTCTCGCTATTCTTGTCAAGACATGCCCTTTGGAGCGTTTGTTCCTTCGCTGGTAATGCGTTTGCGGGCGAACTGTGCGGTCCTTCGGTTGGCCCATCCCGACCGATCAAGTTCCCACACCACACCGAGAATATTCTCCGCGACTCAACAGGGTTGAAGATCCCCAGTGATCTAGTCGGTCGAGTGGCCCCAAGGTGGATGCGCTCGTCGTATTAATCAGCTGCTCTGTTCCCTTCGATCAGCAGACCCCCTCGTGTGTTTTCCGGAGTCCATCCTCGACAACCACTCACCCGATCAACCTTGCACCGAAATAATGATATCAGTGGGAATCACAACACTCCAGCCGAGCAGCACCATCTTGTTTAAGCCTGATGCCAATGCGTCTTTGCGATCGCCAAACACGATGGTCGCCTCTGGCGCGATCGTTATGAACAATGGAGCGCATAATTGCAGAGTTCACGGGACATGTCAATTACAGACCCAACACATTCACCTAGTCTTCGCAAGCGAAGTCATGGTCACCACCCGCTTCATCGGGTCGGTCTGGCAAGTCCCCAGCGGCAGTGGGGAAGCCTCCCGTCAGCGTCAGCGTTTGCACCCGTGAAACCCCAACTACATCATCGGACATTATCCTCACCTTTCACATTTCGTTTTCAACCCGTGTCGCTGGTCTCGCTTACCTTCAAGCGTAAGACGCTTTTGAACGCTGCGACCTTGGTCCACTAGCAGTCTGTCCAAATTGCTCCTGCTTCCACCTACACTATACCATCCCCAGCAATCGTCTCCTACCTACTGAATGGTGCTTGAGCATGAAGGTATCTCCCAGCCCATGCATCCTGCTCTTTCAACCATGGGAGGGTGCTTTTTTCAGGTGCTCTGCTCAATGGGTCCCCGAGCCTTTTAGGGGGTGGCATACATACGACAACGCTAGCATGACGAGTCTTGATGATGAAAGTCAGCGTTGCTCGCGTGCAAAGACGGTTCCAACGGCAACCCATCCATTAGGCGTCTTGCCCAAGCCTTGAAAACTTTCGTGTTGTGAGCCAGCGCTTAACAAATGTAAAAAATCTGTTTCGCTGAGATTTAGAATTCGGCTTCCTTGGTTGCCTCAAGCCACAACTCAGTCCCCGGTTGTCTTAGTGACACCCGCCTCCGTGGCCGGGTATTGTCGACGCAGAAATTTCAAGCCACTATACGGCCTGGGGTTCACCCAAAGATCCGGCTAATGTGCTTTCACTGTTGTTTCCCGGGGTTGACGTTGTGTCGAACTCATACATCTGGCTCGGGAATATGTCATTACCTACTCGGGATGATGCCAACTTCCTTTTCTCCACAATCATTTGGGTGAAGCCATACCGGCTCGGACGAATGCTATCGGGCCGGGGCGGCAGAATAGTCAAGAATCGCGTTCAGTCTCTCCCGATACCAACGACCGACCAATGAATGAGTCAGTGGACATGACCCCAGCCGGCACAACCTGCGCGAGTCGACAGACAACTCGTGCTCTTCCTGGGGGCCGATCCCGGAACGCTGCTCGACCCGCTCTGCCAATACGTCAAATGGAAAGTAGGGTTAGGCCAGGGAACCGCTCCTTGGTACTACACCTCTCCAACGTATCCCGATGCATGGCGGCTGCGAATGCATGTCTTGGTTCTTGGTGGTCATCGGGATAGCCCCGCGTGTACGGGCCACCGGTGTACAGAACAAAGCGATAATTGGTGGCAGTTGGTTTGGCGGCTTTTTTATTTCTTCTCTTGTCAGCTGTCTTGCAGGCCCCCCCTAGACGGCTCATACTGGGGGGCGGTTGTGATGCTCGGTTGCAGGGAAAGATCTCCGAGCTTATAAAGCTCCGAGTAAGGCCATGTCAGGGAAGTTTCATTAGCATCCGCGTTTCACTCCTGCCACGCCGCGCTGTCTGGCCACAGAGGCTTCTGCTGGAACACGGAAGAGCAGATGTCCAAGTCATCCGTCTTGGCTTGGAAATCTGAATCATCGCCAATCGTGGTCGATAACATCCGTCATTCATGCGGACCGAAACCGGACACCAGGTAATCTGGTCTTTCCGGTACACCTTTTTGTCATCGTAACCGCGCGGCACCGCCTTTGTAGCTTGCAGCGACGCCAACGGGTTGCCCCGTTTGATGTCACTGTTTGTGTTGCTTTTTGTCCCGATTTCTGACATCTAGCGTTTGCGACTGGGTTTGAAGGCGAACTTGCGATTTCCAATCATCTTTGCCCATGGATACTTCCTATACTACGCCTGTGCTTCTGGAAACTCACGCCTTCTCGCGCGTTATGACATCGGATTGGACTATCCGGGTTGCAATGGAAATACCAAGCATGCCGTCCCCTGCGGGGCCAGAGTAGGGAGGAACCTGCAGCCCTATAATCCATGTCTTCATACCACCAGATGTATCTGCTACCTCCATGAGGGAACCCGCTTCCTTTGATAAAGAGGTGATCATCATGTTCCCCGGTCTCAAAACGGCCTTTCCGAATCAATTGGGCGCTGCTGGGGGAGACACCCCTCATGCAGGAATCGCCCATCTCAAAGGGCCTGTTGCATCCATCGGTTCTATCATGGTGCCTCAAGACCAGGAGGGCTGGCCTACGAGACGCGGCGGCGGGTCACTCCGAAGACACCAGTGATGGATAGACGCCTTTTCCATGGATAACAAGTCAATATAAGGTTGTAAAAGTGGGCACGGCGACTAGATGCCCATGAGAGGACACGTAATGGTGTTCCCCGCGGTATGCCTTGCCGGGTTCCATGTTGTCATTCGATTCATTTTATTCTGCTTCCCGTATCTGTTCCCACGCTCTTTTGCACACGAGGTAAATAAATGATCGACCTCGGACGATGGACGGTGTGACAGATGATGCGCACCGCAGTAAAGCCGAAAGGAGGCCTTTTATCATGTAGGCCCTTATGGCTGACGAGCACAACAAAGTATCCTCGAGACATCACATGGAATCATCTTCAGCAATAGCTTGGGTACCTGTTGTTTTCATATGTAGTGGTTGTACTACGGTGACTCCTGTGGAATGCTCACCCGAAACAATACCATAAATCTGCCGTTTTCTCGTTGACTTACTCGCCTTACATACGCTTTTTTCTTATGCGTCTGGATTGGCTTCCGTTTTGATCAACAGTGACTCACAGGAGAAGGAGACAGAATAAAACAAGATGCACATGTTATAGGAGCGTGTAGATCGACGGACGGATCATAATCGAAGCGGTGCTTTGCCTCATGGCTGGCTTCGAGTTGCTCCTAGCACAAGGAAACAGACCGTACGCGCTCCCTCTCCGAATACCCTGCAGCGGCCACGCCACCCAGAGCAAGTGCCAACGTGTCTATCCGCCGGGGGCCTGCTTACGCTGGTCGATAAGATATCAAGGAGACACGAGTGTTCGGTGCGGTGCCATCGGCACCGGAAGGGCGAAAGGCAAAAAGCCCTCGGCAAAGAACGACGCCGTAGAACAGCCCCTCATTGGCGTCCATGAAACGCCTCCAACTGTTCTCAAAATCGAGCAAGGGCGTCATTTGGTACCTCGCGCCGGGGCGGGGCTCGGATTTTTCAGGATCGCTCCAAGAAACTTTCATCTCCGCCTCGACCTTTGCCCCGTTCCCACTTGTGTCGAGGATCTTTGCGATCTGGTAACGAGCCCTGGAAAACTCCGTCTTGTGAGGCGGGAAGTTGTTATCTGAAGAAACCAGCTCAGTCATTGGTGGCTCGAGGGAATTCGCTGAGAACATGCGAGTAGTGTACAGGTATTACCAGACGATAAAGCTTTGGTATATAATTCTATAATCTCAGTCAGTTCCTGAAGGTCAGAGTAACCGACTGAAACTTTTAGTGCGGATAAAGAATTTGGATGACGTTTCAGTCTGGATTTCAATGTCATCTGATCCCTGCTAGCTGAGAGGGTGAGCGATGACACTGCTTAACACAGTTGACTCGGGCTGGTCTGAGTTGTCATGTTCCGTATACCTAGCAATAGCTTAATCAAAGAGTAGGTTCTGTGCATCTTAAGGTGGTTATGATGTGGGAGGGGGGAGGTCGACGCCAGGGTTGAATACTCTCCTACTGTTCGACGAATAAGCAGTCAAATATCGACATTTATCCAGACTCAGCACGTGGAAAACAATCGTATGGTCCCGCCTCTGATCCTTTGTCGACATAGCCGTCAAGGACACGACGAAGAGGCAAAAGGTCATGCAAGACCAGGTTGAAGAGAGCTAGATCTCAGAGATAACGTCAAGTATTACGAGGCACAGTGGAAAGTGGTCAGAAAGTTTTCAATCAAGTATGCGTGTCATCATGTATTAGAAGTCGCCCACCAGCTTGTCTCTAAGACAAGTGCTCATCTACCATAATAAGAACAAACTACTATGCAAGCAAACTCATGCGGGAATTTTTTTTCGTGCCCCGTGATACTAAAAGAACAACACAGGCCACTCGAGATGTGTTTCCACCAACGCCAGCTAAGCCCGGATCCGCAATATGCGTAACTAGGAAGGAGAAAAAGAGGTCGACAAGTCTTGAGAAGAGAAGAATCCTGCACGCCCAACGTCACTCGCTTTTTACCCCTTCCATCCCTAGAGAGACCTCGTCGAGGTCGCGCCAAGAAACCAGAACAGACGTGAAGCAACAGGATCTATTGTGGCTTTCTACCCACCTTGGGCAGTGGAAACTGTAAGAAGGAAAATGCGGACACTGAAACCAGATAGCCGCCAAACCAAAAACGCCTCGTACGCTATGCTCTACCATGATGGGGATAAATGACCAATAACACAATGAGGCGGACGTGTATTGAATGTCCATGCTTGTTGCAGTGCGGTATGCGATGCTGCAGAAGGAAAATTCGAAAATGTAGCCCAATGGTAGAATAGAACCTCAAGAGGGGGGTGGGTATCATGAAGGGTATCATGTGTAAAGGGCGACTTTTTTTTTTTTTTTCGATTTAACCAAGGGTGCGGCCACTGTGGATGGCCGGAGGGTGGTGTGAGGTAGTCCGAGGGGTTGTGGGACTAGGTCGAACAGTCGAGGCTGGGCTGAAGTCTGGTACCGAGTATGTTGGCGGGCGGGAGGGATCCCAGCCCTCCTCACTGAGCACACTGAGGTAACCATTTCCAACCTTGTCCCGCAATGCCTCGATCTTCCGGCGGTATATCTCCCCGCTGACATCCCAGTCCTGAGAGTCTGGCGGGGCCTCACGGGTTGTGTAGATGGGTGGGAGCTCGGGAACCACGCTGGTATCTATGCGGGGCACCTCGGGCTGAGAGTTGGATTTCCGGCTATCGGAGAGCATAGCCGATGGCAAGGGAGGGATCTCTGGGGCCAAGGAGATGCGGTAGTTGCTGTCCGAACCCGCTGCAGTCACCGTGGCATCGGCGGCGAGAACCTTAACGTTCCCAGAAGCCGCCTGCATGACACCGGGCGTCACACTAACGGATGCATCTGTGGTCGACAGGTCCACGATTCGCCGCTTGGGTGTCTTTCGACGACGAGTGGAGCTAGTGTTGACTTCGCTAGTGACAGCCTTCGGGACAGGCCGCTCCTTGCGGAGAACGGACGACTCCTTCGGGATATCGTAGATGATAGCTGGCTTGCTCACGTCAACGGCAGGAATGACGGTGGGAGCAGGCTTGACGACCGGTACAGCAGCTGGCACCGGCGTACGCTCCACCAAGTATCTCCTCTCCGAGTAGGTTGGGCCGCTGTTGTCGATGACAATGTCCTCAGTGTAGCCCGGCGTCTTGCGGAAGAGGTTGAAGATGGTGATGCGGTAGTCCTTGTGAGTGCGGGTGAAGGGGTTGCCCTCGACCCAGATCTCCCGGATGTCGGGGATCCCGGTCAGTCTGGCAAGCTCCAAGGGATCCGACAAGCGGTTGTCTCGAAGGTCCAATCGCTCCAGGGGATACAACTTCTCCACGCCGGCGATTGATTGCAATCGGTTGGCTCGGAGGTTGAGGGCCGAGATAGCCGGGAGAGGATTGCGCGTCAGGGAGTGGAGCCCGTCAATCATGCAATGTGAGAGGTTGAGAGCGCGGAGCGCGGTGAGTGTGGCCAGACTGTCGGGAATCTGAGTAAACAGGTTTGACGACAAGTCCAGCGAGTGAAGCGTGTTTGCAAGGGGCACCAAGCTAGTAGCAGGAATCGAAGTCATCGAGTTGTCGGCTAAACTGAGGTGCTTCAGGAATCGCCACTTGGATGCTGGCAGAACGCCCATGTTGAGAAGGTTCGACGAACTTCCAACGCGGCTGTGGTGCCACGAGTCTGAGAGGCTGGAATGCGAGCTACCAGAGCCAGAGCGGCGGACCTTGTGTCCGCCCCTCATGTGCGAGGGGTTGCGGGAGCTGGCGGGACGAGTGGGCGAGTTGCTGCGCGGTCTTGATCCCTTGGGTGGTGACATGGCTTCAAACGTCTCAGTTCTAGCCAGGGAGGGCCGTCTGCCTTCGCCGGGGATCTCGTCAACGGCATGGTCATGTATGTTCATGGAGCCGATGCCCAAGTCACCGGTGGAGTGGCGCGGTTCCGGAGAGCAGGGCACCGAGGTCGACTTGTGAAGCTCGGCGTGCGGGATGACGGGACTCCTGCGAGGGCTGGAGCTCGCGGGCCAAGGCGTGGTGGGTGAGGATTGTTGCTTCGAGGTCCTCCTGCGTCTCTTGTCCATATCGTCAAGCACAATGTCAATGAGGATATCCGCGGGGTCCTCCACGCCGGCGCGCTTGAGCGTCAGCGACCTCAGCTGCTCGGCCAAGCGATCCCAGCCAAAGAATTGTCTAAAGTCGATGCTGCTCACTTCGAGGGCTTGCAAATTCTTGAAGACGTACAGCGGGACAGCCGAATCGAATGGGAATTCTTCGTAGCCACGGATCAGCCGGGCGCGCCAATCGGGCGCAAGTCGCAGGCAGGGAATCTTGGTAAAGGCCGAGTAAAGGTATTTCAGGTCGGCTTGGATGGCAGCCTTTTGTCGCTCGGTTCGCGCAGCCGAGATGCTGGCACCGATGCCGAAGCTCGTCCAAAGAGCCGACATGCCCGACATGACGCTTCGGACGCTGGACACGGAGTGTATGGAGCCAACATCGGAGCCTCTGCTTCGGGATCGCTGGGTGTTGCTCAAGAAGGAGACGTAATTGGCAGCGGTAGAACTATCGTGTAGGTTCTCGAGGCGAATTTTCATGGGGCCAACGGGAATGGCGAGTTCTTCGAATCGAGAAAGTAGGTAAAAAAGATGGTGTGGCGTCAGAGCCAGCTTCGCTGACTTGACGTTGTGCGAAGTAAAGTTCAAAGTGCCGAGAGAAAGGGCGGATGCGAGGCCGCTCGAGGTCGAAGCCGAAGTCGAAGGCCGTTCAGGGACGACCGGGGACTGCGGTGTGGGAATCGAGGCGATGGAGCTGACACTCTGAGAGGCGCCATGGCGAGAGGCTGCCTGTCTTCGGAATTGCAAGGCGTTGGCGAGAGCCTTTTCGTGCGTGCGCACAAAGCTGGCCAGTTGCTGCAGAGGGTGATGTTAGCACAACCGGCGCGGGAGGCTAGGCGGCGAGACCCAGCAGTAGAAACAAAAAACCCGTCGTCGCGAGTTGACGTACCTTGATGAACAACTCCCCGTCTTCCGAATCCATGATCAAGGACGCATCGAGGGCAGACGGAGTACAGGGGTATAAGGGTATCTGGGGGAGAGGGGTCGGGGAAAATGAAGGAATGGCGAGGACTGGCGTCTAAAATGGTCCGAGGACGTCTCTCGAGTATTGTATCGGATTTCGCAGGTAGGTCGGACGACGGAGGTTCAGTCGTGACCGGTTATACGGCAGCCTGTACTACAAGGGGTGTTAGTACGTCGTTGGTCCGTGGTCGGGCGTCTTGAAAGCAAGTGAGAGTCAGAAATCGGGGTGAAAGGTTATTGGGGAAGGGGGAGAAGCGCTGTTGCGACACTTTGCTTGGCAGCACAGCCAGGATGAGTGAGCATGCTGGTGAGAGGGGCCACAAGCGATGTATCCCGTTGCAGATGCCGCAGGAGCCGTCTTGTCTTACAAGGCAGGAATTTCGAGGGGAGAAGTGCAAGACGCCGAGGGCAACGAGGGCAGCCGAAAATGGTGAGTAGTGAACAGTACAGGCAAACAAACACAGGGCAGAGAGAAGAGATGTAACAGGCGACGATGCTAACAGATGTGCGTGCGGGTGCGGTGCGAGGCAAAATCTGCCTCGTTCCTCGAAAACGAGGCGACATGATAAGCAGGCGAGGTGGTGAGGAGTCACAAAAGCGAGGTAACAGGCTGGGCAAGAGGCAAAAGACGGCAGTGATGGGCCATGGTCCTGTGTTCTTTCTTGGTGTTGTTGTGGTGAAGGCAGACAGACCACGACGGCGCGGCCGAACAGAGAGCACTCACCTTTTGGGCGGGATAGATAAGAGACGGCTCACCGGCGACAGTGGCTCTCCTTCTTGGTGTTGTATTTCGCAGAGCTCCTCGGGCGGACGGGTGGGCGAGGGAGGTGTAGTCGAAAGGGACTGTCGGGAGAGTAGACAGCAAAAGAGGCTGGATATGTTGATTCGAGGTCAAGGAAGCTATTTCCAACCTCCTCACGACGACTCTGTAGAACACAGAGAAAAGGAGTGTGAGGAAAAACCGAGAAGGGTCTTTCTTGAAGGGAAGGGGGTGGTCGGACGGGGTCCGGGTTTAATAATAACAATGGTCGCCTACGGCTCCCCGATGGTTGGTGGTCCAGTGAACCCAGCGCCGCCTACCGTACCAACCCACGCACCTTGGCTCTCTGCCTCTTCTCTCTCTCTCTCTCTTTCTCGCTCGCTCGTGTCTGTCCTTGGAACACGCAGTACGTACCCATGCCGCACACACACCTCTCACTCAATTAACCCACCTGCATCCACACCATGAAATCCACAGATGCAGCGAAGAGAGACCACCAGCCAGCCTACCCTGACAGGTGACCCCTGCACCAGGACACCCCTGGACTGGGTGTCTGTCGACAAGACCCGTCGCCGTCTCCAAGGGTGGATATCGAACAGAAGCACAACCCTGACCCTCCTGGACTAGCATACCCCCAGCTGCCCTTGGACACTCAAGCGCCCATGGACGTGCTACCTAGTCGACCCTGCACGCTTTGTCCAAGAAGCGCCAAGGAAGGTTCGCCAGCGGCAGCGGTGATGGAATTAAGCGACAGTTGTTCTAGGCCGGGTGGGAGAGAGGAGCCTCTGGCTGTCAGCAACGGCAGACAATAGGAGAAGGGGAAGGTGCTTGTTCGCCGCTCTTGAAGGGTCGACAGACACTGGCGCGGAGAGGATACACAGAGCGATTAAGCAACTGGGGTCATCCCTGCCTTCTGTGCGGCGGGTCATTTGCTCAAAGCATAGCGAGAGCAGTTGGTGGGTTGGACGTGCAAAGTACTGAGTACATGAGGGAAAGAGCCACAGGCCATCTACGGAGTACATAGTAAGGAATATGCGAGATGGACCTTTCCATTTCGACTGCAACTGGGCTGGGGGGGGGGGTTCCTACTATTTTTTTTTATTTTTTTTTGGTCTTCTCCTGAATCATCGACTGGCGCTGGTGAGGCAGGGAAAGAAGGGGGAACTCACGATGTTTAGTTGCTCCTGCCTTCTGCCAACCTTTCCTGCCCCCTCCCTCCTTCCTGCCCATCCTCATCGTGACTCGCCTCGTTAACAGTCAGCCAATACTGGCCGTCGAGAGCGGTCTGCATGTGAGGTACTTGCCTTCCTGCACTTGCACCTGCACCTGCACTTGCAGACTCCGTGTGTTTCTGTTTTGCCTCTTCCCATTTGGCAGTCTTCGTCACAATATTTTTTTTCCCTGCCGCTTCTGCTGCACGCCTGTTTGACTTGCACCTTTGGCTTGAAGACGTGCATCGCAAGCGCAGCATGCGGCGACAGGGTGCATTTGACCATTTGATGGCTGATTTCGTTTGATCTTTGGCCCTGGTCTCCTGTCCTTGTCAATTTTTTCTCCTTCGTGTTCAGTCTCTTTCTCTCTCTACACTAATCGCCCCCCCCCTTGCCGCCTATCCGCATTCGTACTGCATGCATTTCCTCGAGAACAGACGATGGCCACGACTCGACTTTCCCAGTCTCGACTCGTCCATGATTGAATGCCGCCATCTCCATGTCCAACCCCCCCGTGAGAGCCCCGTTATCTTTCCCCTTCTCCCCTGGATAGGTGGTATTTCCCACATACATGGGCCATGCCGCCAACGTCTTGCGAGTTACGACACCCCTAAAGATGACATGCACGTATGTCCCGTATGCCGGCTGTGGGTATTTGGGATCTTGGCACCCTAGATACCTCTTGGTACTGGCTTTAAACAGATGGACTATACTACCTGGGAGCATCCAATCCGTCGAGCCCTCCGGCGCACGGCCGACCCGGCCCATCAGCCCCTAACAACAATCCCACCTCCGTTGTGTTCAATTCTCCGTGGCAGCAACGTTGATTGAGTCGAAACAGCCATCGACCAGAACCCCTTCCTCCGCCGCCACCTCCGCCGTTGCTTGTCTCGCCATTGGTGACCGTGGCGACGTCGAGCGGGCGTACGGCAAAGGACAGTCAGATGACACAGGCCGCCATGAGAAGGAATGGAACATTTGCGAAAGCACACGATTGTTCGCTGCAAACCGTCCGTCACCACTCACTAGTTGGTGGTCACTAAGACTGGCGGCCGATGAGCGGCCAGTGGGAAAAGTCGACGGTACGGTACTCTGTACATGCCAAGGCCACCACCTAGTCACCCGTTTGTCGCCGAGATTTCGGAGTTCCTTAAGGGGAGGGGGGGGGGGGGGGGGTGCAAGGAGGGGTTCGACCGACCAGTGATCCTGGCTTACGGATGGGGCTTGCGCTTGGCTCCAAACGTATGACAAGCGACCAGCAAGCAGCAGAAGGCACGAAGTATCGTACAGATGGACGACGAGGGGGGAGCCAGCGATGGAGTGAGGGAAAAGAATCAAAGAGACATGTCTATGCCCCCCCCGAACGACATGGCATCTTCGGCCTCGTTCCCACAGTCGACCGGCGAGTCTCACTTGGCTACTACTGCATGGACTTTGTTCATTCCGCACGTCGCCTTCTCCCCGGAATTCGTCAAGTCACCAACAATTACCTATCTTACCAGCACGGGGCGCACACAGACTCTCCGGATTCTGTAGCTGTCGCATTCCTAGCACACGAGACAATCACATCATTGCGACTCGGTCCGGATCCAGCGCATTGGGATGGCCAGGCGAATGCGAGCAAGCAGCGCGGGCAGCGCACCGTCCATAACGTCGAGCAAAGGCCAATTCGCCCGCTACTCCCCGGCGGGTTCGGCCTCGGGACCGGCTGGTGCGCATTTCCACCTCATTTCATTCATGCGAACTAGCATCAAGGATCTCGGACAAGCCAGTGAGCCGGCGAGCCAGTCCAACCGCCAATTGCCGTAGTACTCCGTAGACTATTTCATTTTCTGCAGTGTACGCAGTAGCGCACGTGTTGTTCCCCTTGTTTACTTTGGACCGGGGAAAAATATTGTTTTTGTTGACGGGTTCGCCGCCCTTGCACCGCCGACATCTAGGTAGTTTACGTTTGGCAACATGCCTGGCAGGAAAGGGCAAGGCCAACAAGAAAACGGGCCGTTGATAACGCATTCCAGCGACCATGGTCGTCTGCTCGTCATGCGCATAACATTACCGCAACGCCGTTGCCCATCGCGATGGCTGGTATGTTGTCTGATGGCCCAGCTCCACGTCGACAATGCGATCCGCTGCAGCATGATGCCATTTCAACATCGGGTAGCTAGTGTGTTTGTACGTGTGTTTGTGTGCGTGCGTGTGTGTTGTTGTTGCGGCCCCTCTCCGACTCGGACGCGACAACGCGCAACGAGGTCGCTTGGGCTGCGCGTCGTGGGCCGCATCGCAGCTCCGTGCCGGTGTTGACATTAACATTGTCGGCCGACTCAATTCAATAGTGCGCAGTGGGCAACGGCAAAAGCAAAGCGCGGTAAGATTGCAGCGGCTCAGAACGTCCAATAATGCGCATGGATTGTCACGACGACATTGGATCGTGGCGGAGACGGTCAATCTCGTCTTTCCCTCGCCTATTCCGCCTGCCGGTCCACTCGAGGCCCCTCCATCTCAGCACGGTCATCCCATGTCTTGCACTAAGGGACCCCGGGCAAATTTGCACCCTGCAAGCCACCAGAGGACCCTCCAACTTTCCTCCACCCCCTTCCCTTTCGCTTAGCGGTGGTACAGTACTACGTGGTATTCCCCATACATAAACCATGTACGGATAGTGGTAGTTGGTACACATAGGAGACGGATGAGGAAAATCTGCATCTCACCCTCCCTGCGCAAGGAAACCTCAGCGGCCGGGATGGTTGCTACGTCCGTGCGCGGGCGCTCGTCAGTTTTGGAATCGCCAGACGACCTTTGCGCAGGGAAGTCATGGAATCGTCGGCCAGCACTTGCCAGAAGGAGCGTTGGACCCTGTCCGTTTCTGTCAATTACTGCCAGTTCCCCCGTCTAGCTCTGGAGCTTCTCCGATCATCGACAATGCATCCCCATGAAAGCCATATTTGACGGCTGCTATCGCTGCTATCGCTGATAATTGGAATGGGGTACCGTATAGGAGGCACTATCGCACGTTGCAACAGTAGAGAGGAAAAGGGGGGGGGGGTCCCTACTTCACCCGTCATGCACCGTTGACTTTTCGTTCTCTCCGTGACAATCGCTGCTTACTGTTCAACATCAGGTATATGAGCCTCATCAGCTCTCCTCCTGCGCACGTCAAGCCGTTTATTGCCTTGACGTCAATGAGGTTTGCACGTGCCGACACAGATAGTGGTCGTGTATGGAAATAGGTAGACGGCTACGACGCTGGGGCAACTTGGAAGTAGCTTTCAAATATTGCCGCCTTGCCGTCAATCTATCCGCTTCTCCGGGTTCCGAGTGTCAAACACATAGATTGGATGTTTGCCACCGCGAGTACGCATTTAGCAATTAGCTACATGAAACCTGGGGCAAGGGAACGGAGAAAGAATGAGAGAGAGAGAGAAAGAGAGGGACAGAGTAGAAAGGAAAAGGGCTGAGAAACATTCCCCACGTCGATCCATTTCAGATAGGCATTGCGCCTCAAACCCCAAACTTGGCCGGTCCAAAATAGTAGCATCTTTAGAAACAACCTACCTACGCCCGGCATCGCCGTTATCTCTACAACGGAACCCCCTCCGCGAGGCTAGTCCTAAATCCCGTCGTCCCCATCGGACCCGACTTGGACGCCATGACGGCCGGCAGCTGCTAATCCAAGAACGGCCGCCGCCTACCTACCTATGTCTCTCATCCTCCATGTCGGTAATCTGTGTTTGGGACGCTAGCAGCGCTGCCGATCGCTCGTTTGATAGTCGCGTCCATCATCTGTTCCGGGCCGCGCAGGACTCGAGAGATCTGCCTTTTCCTCCTCCTCCTCACGTCCGATGCAGAAGCCACAGGCTTTGGTTGTCGTTCCCCCACTGGTTTCCGCCCGCCGATCCCTTTTCGGCTCTTCTCCTACGGCGCTTGCTTGCAACCAATTGTGGCGCCGGTCAGATGGATCGTGGCCTCGTTGATGCCCCCCTCCCTCCTCACTTTCCCATGTGCTATTGTATGCTTGTACCGATGACAAGCTCGCAAATGATACCTCCTTCCCCCCCCCCTCCCCATCCATCTCACCTTGTTTTCTCCCGCCTTCTGCCGCATGCATGCAACGAGTCGACGCATCACACACACATACACAGCGGAAGAATACTGGATCCAGCGACGGCAGAACTGGGCGTCGAACAGCGTTTTCCCGTCAGTATGGAGTCTAATCCGGCGGGGGGGGGGGGGGGGGGGGGGGGGGCAAGCTGCATCCCAGGACGCGCGCAATGGGCAACAATTATGTCATACCTCCACCAGCCCGTGGTCTGCGATGCCTCCTGATTGGAGACCGCAGCGATACTCTTCACCATCATCCCTGCAGACCAGCCGGGCGACCCCAGCTCACGGGCTTCTTCAACCCCCACACTTCACTCGCAGTGGCCTTTTTTTTTTTTTTTTTTTTGCTTCTCTTTCGTCTCGACACCATCTTGGAGACAAGACAAATACTGTGTGTGGATGGCATCTCATCCTTGTCCCAACGCCTATTCCCATTCTAGGCCATACCTTGTTCACGATCACCACCGTCATCTTGAACCCCTCCTCTTCACCCCTCTACTGCGCTGCGCTATGCATCGACGCATCAATCACATCGCCCATGCCCGTGGGAAAATGGCACTTGGATGGTGACAGATGCGTGTGGAACATCTTCGTGCAGCCAACAACACACTAAAGTACACTACCTGTCAACACCCTGGTCATCTCCAGGTAACGTCGACCGCCCATACGTTGGGCCTGTTTTCCCACGTCTCCACGACTGCGCTTCACCTTGCTCTCTTTTTCTCCCGCTCCCACTCCTCGTCGTCGTTGTCATCATCGTGCAGCATGCTCTTCCGTTTTGCTTCGCTGTCGTTGGTCTCCGAGGGCCCGGGATACTTTACTGACGCGCCGTTACATAACCCCCTCCGCTCGGCATCCATCATTGTGGACTCTTCGCTTCGCGGCAAGGGGGAGAGATGCATCGGTCAAGCGCCGCTGCCGACGCCTCACTCTGCGAATGGCTGCATCGTGAGATTCGCGACAGTCCCCTTGACGTATCGAATGCACCCAGCGCCCGCCTGTGACTTCTGGGAGCCGGGGCGGTTAGCCCGCATCTGCGACTCTCTCTCACCCGGCCACCGCCCGCATCCGTCAGTGCGGAGCAGCATCCATGTGCTGAGTATAGCCACGTCTTCCCCGCATTCCTGTAGGTATTAATCCGTCGTCTCGCTGGTCTCTTTGGAAAAGCTTCTCCCAGGCACATAAGTCCGCGCGAGGGTAAACGTCTACCTACAGGGTGGCAGGGGTAAGTTTTTCCCCCCTATGATGTTATCCCCCATAGATGACATCATGATAGAGGGGGAATATTCACCAAAAGTGAAGTTCTGTATCAGGGGGGTGAGCATTAGTTACCTAACAGGGGGAAAAAACTTCGGCCGGATACCATCGTACATGCTAGGAGGAACAGAAAAGGGGGGAAGAGTGGAAGTTGGAGAGCTAGAATGCCCGAGGTAAACTAGCACAGGTACTCTACGTCTCTAACAAACACGAGTGGCACTTGAAGCGAGCTCCTATGCCTATAGTCTTCCACAGAGACGTCGGTCTTCAGGGGCGTACGTCTTCCATTGGGAAATGGGACTAGGTATCTGCACCTACACCTAGGTAAGTACCGTATACTGAGGTAGGCTACACCTCTTTCTCGGCAACGTTCGATTGGCCTCCCGGTTAGCATCGTCCTGGCTTGGGGCCGCAAACGTCGGTCAGCCAACGGGAGTGCACGGCCGGCCCATCTCGCGCGGGTGGTTGCAGCACCTCGGTGCGTGAGTCTCTAGAGACGTCGCTCCGAGGTAGACGCTACAAAATGCTAACATGTCGACTTGGACTGTTGCGCGGGTACGGGTACACTACACACCCTGAAGGGCTAATACTGTGCATCCACTCTCCATGAGCGGCGAATTGGCGACCATCTTCACCCCCATCTCTGGCAGTCCTATGGTCCTCTGCCCTACAGGCTACGCTTGATTTCGGCGCTTCCCCTCAATCTACACGCTCCGTGCCGTGGTATGCTACCTGTCATCGTGCACGATGAGTCTCTCTCACTTTTCATTTACACCGGCACCAAGTGTGCGCCTTCGTGTCGCCGTGTGCCCCTCACCGCTCCTCCGAAGGTTCGTGAGGAATGGCCTAGATCCAGGATGAAATATGAGGCAAACGCATGAACGGCAACGGCGAGAATGAATCGCGATCGCGACGCCGTGTCTCGTGTAGTGGTTGCCAGACGCATGCAAACCTCCCCATCGCAGCAAGTCGCCTGGGTAGGTAGGTCGAGGTCGGCTTGGACGCCATGTCTCCGTGCGCGGGAGCTGGACTTGAGCATTCATCATGTGCGCGCCGTTGGACCATGGCGACGACGAGTCGGTTCACGGCCCCATACCCCTCCTCCTCCTCTTCCTCCTCCTCCTCTTTCTCCTCCTCCTCCCCCTCCCCCTCCTCTCTCTTGCCCGCCATCGCACACGAAAGACGGGTTCGTCTGACGGTCATGTCTTTTTGGACGTGTTGGACGGAGATGGGGAAGCGGGCGAGGTCGGAAGGCGTAATCGCAAAAGTAGCGAGTCAGCCCCGGAATCTCAAGTGTTGCAGACGTTGCGCTGACCCAGGTACGAGAGAGGCGATCATCAGGCACTTGAGGCTCGTCTCAGGCATGGCTCTTCTCCGGGGGGTGTTTGTTTCGCCAGGAGGCGGTGGAGGATGCAGGTGGTAGTATCTCGGGGTCTAAGGGTGTGATGGAGGGTGCGGGTTGGCAGATGCCGTTTCCTCATTCGACAACCGCCCACCCCCCGACAGTGAGACAAGGCGCCAGACCCGACTAGGTCGCCTGCGCATGCGGCGCTCACAGTCGCGCGACCTGACCTGCAGGCGCAGGAATCATTTGACATTCAGGCACTTCTCTGCATTTAGCTTCCGCGAGGGCCACCCGAGGTCAGACACCGATGGCAAAAACATCACCCAGGCGTGACAAGAGGCAGAGAGAGAGAGAGAGAGAGAGAGAGAGAGATGGTAGTTGTGTTGCTGTGCCAAGCTGGCAGACAAGCCAGCAAACAACGGGAATCCTAGAGGCAGTTGACGACGACGGTTAACCACCGAGCTCGCAGCGGTTCCGAGCCGGTTCGGACGCCAAGGCCCTTCTACCAGTGAGGAGTGGCGCTCCTGCGCGCATGTGGCTCCCTACTTGGCTCGGTGCGTGCAACGACGGACACACCAATGAGATGGCGGACATGCGAGGCTGGATGTCCGGAGGAGAGACTGGGGCGGCGGCTGACTCGCTGACAGGGCACGATCGGCCAGCTGTGCGATTCACGTTTGAGCGTGAGTCGTTTTCTTCTAATGCCTTCATAGTCGAGCGAGCGGTGGCGGCAGAACATCCGTCGATCTCGCCGGATCAGGGCGTACTAGGTGGCTTAGGTAGGCTTCCCGTGAGCGACCGAGTGCTGCAGTAGCGAGACTTGCAACTCGGCATATCGACTGCCATGGGAATCCCGACGAGTCAGAAGTAGCGGATGGGGGGGAGGGATTCGACAAGCGCGCGAACGACATGTCGCTAGAATTCCCAGCATGCCAACCGGAAATATGATACGTCGTCGTTGGGACGAACTCTGCGCACGCCGGCGGGCCGTGATGACATAACAAAAGCATGATGGTCTGGACGGACTATCTTTGTACATGCCTACCTACCTACATAGGTACCTAGCGTCGACGCCGACCAGCACTACTGCGCCTCTGCCACCAACGTTGCTCGTAGCCGCTGCAGGAGCAGACGGTTTGCTCTTGCTGAAGCTGACAATGGGTGACACGAATCTGTCCGTCGGTCGGGGGGGTGGTGCCCGGATGACGGACGACGGAATGGAATTATCGCCGGTCGTTGGGTCGGCGCAATGAGGATCCAGTATCCGGGCGATCCTCTCTTTGTTGTTGCGTGAGCTACACCGTACTCCGTACTCCTATCCATGTCCCGGGAATCCTGGCAAAGAGACGGGAAAGTTGGACAACGGCGTCACTGACGCTCGCGCTACATGGTTTAAGGTGGGATTTCCAAGGGGGGCAAAAGAAGAAGAACAAGGCTACTTGAACCCTGAAGATCTCCAAGAGAAATGCCATCTACCGAGAGCTGGAATCTTGGGCAACAGGAGGCACATGCCACTCTGGGGTCATGGGGAATGAGGAATGTTGGACAGAATGGACGTTTGTCATCTCACTGGCTGCTTCGCTCGACAGGGGTTACCAGGTTGGTCGGGCTGGGGAGCGATACGCCTGTTCAATGCTCACCGCTCGTCGAGAGAAAATCTTTGCTTTTTTTTCGCCTCCTCCTGCAGGCTTGTGCACCTTTTTTTTTTTTTTTTTGTCTCTCTCCCCTTCATGCAAGCGAGACTGCACAGCAACCGCTGGATCAGTCTGTCCGCTTATCGAGTAAGCGGCGCTATCACGAAATCGTCCTAGCACCGTCGGTTGTGATGGGCTGGAGGGCGGTTGACGGTACGGTACGTAGTCGATTACTAAACCTATGCAGTAGGTATCTCTCCGGTGGTCCGTGCTGCTATCTGCTCGCTCATGAGTAAACGGCAACGAGGCAGCAAAAGGAGGGGCATCTGGACCCTGGAGCTCTGCCCCTCGATCTCGTGGGGGAAGTCGGCGAGGTCAGTTGGCGGCGGCCAACCAAACGCCCTTCCCGTCTGCACCTGCACCACGCAACCCGAGTACGCAAGACCACCCACATACACATACGCCCGCAAATAGACGCGCTCTGAATCGTCGTCGCCTTCTCTGGCACGTTCCATCCACCTTCGTCCACCTTCGTCCGCCTTCGCGAACTCAACGGCCGACGGCACGCACTGGCTCTCTCTAGCCCTGCCGCCGATGAAACCCCGCCTCTCCTTGAGCTGCCTTCATACAGACACTGGCGCGACCGTTGTACCGAGAGCATCATGTCCAATTGGCCTGGTCCAGCATTCTGTGACATGCCAGTGTTACCGTGTGCTTTGGAGGACACGCCGTTTCTGCCACTGCCGAGATCTAAGTCCCGCACCCACTGGATCTGATGCCATGCTCGCGATGCTGACTTTCCCAGTTTCTTATCCTTACATACGGAGTAGTAGGTAGTGCTAAGGCCGCCTCTAATCGGATTGGGACCCCCCCCACTGCTTCATCTCGGATGCTCTGCACCACATATCTAAGGGGTTCATGTCGAACCCTGGACCTTGTCTTGCGCTACTCGCCCATCTCCGCTTTCGCACGTCAAAAGACCCAGTCGCAGCCATGTTCTTTGCTTCCTTTCTGCGGGTATCGTACACTATGGATTGGCACTTTAGACCACTATGAGCTGATTGTCTATCTGAACGTTTACGCAGGCGCCGTCATGTTACAGTCGAGGCTTGCGAGCAAGCTCATCGATGCATCCATCGCTTTGTGCTCGATACACCGTATATGCTTAACCGCACGACTGCGCCGGGCACTTTTGGAAAGATGGGTCGAAGGAAGACTCGCGGAACCGGTTCCCCCCCTCGTCGTACTTGCTCACGCAATATCCTACACCGCAAGTGCGAATCGCGTCGTTGTGTGTGCACGACTCTGCCTCGACGGTGGTGCAACCAAACTAAGTCACATGGCACTCTTCCTGGGTATGCGGCAGTACAGAGGAATAATGTACAGATATGTCGGGTTGTACCGGTCTACCTTTCGCTGTCTCGTCCCATCTGCCTCGACAGGGAGGAAGCGGCTATGCAGTCGGCCAGATCAGACTGCCTCAACGGGCCTCTTTGATGTCGGCGCCCGGAGCCGCCATCTCGGAGGGTGGAGAAGGCGATCGAGTCCTGTCTGCACGTCCCCTTCGCAATTGCTGGCCCCGTTGCTTGTTTTTGGGGGGTTTCGGAACCCGCCCTGTGCTACGGATACCAAATTTCGAAATACCTAGTGTAGTCCAGCATGGCGCAAAAGTAGGTAGAGTGGCCCACTCAATCCAGTGGGGTCAACATCGGCCGAAACTCATTGTCTGGCGACCAGCCCCCGACTGTCGGACGAATCGACCGAGGGGCGATGACGGCATCGTTCGAAATATAGAAAAGGCGGGGTGGACCAAGAATGCCAGAATAGGACGGTAGCGGGGTTGTAGGAAAGGCCACTGGCGACCGTTGTTCTCCTTCGTCTGCTTCAGAGAGGATTATACCTCAACACAACCAATCCCACGCGCGCGGTGAGGGGGGAGGGGCCTCTTCACACCGCTCAGCAAGCGCCCGGCGTTCGCCTTTTCCCCCCTCAACCAAGTTTTCTAACCGGTTGCTGGTTTCTTTGGGAATGGCCTCACCTAAAGGCCAAACCCCTCCGCTTTGCATCTATGCCCCTCACTCCCTTGCGTCTCAAGACAAGGCGATCGACGGCTCCGTGTCTGGGACAGGATTAACTTCCCGTCCTGCGCCGTGCCGCGCTGCAGAACACTTGCAAGCCGTGCATTTTTCTTCAGGTGTCTCTCCTTCCCTGCCGCCTGCGCACCCTCTGGGGGAGATATTTGTTCGTTGCCCGTTGAAGGTTTTCCGACGTGGCCTTTTGGCAGGCAGGGATAGCCTCGCTGCCTCGCCGCCTCGTCCCCTAGCTCCGTAAAACTCGAGGCTGACTGACCGCCACAGATCGCCAGCAACCGTTCTCTCAGCCAGACCAACCTGGGTATTCCATCCGTCAAGGTGGGACGCGTGGTCAACTAGGCCAGCCAACTTGTTTTTTTTTCTCGGACCTTATCCCCCCCTCCCCTCTTACATCTTCACCCCGCCCTTGATTCTAATCGCGACCATGACCGATCCCGTAGGCCTTTGCTCGATTCGCATCCGCTAAAGAAACTCGTATGTGAGATCGCTAGTTGACGCTTCGTCCACGTATCAAACGGAACTCGCCTTCTTTCCCTGCCTTCCCTTCTTCCATTCCCACAAAATCCCATCCTCTGGGTCCATGGGATATCAGGGAAGTGCCGTGGTCTTACCCCTCTACCGCTTCCAGTGAGGCTGGGACGGAGTCGGCTCCGCGCGCGCACTGGTGTAGTGTACTTTCGGCTTTGCCGCTCCCTTCGACGCACGCCATTATAGGCAGGCAAGGACAAGGCAAGACATCGTGGGCTGCCAAACTTGTCGTTGTCGGTCCACCGCACAGTACCGTGACCGATGATCAGGGGGGGGTCACGCCAAGACAGGAGTCGATCAGGGGCATCATGCCGATCCGTGCTTTCTGGGTATCTCCGGTCTGGGTGGAGAAAGATATGAAAGCGTCCAAGGAGAAGCTTCCTACGATGTATGGACGGGCGGGCTGGTCAGCTTGCTGGCGAGCACACACGCCTCGCTGGCCGAGGTGGTTCAAGTCGCTCCTGCCATGTTTTCTCTCACCACTTCTGCGGCCTTGGAAGCGGGACACGAACAGGGGGCCGGGCGCATCTAGGGCTTCATCGCTCGAATGGCAAGCCGGTCGGCCCCAGGCTCGGCAAGGCCCCGATGGCTGTGGGGGATCGACGATGCCGTCGATGACTCTGCTTATGGAGTCGATGGCGCCCGGGGAGGGTAGCGGGGTCATGGTCGATTGCGCTTTACGTCTGTATGTGTTGTAGATCTATCTGGCTACCGTGGATATGTCTCGATTTTCATCGAGTAGTGTCAGTCGAGGCGTGCTTGAGGACTGCGCTTTGCTGATGTGTAAGTGCTTGCCTCTGACTTGGCTAGACTCGCTCCGTTCTGACGGGTGACTACGACCGTACTGCCCGAGGTTTGTCTGGTTGAGAGGGACTCTCCTGTCTTCCACAGTTCGCTGAACCGAGGATTGTGGAAACCCCTTTGATGTTGTCGCGATATCTCGCAACCATGGCTCGTTTGAAAGGCCACAGGAGTGCTTGTCAACTTTATATTCGTCTGTGATATCTGGATGGCTATGACTCTACCCATACTCTACAGGAGGCCCTCTACGGCCCAGCTGTTGTGAAGAAACTCCCTTGCTCCCTTTCCACAAGCTACAGGTGCTCGTGATGTGGTGAGCGTAGCCCCCTCGCCTTTTCTACGATTGTGCTCGAGAGCGCACTAATGTCGATATCCAAGACCATGATACAGTAGTTTTACATTCGCCGTTCGAGGAAACACGGCGCGGGGACTCGTCAACTCCTCGAAGAGAACCCGCCTCCTCTCAATGGGCATATCAAGCCCCGATCTTGACCAGGCGGTCGATGGCGCGCCCGTCATCGAGCGCCCACCCGGACGCAACGTCGAGCTTGAGCTTGTGGCTGCCGACCTCCATCTGCATGAACCCCTCCCTGGTGACGGCCCTCCTGATGCCGTACCACGCGGCCCGGAAACCCTTGCCGGCGTGGCGGAACGGCACTGTCATGAGGTGGTTCTTGTCGTACTCCCACTCGGCGCGGGCGCGGGCCTGCTCCTGCCGGGCCGCGGCGCGCTCCCGCGCCGGCGACGCGTGCGACGGCGCCGCTTGCGCGACGATGCGGCCGGGCATCGAGACCTGTTGGGGCGGAACGACGAGGACCTTGGTGCGGCCCGGCAGCATGCGCTTGCAGGTGATCTCGAGGTGGATCGGAGTCGTCTTGGGGTTCAGCGCGGCGCCGGCACCGGGGGCCAGGCCGCGGGCGTTTGGCGCGAGAAGGGCGGTGGGGACGGCGCGGACGAGGCGGACAATGTTGCGGGTGTTGTAGAAGAAGTAGGAGCCGAAGCCGGCCATGGCGAGACAGATGACGGCGAAGGCGTGCGGGACCCAGGCGGCGATGTCCTCGGGCGGGTGGAGGAGCATGGTGTAGTAGTTGATGCCGGCGTACGAGTAGAACATGAGCATGGCGGCCCAGGCCGAGAGCTTCATCCAGAAGTGCGAGCCGGCCTCGTACAGCACCGTCGGCTGGCTGCGCTGCGCGAGCTGCGCCGTCAGGGCGTAGGCGGAGCCGGCGGACGACACCGCGGCGGCGGGGGAGACGGTCCTCGTCGGGCCCGGGGCGGTCGGTTTCGGTTTCGGCGTCAGGGTCTTCGGGGCGGTCGCGGCGCGAGGGACGCTTGTGGCTATACGGGAGGAGGAGGGAGGTTTCGCGGCGTGCCGTAAGGCGGTGATGGAGCCGAAGAAGCGTCGGGAGAAGGGTTGGAGGGGCTGCGGTGTCGCGCAGAGGGGGGCGGTTCTCGGGGCCAAGAGGGAGAGGCCCAGGCCGAGGCCTCTCGCGAAGGAGGCCATGGTCGGGGTATCGCAGTTTCGAGATGCGGCTCGAATGCACGCGGGAGGAATAAGAAGGAAGTGGCCAGATGCTGTCTTCGTGGCGGGTAGTCGTGGTTCCAATTGGTACGCGGACGCTCTGTCGGACTATGTACGCGGCGTGAAACAGCAGTGACTTTTTGGGGCGGGAAACTGAAGCTATCCAAAAAGTTTTAGTGGATCACCCGTCCGGCGCGCCGGGGAGAGGAGGGTCCTGCGACCGGAAAATGCGACGTCCTATCTGCGACAGGGGGGCTTCTTTCGGAGGGCGGCGCAACAATACAACGCTTGGCCGGTAGTTCTACGTAGGTAGGCAGGTATGTTGATGTGCTTATCCGACTGTATTAGAGTATCAGTACGGAGTAGGAACCTGTGCGAACTTACGAGGATACGTACCTTACCTGGCAGGCAGATACGTATTGGTCACCGTCATCCAATGTAACAGGCACTGAGGAAGGCTAGCCGGCCAATCAGGTACGAGACTACCGGCCAGTGAAGCCAACAAAAATCCGCGCATCTGTCAGTCCGTTTTTCCTTCCTTGGTCTGTGCGTCAGCGCGAATAATCGGCGATAAGCCAGCCACAGGGCCAGCCAACGGCCGGTCCCCCCAACAAGGCGTGCGTTACTGCTGGGAGCTTTGGGGGTGAGCTCGACAATTTTCCCACCCCCTGCTGGGTCCACGCCGCGAAAAAAAAAAAAAAAGATTCCCGGACTTTGGTGGTGTGCAGGCAAAGGCCAATGCCCGAAATCTCAACCCACTCTGCGCTGCTTGCTCCCTTTTTCCTCCGAACCTTTTCGACAGGGTATCACGAGAACGACATCCGACCTCGCCCCTCCTCCGCCCTCCTTCCCTCCGACGACCGAGAGTCAATTGAGGCTCATACTTTCCCACCCCGGGTCGACGGTTCCGCCAAACGAGAAAAGAAAAACAACGACGATAAGATGGCTTCCCTTGCCACGGCGGCTCGTCTCTCTGCGAGGGTTGTCGGCCGGAGAATACCCGCAGAGTCCACAGCTCGAGGTCCGTAGATTTCACCCCCCCCCAGAAAGAAAACGTGCAACTGCAATGGAATAAGAGAAAGAAGAACAAGGAGGAGGAAAAGCTTCCCTCTTCCCTCCCTTCCCTTCCTCCCGGAACCGCACAGCAAACAGACAAGGCAAGAAGAAACGGGGCTGACCACGTCGACTGGTTGACGAACAGGCTTCCGGACCTCAGCACGATGCCTCGCCGCGCAGAACTTCACCATGCCCGCCCTCTCGCCGACCATGACGGAGGGCAACATCGCCAGCTGGAAGGTTAAGGAGGGCGAGTCCTTCTCGGCCGGCGATGTGCTCCTCGAGATCGAGACCGATAAGGCCACCATGGACGTCGAGGCCCAGGACGACGGCGTCATGTTCAAGATCTTCACCCGCGACGGTGCCAAAGCCGTCCAGGTCGGCACCCGCATTGCCGTCCTCGCCGAGTCCGGCGACGACATCTCCTCCCTTGAGGTCCCCGCCGACGAGCAAGCCTCCGCCTCCTCCAGCAAGCCTGCCGACAAGGAAGCCCCCAAGAGCGACACCGCCGACCGCCGCGAGGCGCCCCAGGGCGAGGCCCGCGCCCAGCAGCAGGGCGGCGCCCCCAAGACCTCGGGCGGGAAGGCCCGCGAGCAAAGATATCCCCTCCTCCCCTCCGTCCAGTCCCTCGTCAACGAGCACGGCCTCGACAAGGACACCGTCAGCAGGATCGAGCCCACGGGCCCCAACGGCCGCCTGCTCAAGGGCGACGTCCTCGCCTACCTGGGTTCCATCAACGTCGAGACCCCGAGCAAGATCATGGCCCGCGTCGTCAAGATGTCCAAGCTCGACCTCACCAACATCAAGGTCGCCGCCCCCAAGAAGGCCGCGCCCGAGAAGGCCGCCGGTAACAAGGCCGCCGCGGAAGCCCCCGCCGCCCCTGCCAACGCCCAGGTTGCCCTCCCCGTCTCCCTGTCCAAGGTCCTCGCCACCCAGGAGCGCATCCAGTCGACCCTCGGCGTCTTCATGCCCGTCTCCACCTTCGTCGCCCGCGCCGCCGAGGTAGCCAACGATGACCTGCCCCCCTCTGCCCGCAAGCCCACCGCCGACGAGCTCTTCAACCAGGTCCTCGGTCTTGACAAGCTCGCGCCCCGCGGCTCCCGTGGCCACTACCTGCCTCAGATCTCCGCCCTGCCCCAGGCTTCCCTCCTGTCGCCCCGCCCCGCCGCCGCGCGGTCATCCCCCTCCGACATCATCGACATCCTCGCCGCGCCCGCCAAGAAGGCCGCCGCACCCAAGACCGCCGCCCCCCGCCAAGCCCCCGGCATCTCGTCCGCTGGCAACCTCTTCACACTCACGGTGCCCAAGGGCGACGAGAAGCGCGCCAAGGTGTTCCTGGAGAGAGTTAAGCTGATCCTGGAGGAGGAGCCTGGCAGGCTCGTCCTGTGAATCGCGTTCGACGTTGCGTGAGAGAGTGGGAGGGATTGGAAGTAATAGAGAGAGAGCCGATGATTCAGAGGTTGCGGCAGGGAGCGGGGGGAGAAAGCTCGTTCTTCCGCACGGGAAATGTACTAGTAGTATGTTGTGGACGGATACAATAGAGGTCATATACACCCCCAAATTTCAGTTGTTTCTTCTTACGAGATCGGAACGCGCGGAGGGAGCGGCACCCATTGCTCGTCTCATGTCTCATTCAAGTTGCACGTACAAAGAATGGCAAACGACCACTTGGATGGACGACCGGGTACTCAGCTGGCCGGGGACCATTGGCATCGTCGCGAACGGTACGTGGCGAGGTTTCCGCCATCAAGAGGAGTTAACTGGTGAAATATCGCCTCAAGCGGAACCGGCCGTCCGCTGAGGGCACCGACGGTGAGACCCATTGGCGCATCGTCATCTCCTTGCGCATACATGGCGCCGCCGTCCTACGTATACACATCTCCTACCACTCGACACAGTCACGCCCTTCACCAGATTCATCCGTTGCTCTTGCACTTCACCTGCAGCCGTATTCCTCAGAACACGACGAGCCGCAACAGAGCCAGCCGTTGTTGTCTTCCAAGTAGAAGCAGAGACACCCAAGACGGGGGACTGGGGGGTCCTGCCATCTTCGCCATAGTCGAGGTGACGAACCGTCCGTCGTTTGCACACAATACACTCATGCCCTTCCGGGCTTGCGGTGCGTCCAGCCGCTGGGTTGACGTATGCCTTCCGTAGCCTGGTTTGAATGGGCGAGAAAATCCAGCGCGACGCTGTCACGCCACCGCCGCGTGGTTCATCGGCTCGCGCGGCCTGGCGAGACCAGATGTGCCGTGAGATCTTGCTTATCGCGCGCACATGAGGCAGTGGCGAGAGAGCGTGCGGACTAGAGGCGACCAAGAGGGTGGATTAGGGGCGAGAACGACGATAACCTGCCACCGTTTCCGATCGGGCTGCAACGTAGGGGAAGATAGATCTCGTGATTCCCAGACCTAACCCGAAAGGCAGATGGCGAATGGAGGAGCATTGATGAAAGTGCCGCGGAAATATCGGTCTGCAGAGAAGTGACAACGATAAGGCGTGTGAATTGTACGATCCCTGGATGTCGCATTCGCCGTAACGACAGTGATGCTTCTTCCATGCCCCGGACGCCGCATTCGCCGGGTCGTCGGCCGCCAGTCCCGTTCGCTCCGTCACGGCGGACAGGAAGCATTGTCTAAGGTCTGACATCCCCTCGGATCCGCACTGCCCCTGCTTTCGTTGTACTCCGGCGCAGCACGCGGCCGAGGCGGTCATGCCCTAGACCAGCCCTCACCGGCCGGCTTCGTGGGTGGCGACCCGGCGCCGGGATCTCTAGCTTCGCTCAGACCGCGACTTGTCACCATCCTTGCATCGGCATTGTCGTATCGTCAGCCTGAGTGAAGCCATCTGAACCGGCAAGAGATATGCCGGCAAATCGATGGCGCGAATGGCAGGCGTCAAGCCTGGCGCTCGAGTAAAGGATAACAAAGCCCTCGAGCGGCTATACGGTCGCTCCCAAGGTCAGCGACCATACACACGGGCCGCATTCACCCCTCGACAAGGCCTCCACTGAAGTCTCAGGTCGTCAGATTAATGGCGCCGCCTTATCAGGCTTCGCGGCCCTTCTTATCGATTTGCCTGTCACTTTCCCTCCCGCCTCATTCGCTACCCTATTTCGCTCAACCAGCAAGCCAGTTACACAGCACCTACGCCCTCTGCTGCCTACTTCCAGTAACCATTCATGGACGACTCCCCAACATGATGGGGATCGAGGCGCCTTTTGTAGCAGGAGGATAGCATCTTATGGGCGGCAATATTGGGTATCCAACCATAACAAGAGTTTCAATCAAAATCACACCTGCCTTTACTTTTGCCTGCGACAGATAACACATCTCTGGGTCGATAGGTCTGGGGGTTCTCAAAGACGGATGACAATTAGTAAGGAAACCATGGAAATTGCCTTATTATACACAGAGGTAATAAAAACCATCACGGCAGACGTACAGCATTGACGGCGTGCGCACGTGTTTGGGACTTGGCCTTCCGTGGGATGTATTTCACAGTGGCTGTCTTGAAGTTGTTGGCAGACCAGTCGATCCACAAGTTGGCCATTAGGATTACTTAGGGCATCTACATGGCCCGCATGAAAGTCAAGAGGACCCTTATGACTTTCTGCTTGGAAATTGTGCGGTCGAGTGGTGATCTTCCGGTTGATGATTTTGGAATTTAGTGCAACGGTCCAGAGGCTGTCGACTTGGTTGAGTCGTGTTACTAGAAGTTCTTGAAGTAGTAGTCCTCTATTAGGTGCCTTGAAGCCAACTTTAAAGGGTTAATTATATTACTACTTATTATCAAGCAGGTATACTATCCGTCTTGAATGGGCTGTGTACATGCATGTACTTCAAACGTAGAGGCAAATCAAAGTATTATTCTGTGATTATCTTTCCTAACTGTATTGTCTAGTTGACGGACGAGGGTTATGTACTCAGTCATATGTGGTTGAATCAGATCGGTCCAATCGTACAATGATTCAGACCTGAGGTCCAAGTATCCACTCTTATGACCCTTGTCCCTTATGTGCTGAATCATAGGATAGTGTTCCAACAATCTGTAATATTAGTAAGCACCTAATTAATCTTATTTTTAGTATACTTGACTATTAGGCTATAGATAAGATATTCTGAAAAAATGAAGTTATTTTGACAAAAGTAGAAAATGCTGTAATAGTTGGAAATTAGAGGTTATCTATAAAGTGGGTAGCGTTTTCTACATGCTGTTCAACTGCATTGGTATCTCGACATTGACCTGCCATCTCATCAACATATCAAAACAGACAGGATGGGGACCGAATCTCTTCATCTAGCTTCCAAACCAAACCATCTGTCCTTCAGCATAATGCAGAGGTGTATTGTGAAAACCATCACTAACTTCCATGGATAGACCCGCCCCGTTGTCCAGCAGCATTCCCACAATCTCATGATGTCCTTTCATGGCTGCGTAACGTGACAGCGTCTGACAATTGGTCGTTGATTGGTTCACATCCACTCGAGCAGAAATGCACCGTTGGACGAACTCCTTGCACCCTTCCTCCGCAGCATAATGCAACAATGACTTTTTTCCCGGACCATACTGGCGTTCCCAATCCAATATCCTAGCGTTGTTGTCTAGAAGAGCCCAGACAATCTTCGAATACCTCCCCGATAAGGCTGCTTGAAGTGCAGTGCCATGAGTCGCATTGCGAACGTTGACATCTGCGCCTCTATCGATCAGGGCGCGGACTATTCGCTCGAATCCCACAGCATAGGTCGGTAGCAGAAGATCCGTCTTTGTCATGGCGGGTCAAATGGTCGTCGGCTTGCGCATCGAGCAGCATCAGCATGACACTTTCAAACCTTTTGTCGGGGCTGGAATCATTGAGCTCCCTTCCACGCATCCGGTAGAGGCGACTCCGGAATGACCGCGTTCTTGGTTGTTTAGCATGGCCAGATGACGCAGCCTTTAACAGATTTGGGTACTTTCCAGCTGTCGCGGTAGGGTCCGCGCCGCTCTGTAGGAGCATCTTGACGACTTTAGCGTGACCATTCCACGATGCCGCATAGAGTGCATTGGCATAAGTCTCCCCCTTTGGTCCATCATCGTCTCCCGTGGCGACCTTGGAGGCAATATTGTAGTCTTGCTTTGGATCAGCGCCGTTTTCAAGCAAGAGTTGAACCACATCTTGCTTCTCATTCGTTGAAGCGGCTATGAGGGCGTTGTGATATTGAGGTCCTGGTGCCAAGATTTCTGCTCCCCGATCTAACAGCTCTTGCACGAGCATTCTTTTGCCTTTGGAAACTGCTTCGTGAAGAGGGCCTACGCCGCTTTCGGCAGTAATTATCCCCATTCCATCCAAAATCATCTTGGCGGCGTCATACTTACCTTACCCTCTTTAATGGCTGTTGTGAGAATATCGCTGGTCGGTAAAATATAATTTGGCCGGTTCTTTAGCATGGCAAGCATTGATGGACCGCCGGCTTGTCATCGCCCTTGACAAAGCAGCAAGCCAGTAACTAGAAGTCACATGAATACCGTGGGGAAATAAACATCTGGATTATTTCCTCATGCCCGCTGTCGCAAGCTGCTACGAAAGCACTCCAACCTCCAGGACCGTTTGTCTGCGCACCAGCCTCGAGTAGCAGCTTCACTGAGTCTATGTGGCTTTGATTTGATGCTGCAGTAAGTGCATTGTGATAGTCGCCACTCGAAAGGTTGACGTTAGCACCACCAGCAAGCAGGGCACGGATTACAAGGAGATGGCCTTTATAGGATGCTGCCCGGAGTGCATTTCCAAAGGCTCTGATGATACCCCAATACCCACTGTCGCGCCTCCTCATCTACACTATAAAGTGTTCAGGTAGATCTTTATTCATACAGGCGTTCGGGCTGGCCCCATGCTCTAGCAGTAACTGCACAATGTCGTCATGACCTTGGCTTGAAGAGGCCATAAGTGCATTGTCGAAGATCGATAATTGAGTGTTTATGGTTACTTTCCGGTCCAATAGGAATCGTACAATTTCCAGATGTCCTCCAAAAGATGCTGCTGATAGGGGGTCTCCGTATTTTGGGTTTGGGATGTCAGGATGAACGCCTCTGTCGAGCATCAACCACACCGTCGAGATGTCCTTTTGTGCAAGCCGCTGCAAGAGGCAGCAACAGCAAATAGCAACAGAAGAGCTAGAAGCAAATTTATAACATAGTTATTTTAGCATTTGTATAGGTAATCTCTGGTATTTAACGATAGATTACGGATAGTACGTGGCGAAATGCAGCATGATTGGTGTGGCCTGCTGTAGGGGGTGGGGTCTTAGTATGTATTCGGATTCGCCTAGGCTTGACTCAGGGAGTCTAGTCTTTTACCCCATGGAGTACCGAAATATAGATAGATCAGCACCCTCCTACATATTCCAAATCAGGGTACCTAATCCTTCGCTTGAATCTTGACCCATCTAGCCCCTTAGTCCTCCCAGTCCTTAGTTGTTAGTGTAGATTTTGTATACTTCTTTCTGGAGTTTGGTGTCTAGGTGAATACCTCAAGCTATGTTGACGAGAGAGAGAGAGGTGCAAAGTGTGCCATGGCAAGAGCAAGAGGGGAAGTAAGTGCTAGTGCTTATTGTTCTTTTTTCTTTGTAATGTCATTATTGGGACTGTGACCAGCCACAGCCGCCGCTGTCACAGCCACATCTGAATTGCCGTCACTATTCGCCTTATCCCTTTAATTGCGAACTGACCTCACTAACCTCTTGTGCGGGGTAGAGCAAATCAGATCACGGCATTTAAGTCCGAAAGCCAATCATTTTAGAGTACTTCTAGTTGTATCCCCTTAACCGCGATAAGGCTCATCTCCACTTATTTCTCCGCACTACACTCACGTGATAAGAATCCATAATTACCTAACTTATAGCGTGGCTCTTTAAAGAGAGGGAAATTGCTAGTACCTCTGGTATAGGCAAAAATAGGCGTAGACAGAAGTACTGTACATTTTTTAACCTTTGTGGGGTTATGATTGGTGCCCACTGTGGAGATAGGGCCTTATCGCAGTTAAGGGGACAGCGTTTTGCCTACGCCAAAGGTAACAACAATCTCCAAATCTACATAGAGGTACATTATAGTTTAAACAGCCTTATTAGCCCTCTATTGGTGTGTTTGCCTGACTTACCTCACCCAGAGCCTGCCTTACTTTGTATCTGTTATGTATCTCCAAAAATGAGGAGTAAAGGTGGGGATAGGTCCACCAAGGGGTTAGTGAGGTCAGTTCGCAATTAAAGGGATAACCCTCTACAATCCCACAGGCATGTGACGTGTGTATCAGTGACCACTTGTCATCCTTATCGCCATTACCCCTGTGGCTGGCTGGGCTGTGGCCTGTGGCCCCGTTTATGTGCGCCCACCGATTAGCCGCCCCGTGACCGTCGCCGTCGCGCGCGGCCGTTGCCGCCACATTACCTAGACTAAGGACCCAATGCTGTGTGAGCAATGGGCACAGCGACGAAGTGGGCCAGTGGGCGCAGCCCGCGGGGTAGATATCGCTGGATAACCGTACACACACAAGCAGAAATCAGCATCAATCAATTAAACAAGGATTATTGCGGTATATATCCGTACGTACTTCCACAATTTGAGTGCCACCCCTGCGCAGGTGAACAAGTCATGAATACTCTATCAAGGGGGTCATCTGTATAGGCGAATCACTATTAATAATTAATCGAATGAACCAATTACCATTTGACTATCCGTACTATCAACTAGCTAGTTTTCGGCATCGCCGTTCAGCCAGTTCAGGAAACAAAAACATATAAAGGCTCTAATGTAGAATCTTGTCGTCTACTAAAATCATGACAATGTCTTTTTTTGTATTCAACCTGTATATACTGGCAAAATGCGCGACTCTATAATCCTTATAATCACCTCTTTCTTTGTTGCGACGTATTGTGCAGCTTTGCAACCCCAGCTGCTACATGCAAGAGCTCCCACAAAGCTTGCGATTGTCGCAGGTCAAGCAGGAGCGGCCAGCCCATATTTCTGCGACGCAACAAAGGAGGCTGCTGTACAGAATGCTATCAAATGGATGCATACATACGCTGGATCGGCGTCCACATTTCTTGGCCATAGCAACGCTGGCCAAACAGCTGCATTCGTTGCATGGTTTGGTTGTAAGTCATCCCCATTCCAATCTAAGTTATAGAAAACTTATCATGTTTTTTTTTTTCTTTCTCAGGGACGAATCGAGCCTTGGCGTCTGATGTGAAGCTGCACGTCATCGACCCTATTCTCGCATTAGGCGCTACAGCCACTATGGACGTGTCTTCGCTCGAAGCGAGAAATGACATTATATCTATCGGCTGCGGAACACCTCAAGGTTCGCAGATATGCAAAGGCGATCCTAATACTGTAGCGTATGCAGATCCGAAAGACAACACCGTTGTCCTCTGCCCCGCAGCGTTTGCTAGATCGGGGTTCTTCGGAAAAGACTCAACGGAACAGACCGCGATATCAGACTGGGCGACCCAACGATATATGCGACCGTCTGGCGCGTTCTACCTGCTGCATGAAATGACACACCTACCGAGTTTAGTAGGAGGATTCAAAGGTTGGACGGCGGCTCCTGTAAAAGCATCCCATGATTATGCTTATCGCGTTAACCAGTGAGTGGTAAACTTTATATTTTGTCGAAACCCTGGCTAAAGAATTGCGATAGGTGCGCCAACCTAATGGATAAACAAAAGCTCAACAACGCCCAGAATTACGCTTTTTTCGGACTCGAGGTCCTGGCGAACGGAAACTTAGCCAGTCATATCATTGGTAATGATGCGCGCGATAAAGATGACGAAGCATTTCAGTGGCTGAGAGGCAAAGGGGGGAAAAGGTCATTAGGATCTGATTTCAGCCAAGGTGACATCCTCGGCCATTCAGAACCAGAAGAGTAGTCTGAAATATTAATTCTTAATATAATTAAACTTTCTAATAAATCCATTGAGGCTGGCAAGGTCGTGCCAGTCAGTCTCTTCGCCGTTACCATTGTTAAAGTCCTAATCATCGTTGATAAGGACGCTACAAAATGCCTACTTTTACTTACTAAAGGGAGGCAAATACAAAAGGGGTTAGATATAGCCACCTACCAAGACGCCTACAGCCAAATACCTGTACTCCTCTGCCATGTAGTCCCCTCAAGGCCTTGTCCCGTACGCGGACGATCACTGGCTTGTTTTCTCCCCGTCATGTGTAGGTGTCGCAAGGTAACGGATTCTGCGTCATGCCGCCAGGTCGGACAGACGGCGGGCGAGCCCGATTGTGACTCCTCTAGGGCCCCGGTCAGGAAGAGAAGCCGGGCTCCGATCTCGACCTGGTGCTTGGAGTCTTTTGGCTCCATCGCCGTCCCGCCAGGTGCCATGGCTTCTTTTCGGTGAGGAGAAAGGACGGCACCACGCAGCGATGGTGGCCCCCCTCCCCCTCCCCTTCCTCTTCCCGAAAGCCTTTTGTCTGGTACTCGACGCCACCCGGGCAGGTTCGCCTCGCCTCCTCCAACGAGCTCTTTCTAGCAGGTGCACTCCTTGGGAGCCGCGAGGCGTCTTGCCGCATCGCTGGCCAGTATATATTACCGACACGGGACGGGGTTGGTGGAACAGCTCCGGTCGTCCCACTAACCTGCCGCCCCCGGGTCCTGTTGGTTGGTAGAGAGGAACACGAGGGGCTATAGAGACGCCTCCCACGATCCCAGCGCAGGGTACAGGGGCGGCGGCGCCGGGAGGAACTCGGTTGCATGTTTCGCTGGCTCATGTTCGTTCCCAGCTTGGTCGTATGGCTGGTTTGTTGGCAGAGAGTGTCGATGGCCAACTTTTGTATTCCTTCACACTGAAGTAGGTAGACGGTAATGAAGAACTAGCCGCGGAGCGTCTTTCGTCTATGGTCTATCTCCATCCGTGTCCCAAACATTGCTCCTGTGTCTAGACCAGGCCGTGTAATCGACATTACTCATTGATGAACCATCATGCCCCAACGATATCATCCTGCACCTCCCAGTCCTCCCACAAGGGCGCGTCGGCTCCGTTGGGCCTCGATGCTCGATTATGCCCGACCCGCAACCCCCCGATCCTGACGGCCTCCCTCGGCCACCTCACCTCGGCATCGAACCCGGGGCTCCATGCTCTGTGCATCAGATCCTCTGCAAAAAGCTCCGGGTGGAGATGCTTTACGCTGTGCAGGGCCCGCTTACCGACCTCGTCCACGGAGTCGTGGTGCCGCAGGTCGAAAAAAGCCGGGCTGTGCGTCTTGCGCAAGCGCGCCTGGACTTCGGGCGGGTACGCGCCCAGCGACAAGAGAAATACGTCGTACTGGCACAGGCTGGTCCGACAGGCCCACGAGCCGCCCTCCGTCGCCCGCCGGTACAGGCCGGCCATGGCTCCCACGGCGCCCAGGGCGCCGGTGCCGTAGTCAGACATGGGGAAGGGGGGCACGACGGGCGCGTCCAGCCCCATAAAGTGGCCCTGTTCCCAAGCGACGCCGGTGACGCAGTCTGCGATCTGTTGCCATCCCGGGCGTCCTGCCCACTCCGCCTTCGCCACGCCCAACTCTGATCCGCCGAAGCAGTCCTCTGCGACGTAGACGAAACCCTTGCCGCGGCTTGCAGCGATGACGGCCAGCTTCTCGGGTCCGTAGCCCAGGCGGTCGACGACACCTGGCCGATAACCGTCCAGTATGACGTCGGCACTGGCGAGAAGCGACTCAAAAGTTGCGCGATCCTCTGGATCTTTGAGGTGTAGGGAGGTGGCGTGCTTGCCGGTGTTGACGTCCACCTGGAAAAAGGGGACGTCGGGGAGGTTTGGCGAGGTCACTTTGAGGACAGAAGCGCCGTGGGCCGCCAGGGAACGGCCGATGGTTGGGCCGGCAATAATACGGCAGAGCTCCAATACTCGGATACCGCTGAGGCACTGCTCAGCTCCCGAGCTGCTGCGTCGCGGCTCGAAGGGAGCTGGTGGCGTGATTGACTCTATCGGCTTGACGGTCAGGGGAGGTAGTTGCTCAAGCACTTTGCCGTGGGGCGTGTTCGAGAACTGTTCTTTCTTGAGCACAGGTACCCCGGCCTGGCCTTCTTTTCGGTTCATTTCTTCCAACTCTTGCACGGAGAAACATTTCATTGCGGTCTCGATTGTTTTGATACACTCGCTGTAGCCCTGGAGCTCTGGGTTGAAAGCGGGCAGGCCGATCATGTTCAAAGCCCTGGAGGCCTCGAGTGACCCATGGAGGTGATAGTATTCGCCGACATCCTTGGTTTCATAGAGGTTTGCAGAGAGGCGCCTGTATAGGATGGACTGCGCCTGGTTCAAGTCGGTGTCTACGATATGTAAGCCAGGGGTTTGCTGTCCGAGACGTGTCCCACGTACCTGGGATTTTGGCCTTCACGTTGGGGTGACCTTTATCCATGCCGTTGACTGTTGTGAGGTAAGCCGACATCAAGAAGCACGCCGTACGGGCTACGTCGACCTCGATATGCCTCTGGGCTTGAGGACCGTGCCGAAAATCCGACAAGGCGGCGGCAGCCATGCCCTCGAGGGCTTTAATGGAGGCCGTCGCCTCCTGTTCTTTGAGGGGGCATGGGAAGTAAGGTACGTCGCCCTGTGGCGCGATGAAAACGACGTTTCGCAAATGCTCGACAAATTCAGGTGGGAGTTGTCGTTGGCATGCGGCGATGAGTGCAGCCAACGCATTCTCGGACCCTTCCTTGACAGAATAGCTTGTCGTAGCCCTTTGAGAACCAGGTCTCTTGGGGACCATTTTTGGTCCGAGGTCGTGATCAAATCAGAAGAGCGAAGATTGGCAAAGTTTCCGACAGCCACTCTGCATAGTACACATGGCCAAAGTATATATAAGCACATATGCATCGAAAGATACAGCCGAGCAGCTCTCTAGATAGGCGGCCGGCTGTTGTATGTTGATCTCTCCACCAAGACAAGACGAAAGTTAAGGGTTGTGGAGCCGGGGACAAGCAACCCCATCGAGCTAAACAGGCTTGGGAGCGGGAGATGGGAAGCGGGAAGCGCGAGGGTAAGTGAAAGGGACGGGCAGCTTGTCGGCCACGTTGGATCAAACGTACCCGATAAGACGACCAACTGACAAATTGGACCAACTGCAGGGCGTCGGAACACCGTACAGTAGCATGTTGGGATGTTAGGGTGGGGTTGGAACAGGAATTGGGTGCGAGCGACATGTAGTCGCCCGGATGCACTTCAGCCGTAGTCGAAGATACGGTAACGCAGGTGGGGCGTTGAAGAAAGAGGGGTTAGCTACCTACACCATATTATCTGGCACCATGGACGCGGAACCTGCAGGGTCGGGGGCGCGGAACACCTATCCAGGGTCGTCCTGGAGTCGAACCAGGTGTGTTCCTTAGCTAGCTTCATCAAGGACACAGCTGGAAAACAAAGACCATGATAAAAGACGCTTGGTCAATGTCGGGGTAATTCAGCCTCATCGCTGTCTTTGGGTAAATGGAGAGGGCAATATAGCACCAATGACATGCGATGCCATCGAGTTGCCACTGCCTTGATGTTGGCCAATTATTGTATATCCGCAAAGAAGGGCAATGTCTTGCGTGCTGGGTCCGAACGAAGAGCGCCGGAAGCGGCAGTTGACCGACGACGAGAGTCAGCGGGTGCAACATCCGATCCGATGACCGCTGTTTGCGGTATTTAAAATAATCTATCTGCTAGAGCCCTTGTCCACGACGGGGATTTCAACCATAGGTGCAAGTCCGTCCTGTTTACTGGATGCTTTTGCGGTTATGGCAAGGTTAACGTTGGATCGGGCTTCAACCAATCTCTGCCCTCGTTGCGGGTGCCGCATGCATAAGAGCGGCAGGGCATAGAGCGAAGTTACCCGGCAGAGCATCTGCCACGAAGAAAGTATTGAGAGTGGCGGAATAGGCATATATAATAACCAAGGACGGGAGCATAGGATATTAGATTAGGACGCGAGGTTGAGAAGAACAAGTAGGTAGGATGATGTGCTCGGTTAGCCAATGGAAAACATGCCAATACGTCGTTTCCCACCATGCAAGCTTTGCGTAAACGTGACCTCGTTCTGGTGCGTTGCGATTCATGTTTGACTTCTTGAGTTGGTGCGCTATCCGACGATAAACAGTTGTGGGTTTTGACGGCGACGAGGATTGAAAGAAAAGTACCTGCCTAGGTATGCGCTCGGCGATATTCGCGTTGTACTCTGTAGTGGAGAGGGAAAAGGCGGAAACAAAACCCTGAACGGCAAGTCAGCCAATCGCGGTTGCATCGGGATCGGGTTAGGTGGCGTTGCACTTCTTCAAGGTCCTGAATTGGACCTTCCGACCCGGCTCTGCTCCCGGAGAAGAAACCCGGCCAACACCATAAGAGTCCGTGAGAGGAAAGTGCGAGTTAGGAAAAGGAGAGGGTAGGCGCCCGTCACGGTTCAGGTGGTCATGGTATTTACTTCCAAGCACCTTCCTAATTCCACGGACGATCAAAAGGAAGGTGCATTGCAATTTGTATCATGCCTACCGGTATCGTTGTCTACAACATGCACGTCGCCATTCCCACCAGCTCTGCACTTCGTTGTGCATCCGTATGCATGACATTATGCATCTCTACATAGTACACCGGAAGTCCTCCGGAGTTATTGACTTCCACGGTGTCCATGAAAATTTCGCCATCGCAGACCAACCGCGCCCTTACACCACGGCAAGTCAACTCCTCGTAAGCCTTATTAAACGAAAACATGCCCGGCCGATACACAAGGATCGAACGAATTGCCGCCAACGGGCCAGGCCCTGTCAGACGCGGCCATCAACTCGAGCAACATAGGTCCCTTGCGTACCGTTCTGTTGGAAACGTTCCAGTCGGAATGCGCGCCACGATCGAGAACCCGCCGACCCCGATAAGAAATAAATACTTCCGATCAATAGCTAAGCATAGGGGGTGGGTTCTGGGCTTCTTCGTGCTTTGGTCAGTCTACCCTCGCCCGTCTTTTGTCTTCACTCACTCCCGCCAAGCGCCCAGCAGGATTCCACCACAGCCTAGCCAAAGAGATCGGCCGAAGCGTGGCCGCCACACCTTCGGCATCCTCAATCCCCTCTCAGCTTCACCTGCCATACATGAATGTTACCTGGGGCAGCAGGGGAAAGAGGGTAACAAACGCCGTCATATGCCAGATGTCTCGGGCAGTCTTTCTTTTTTTGCTCAGCTAGCGGCAGCGCCGTGGCTTGGAACCTAGCAGGATACCACATACCTAATTTGATTCAGCACTACGATCGAGGCCATGCTCGTGCAGGAGCTCTCTGGAGCTTTCCAGAGCTCCCCACCAGCGCCGTGGGTCTAACCTGGGCCGCGAAAAGTCTGTCAGCGGTACGGGACGAAGCTACCCTTGCCCCCTCCATCAAACATTGGAGATCATCACCCGTTACCGCCTCGTCATGTCGTACCCACGTATACATCGCGTACATCGTCTTTCGCACACAAAACCATCCCTGACACAAGCTAGCAGCCAATCCGAGGGCAGCCTTGACGTTTCCAGCTGCAACCTGTTGAACGAGATGGCAGCCCATCGAATGCAACGGCTGTGCTACAGGTTGCTACCTAGTCTCAGCTCTAACAGACAGCATCCTGCTCCACGTGCCTGTCAATTCACCTCCCCGGCACGTCAGTCAACATAATGTCCACTCGTCGAACCATGTGGACATTCATCAATAATCACAGAGCACACTCCCAGCAGGCGAATACAACAAGTCACTGTCCACCATCCTCCCAGCTAAGATTACCATTGCGATGGAACGGGATGCGGCAGGAAAGCAGCCCCTGATTGCTTGCTCTCCCTCTCCCTCTCCCTCTCCCTCTCTCTTTCTGTCACCCATTGAACACTGTGAGGTTTGCCCTCAAAGACTCTCGAGCGGCCACAGACGACTGGGCGATTCAGACATCGTTCTTGTGTATCCGTTCTCTCTCCAGATAGAAGAATCAGTGGCGCCGTCACGGCCGCCTTCTAGCCCGGGACCTACCGCGTGCGGGCGTATCTTGGCCTCGACTCTGGCATGCCAAACCGCAAAAAAAAGAAAGAAGAAACAAAAAAAACCCCGGGTTGGACCTGGGCCTGGGCTTGTGTCTGATCTGTCACCTGCTGGAACGGACATTTTGGGCCTCGCCTCACACATCTGTTCTTCACAAGGCTTGGGGCCAGGGACTACTACGTAAACAGAAGCAAGCCACCCACGCCCCTTGACTTGAATCGAGCCCTCTCTCGAATTCCTCAAAGATCGACCCGCAGGCTGCTCCAAACCCACTCACATCAAAGTCTATTGGGGAGGGGGTTGCTGATTGCCCATCAAATTCGACGACCCCCTTGCCCTACAATCGTATAATGCGGTCCTAGCTTCAATGCCTTGTCCACACACCCCTTGCTCGATTCTCCTCCCCCCCCCCCCCCGGTCTGCATCCTGGACGCTCTTAGCCCCCACTCGGCATCGCATGTCATTGCGGTTGCACGACTCGAGCTCGCCTTGAGAGCCCGACTCCACGACCCTACCTTGTCTGCTTTGCTAAGCCCGAAGGTGGCTCCTCTGGTCAATAGGTATTGACTCTCCCCCCAAAGTTCCCAACCCCCCTTTCCTTCTACCTGGCCTGCCTCTCTGTAAGGCGTGACAAGTGATTGCATGCTTGCCCAATCGCGGGCCTCTTCTGACTTCTGCGTGGGCCGGCCTAGCCGCTTGTCCCATATCCGATCAAAGTCTCGCTGTTCCCACTCTCCCTCTCCCGGCCAGGCTCTTCTCTATCCTTTCTTCATCCTCGTGGCATTTATCCTCGCCTCTTCTCCCTAACGTCCGTTCCCCGCCTTCGCCGACCTCCGCTACCGCAACGGCGGTCCATCCTGTCCTATCCCAACCTAATCCTCCCCTTCCCCTCCCATCCCTCCCCTCTCGCTCGCCCGCAGCAGCAGACCAGCGTACAAACCTGCATCTCCCCACGTCACATATCATTATCGCGTACCTTGATTACTCTTTAAGGTAACTACCCCCATACCCGAAGCTCAAGCTTCCCCACCTGCAGTTATCCTCGTCACCCGCCATCGCCAGGCCAGTTTGCTTGTCCCGTCCTCGGAACATGACAGAAAACCTTGCCCAAAGAGTCGACCCCTACTAGTTTTCCGCTTCGGATCAGGGCACGGAACAGTCTCTGCGGCTGCGGCATCCGCCCGACCCTCTTGCCGCAACCCACGCTCATCGCGCGCCCTGAAGCGAGAGGAAAGCATGCGCGTCTGTACCTGGTGCCTGCTGTCCGCCGTTCTGTAGTCCACCCTCCGGTATACCTTTTGCAGTCATCCGTGAACCCTCGTCGCGGCTTCCACCTCCGCCCTCATCCGCTCCTTCGACACACCTGCTGCCCCAAACCCCAGCTCCACCTCCATTGCCTCATCGGATAGTGGGTATTGCCAGGGGTCCATGGACTGTCAGCCGATGCATCATCGTCTTCGACAATGACCAGACCCAAGGTCCCAGACGACAAACGCCAACGGACCGCCCAGGCCTGTGACACCTGTAAGCGCAGGAAGCAGAAGGTGAGCCTCTCCCTTTTCTCAGCTTGCTTGCTCTTGTGCCCCCTTCCCCATCCCTTCCTACCTGAAATATCGTCCTGGAAAGCCTTTTCCTTGGTTGCTTCTTACTCTTCTCCTCGATGTATCGAGACCTTGTCTAATAACCCCGCTTGCTGCCCGCTATTCCCCTGTGCCGTGCTTGGCTAGTTGCCTGAAAAGCCAAACACAAGCACATATCAGCAATCACGGACGAAGATTTCCTACCCGCTCATCGCCCCGATTATGTTTCCCGACTTTAGTCCTCATTGCTGTCAAGCTATTGGGCAAACGTCCAGATATCGACGGATTTATTACCTCCCACTACGATGATCTCGGGCTTGGAACCCGGCATTTATCCATTCTAGTGGTGCCTGCCTATAGACCTTCCCTTCGTTATCCTGATTGTCAATATCACGCTGTCAACCAAGTTGACCTATCTCAAGTGGGTGTGGCAGGCATCCCAGTACGCACTGTCGGTCTGGTAAATATTATTCGCATCATAATTTGCAAGAATCACTGGACCTTATAAACGGGGCGTCTTCTTCAATACCCAGGATGGCCCTCGAAAGGACATGCCCTAGTGGGCAACCCGACGATCTGACCACACCCTTGCCAGGACAATGGGTTCGTCCCGTAGAGAGCCCCAGTCTCAACCTACAACGGGGTTCCGTCATGCCGGTCTCGTGGGGCACCGTATCCCGAATGCGGTGAAAGACCTCAGGCTCGGCAAGTGCTTGACGCTTACCTGTTTTCCTCAGACCTTACCCGATCCTGTCAACGCACCCACTGCCAAGTTTCGCTCATAGACTGATCAATACTTCCAAAGTGTAATGGTACTCGCCCGTGTGCCACATGTACCAAGAGGAGCCTGGTGTGTACCTACACCACAAGCAACGGCTCCGAGCAGGCTCTCCCGGACCAAATAGCGTCTCCCTCCAAGCGTCGCAATATTGAAGAGCCGCCCGCCGCAACTCCAGTGGCCCCCGAGGGCTCTCTTGCATCCGCGAGTCCCGCGGCGGCTACGACGCCATGGGAATCCAAGCCGCAGCAACCGGCTACCGAAGATAATCCAACCGTGGGGTTTGACATACGGCCCTCTGTCGAAAATGACCACGAAGCGACAGCAGGGAACCGAGAGTTCGACATCCGCTCGAGGCATAGCACAGCATCGGGACCGGACGAGGAAACCTCGCTCATACAGTCGACCAGGATGTTACAGGACCCCACGGGCAGACTTCGTATAGTGCCTTCTCCGGGCGTCTCATGGCTCGAATTTGCTAACTATGTGTATAGTCTATGTGGGCGACTCGGCGTCGCTGGCGTACCTGCAGCTCATACGGATGATCGTTGAGGCGAGCGTTGGCCCCAGCGACTTCACTTTGGACCCCAACCGCCACAAGATTATGGAAGCTACCATTACAATGCCGGCAAACATACGCCCTCCGCACATCCTCCCTGATAGGGACACAGCCAACGCCATGGTTGATTCATTCTTCACAAACGCAGGTGACCCCTTTTCGTGCCATGGGGAGATAGACGTTCGTTTTCTAACTTTCGCAGACTCGCGGTCTGATCGAGGTTTTCAATAGGGCAGCCTTTGAGAAGTCTCTTGAAACATGCTACTCGGATCCCCTGGCAGCACAGTCCTCTTTTCTCTGCTTGTTGTATTTGACCTTTGCCATTGGCACAGTTCTTGGCACGCCACTTCCTGGCAGCAAGCAAGATGCGATCTTCAAGAAGCTCCGCGCGAGCGAGTATGACCGCGCGGAGCTCTTTTTCCGAAGCGCAAAAGCCCTCGGTGACCCTATCACGGGGTTCGAAGATGCCGACTTCTGGTCTGTGCAAGCCTTGTCGTTGATGTCTGTCTACATGCTCGCGGTGTCGAAGCGCAATGCGGCTTATGCTTACTTTGGTACGACCATACCTTCACAAGTTCATGAAGAACCTAGTTGTCTGACCTTCTGCTCCAGGAATGGCCGTTCGATCCGGCTTTGCCCTCGGTCTGCACAGGGTACAAGAGAACCATTTCATCTTCAAGAGTCACGAGATCAGACTTCGACGGAACCTCTGGAGAAGCCTGTTCGTTCTTGACCGATTTCTTGCTGCTTCGCTTGGCCGTCCAGTAGCCATCGACGAGGAGGAATGTTCTACGGAAGCCCTATTGGTGTTCGAGAAGAATGCTCAGGGGGAATTGGTCCGCGTCACGGACCCGAACGACGGACTTGACGCCGCCGTGCGGTCTTGTCGGATCATTGGACAAATTCTAAAGAAGATATATGCTCGGCGACGAATATCGGTCCGCCTGGCCCAAGAGATTTGGGAACGGTGCAGCAGCTGGTACTCTACACTCAGCTCGGACTTGGCTGGAGGGAAAGTCGCTGCGGATCCCGGCCATCCGGCACAAGGCATTGCAGCGCTCCACGTTAACCTGCTCTACTGCCACTCGATACTGTTACTGACTCGGCCGTTCTTTCTCTGTCTGCTAAGCAAAGTACACGGAGAGCGAAGCGGTCTCAACTTACCAGTTCCTCGCTGGATCCATCGCATGTCGAGGTACTGTGAGGCATGTCTGCATGCATCCAGCCAGACGATCAACCTTGTGCAAAAAGCATATGAGAGCAACTATCTCCCACAACGCAATCCCTTTGTTCTGTCAGTAACCCCCCGAATCACACAAGCTCGTCTTACTGACATTATACGCAGCTACTTCCTCTTTGCAGCTTCCCTCATCATTCTCAGCAACGAGTTCGCGGCGGTGTACCCCAACCCGGGCTATGAAACCTCGATATCCAACACGATCGCCATCATGAGTTACTGCGCCGCCAGTGACCCACAAGCTAACCGTCTGCTCTTCATTCTTACATCATTCCGCAACGTTATCTACGAGCTCCGGCAAAAGAAGACGGAGCAGCCGGCCATGTCCGCTCCTCCAACATTATCGCCAACATCATTTCAAGACCCAATCGGCATCATCTTCCAATCTTCCAGGGTATCGCGGAAAAACTCATTTGCAACCATTACCTCGGGACCGTCTGCGGTCGCGGTTAAGGCTATGGCTCCGCCGCCTCCTTCCATGAAGACGGAACACGGGTTTTCAACGCCGACAGGCCCTCCCGCAGGCCACTCACCTGCAGGGAGCACTCCCGGCATGTCCCAGAGCGAACAGAGCGTCAGGATGAGCGGTGACTCGGACACGGCCGACGGAGAGCTCGAGTTTGACCAGTTATGGGGCTGGTCGGCTGTATCCAACATGGCAGGGGGAGCAGCCCCTCCGGCGCTGATGACAGCGGCGACACCGCCAAACGCCCCCCCCGCGTTCCCAGGTCGCGGACCGGGCCAAGGGCACCAGGGATTTCCAAGCTTCATTGTACCTGGCGGTCATAATGGGAGTGGTGTTCCGGCGGTCGCGCCCTCGGGATACGTGGCCACTCCCAACGTGCCATTATTTGTCCCGGCAGAGTATTCATAATGTGGTTCAGGATTAGCTCGTACAATATCCGGTCCGTGAACGAGGGAGAACGCCAACCTGCCAAGGTCGATCGCTATCGACAACGTAAGAACTAGGGAACCGGCCTAGACGACTGGACGATCCCCATTTTGGAAGGTCGAGGCTGTGCGCCATTCTCGGTGGCCAAGGCCTGGGAGAGGATTGTTTTGGACATGTTCATATGCACGTCGACTCGGTCTGCGCAAACACAGCATTGGAGCGATGGGATGAAGGGACTGCGAGCGGGACGAGGTTGAAGATACCCAGCAAACGGCGAGGGAGGAAATACTTTGTTTTGCTTCAGGTTTGAATTAAAACTAAAATAAAGGTATGAGGGCCAGCACCAGGTCATGGCGGTGCATACAACGTGTCGGGGAAGAGGGAAGCCGGTGATCATTGGTCATTGGGCTAGTGGCGAGGCCAGGGAAGAAGTGGAAGAATACAAGGCCAGGCAACAAGGAGGATAATCACGAAAAAGGACCAAACGCAATCGGCTAAACAAACCGAAAAAAATATATAAAGAAATGAACAAATAATACAAAACAAATACTTTGGTGCGTTGATTGACACCCGAGCGTGTGCCGCTTGCAACTCGTCACGGTGGCCCGAAGCCAAACGGCTCACCCTCCCTATCGCGGAAATCGCCCACAACACTGGCCGAGGCGATCAGCGCCCCGGTTCACGCGCCACACAGGACAAAGTCGTACTCTAGCGTCCACCTCGCCTTGGAGCCTGGCTCGCTGGGCTTGTACTCGACGATCAGGTCCTCCTTGACCGCGAAGACCGAGTCGTCCTCGAGGTACTCACCCTCCTTGTCGAACAGCTGCGTCGTGACGGGCCGGTACCCGTCGGCGGAGACGATGAAGTGGAGGTGCGCGGGGCGGTACGCGTGCCGGTCGAGGAGCTTGAGCAGCCTTCCGCCTGGGCCGTCGTCGGGCACGGGGTAGGGAACGGGCTTGAGGCAGTACAAGGAGTAGCGGCCCTCGCCATCGGTCCGGAAGCGTCCCCTGAGGTCCATGTCCGGCTGGCCTGTGACCTGCTGCTCGTACATGCCGTTGGGAGCCGTGTGCCAGATGTCGACGGTGGCATCCTTTACGGGCTGGCCGTGTTGGTCGAGGACGCGGCCGTGGAGGTGGGTGAAGGCTTCCTGGTAGTCGGGGGAATCGAGGGAGGAGACGATGGAGCTGCCGTTGGGGAGGATCTGAGCGTCGTAGCGGTAGAAGGGGCCGAGGACGGCGGACGAGGTAGGGCTGGTTTCGAGTGACGAAGTCGTCTTCAACTGGAGCTGTTTCGACGTGATTTCGTCGACGAGGGATTCGAGACCTAGGATGTCGCAGAGGAGCTGTGTCTCGTTACGGGTGTCGTTGGACATCTGGCCGGCCTCGTTGATCTAGCATGGCAAAGCAGAGTCATATTAGTGGCTGGGCGGTCCTTCGAAGCAGTCCGAACGACTACTTGGGCTGAACAGGATGAGAGCGGGAGGAGAGTTGCCCTAGGCTCACTACTAACCATTTGCACGCCGGCCAGCCATTCGTCGACGGTCAGGTCGACCTCTCGGGCAAAGTCGTGGAGGTGCCGGAGGAGGCTCGGCATGATCTGGGCCAGACGGGGGTGGGTTGGCGTGTGGGCCGGTGGCGGCAATGACCCGGTCGGTGAAGGCCGAGTCGTAGACTGCCTTGCCGGCCGCGGTGATGTTGGCGGTGCTGGAGCCGTTCTGATCTGCCATGGCTCTTGGACCGAATTGGGTTCGCAAGTTGACGTACTCTTCGTTTGTTGTTTAGGGTTTGCGGAGCACCCCCAGAGCGGGCAAAGGTTCGTCGGAAGAATGCTAAACTTTAAATATATCCGAGAGACTCTTGCTCAAGGGGTCTCAGTTGGTTGATATGACCATCGGTAAGACGGAAAGAGGAGCTGACGACTGGCCCAGAGTCCACTGTTCGCTGCTCAGGATACTTAATGCGTGATGATTCCTGTACTGTCCCACGTAAGATTTTAGTATATGGTTGTACATTGGTAGGAAAGGAATCACTGTTCCTGTGAACAAATGGCATTGGTAGCTCAAGTGTGGTAAAGCGACATGTGGGATGCAAGATCGTACGGCACTCTTGGTGAGACCAGATCAGGAGAGGAAGGAGAAACGTTAGGAACGCGACATCGATAACCGGATGCGGTGGAGTCTCAGGCGGCGAATCTGGTTTGGTTACATCTTGGGAGGTCTTGGTGGACTGCGATGGCAAATGCCGGACGCGCATGGTGTTGGCACCCTGGCATGGTTTGCTAGCGTGAGTTGATGCGCGACAGCGGCAGAGGATGCACACGCAAAGTAACGCTCTTGTGGCGATCACGACCGGCGGCCCGCCTGCCTCAACAAAGAGAGAGGGGTTGAATTACCTAGACGATAGTTGAGAACCCTTGCAGCGAGGGCTTACTGTAGGAAGACCACAGGTACGAAGTACAGTATCTGTACTCCGCACTACCGGAAAACACGCATCCACGGCAATCTCGATGTAGTTGTATACAGACAGGTCCACAGGGCTTGCCCGTTCCCCCTTTCCCCAGTCTCTTGGGCCACCTGAGCAATAGGCCTGTGGTGAAATTCCGCCGGGTCTTCAGACTGTGTGGGTTGAAACCACGCATCCGGCCGGCATTTCTCGAACACCTTGCTCTTTTGGTCCTGCTCCTTGGCAATATACTTCATCCCCAGTCGCGACGTCGTCAATATCAGGCCCTGGAAGCCAGCCTGCTAAGCACCGAGCCCAAAGTATTTTTTTCTTTTTCTTCTTAACTCGTTTCGTTGTCGTAGTCTGGACGCATTGAAAATGGCTTGGCAGATCGACAGCGGAATCTATATCGCCACGATCAGGCATGCCGACATTATTCCCTGGGGTTCCTAGTCAGGCTGACGGACAAACGCTATTTGGGAATTCGGTTCGGCCTAACTCTCTCTACCGGCACACCCAGAGAGAGCACGCAATAACCAACACAACCACCCCCCCTTCCCCCCCTGTTCGATCATTTCTCGCTGGCACTATTGGCTGCCACTTTATTTTCTTTTAGCACCAGTCCCTGTCATTCTCCTCCCGCCGTCCGTCCCGGTGCTCCACTGGGGCCCGGCCGCCATGCCCACCCCGCCCCCACCGAGCCCTTAGTGCCACATGGAAACCCCACCCCGAGAGCCACGAGCGCTCCCAGGCCCACTCGTCAAAATGTTCACAATGAGTACGCCAAGTGTGTGTGTGCTCCCGGCGAGAGAGGGAGTGTGTGCGAAGGAAATATTTTTCGTTCCACCGCCGATGCGACGTCGTTAGTTTCGGGTGTCGCTGCTATGCTGCTAGGGGGTTTCACAGACGCCATGTCCGCCTGCCAAGAGAAGTGTAAGATCAACGTTTCTCCCTCAGGGCTTGGGATGCCGAGCCGGCATTGGACTCACCGAGTAAACATCAAGCATTGAACCCACGAGCTCCTCGCCCCTCCGGCATTGCAGCAATGGCTAGTCGTGGCAAAAAATCCAGATCGGAGCCGGTCTCCGTCTCCGTCCGGGTAGAGCCGACGCGGAGGGGTCCGTCTCGGTCTCGTCGCATCGGAGGCGCAACGCGCTTGTGGTGGGTGGTAGCTGTGGTCTTGTCGCGGCTGCAGGATCCATGATACACTCGAGAACCTGGCCTGCTTGCTTGACTGCGGCCAGGGCCAATGTCGAGCGAAACCGTCGACAAGATCAGATCAATCGGTGACCAGCTGCCAAGGCTTACCTGGGCTGATCATGTTGCGCTCCTTGCTAAATAGCCTTTGTGTTCGCAACATGCACACTTTCCCAGTGGTGTGTATGTAAGTGGTGTGTATGTAGTAGTGTATCAGGCCACAACTCGACATTTTTTCTTCTTGTCTCATGTAGCGGGCGGTTTGGTGCTTTGCATCGTCGAGGTTCGGATTCCCCAATCCTTTGACCATCTAAATTTTAGACAGTTGCCAAACCAATGGTAACAAAAATATCATCTGAAATACCCGTCCAAGATGGAAAAGTGAACTCAGAGCTGTTCGAGTGATACGTAGAAATTAAATCTGTTCCACGATGGAAATAGGGAATATATAGAGCAAATACCCGGCCTGGATATCGTAGTGGCAACCCAGCCAACGCCCTCGTCGTCGTCTTCGTTGTCTTCTTCTTCTTCTTTTTCCTTCCTGCCTATATATACATGGCCAATATCTTCCCTTCATCTCCCCCACTCGCTCTTACCTGGATCTATCCAGTGTATGGAATATGGAATCAAGTGCGATAAAAGCAGATAAAAAGAAGCATGCGCCAGGACACCTTCCTAACGTTCCCTTTGACAGTCTCTTTAGTGATACAAAGTCCGTGTAACCGTGACGCCAATCGTGCGGTTTGTCGTAGGAATACTTACCAGGTCTTCGGACCAAATTTCATGCCAGGTGCCGGTATTGACTGGATCGCCGTGCCCTGAGCATCCATGGTCGCAGTGACGATGTCGTTACCCCACCACTTGGGCGGGTCGATACCGTTGAGCGTGAAGGCGAGGAAGATGACGAGCGTGGAAAGGGCCAGGCCGAGATCAAGGCCCGACGATGTAAGGTAGTTGAGGCGCGACCACCAGGCAAAGTGCTTCTTGCGGATATGATGCTGGAAGATGTAGCCGACGACGCCCCAGCTGAGGTAGTTGAGGGGTGTCGCGGGCGGGATCGAGCCGGCTCCGCCAAAAATGAGGGGCGCCATGAGGTACTTGACTGGCGACTTGGGCCACTTGAGGGCAGCAAAGTAAAAGATGACGGGGAGGATAGCGCCGAGGCCGAAGAAGATGAAGAGGCCCGAGTACACCTGGCCCGGGGAGAACATGCGGGCGGGCCCGATGAGACCCCAGATGACGGAGGCTGCGAGCTGGTCAGCAAAATGGAGTTGAGCACTGAAAATAAAGCAGACGTACCGGCAAAGAAGACGCGGCCGCCTGGGCAGGAGAACTTGTTCTCCTGGTGCGGCTGGCAGACGTCGGGAATATTCTTCAGCGCGGCGTTGAGAACCGCGATCTGGATGAAGCACGAGAAGGTTGTGGCGACGACTTGGCACATGAACATGGTTCTCGGGGGGATCTTCATGTAGTGGCCAAACTTCAGATCAGAGACGAAGCCCAGAGATTGCGACATGGTGATGTAGCCGAAGGTCTTGAAGCTGTTGGAATTGTCAGAGCACGATGAGGGAAACGTCCCCGCAGAAGACTCACATCATGAGCGCAAGCGGCCGGCCGGGTTGAATGTATCCATAGATGAACTCGGTCAACACGTTCAAGCCGATCTGGTTGTTGGTGACGGCTTGAATGATGCCGATGGGCAGCGAGAAGCCAAAGGAGATGGCCACGGCCAAGAGGAAAGCCCACCAGGTGAGGTTGGTCGGGTATGCCAGGACGGTCACGAAACCGAGACCGAGCATCTAGGCCCTTGTCAGTGGGGTTATACCAAAACGATGCGGTGCAAACTCACAATCACGAACAGGCCCATGTACCACCAAGTCGGCGCCTCCTTGTACTTCTGCATGAGCTTCATATGGATATCGGGCTTCTCCTTGCTGCTGTTTTTGTACTGCGCCCAAATCTGCTTGCCATTGTGCAGGTACGTGTAGACGACCAGGGAGGCGATGGCAGCAAAAGACAGCCCGTACGAAATAGCAAAAGTTGTGCTAATGAAGAGAGGCGAGTAGTTCTTGTAGGCCTCCAGGTCGAGCGTGAGCTGGGGCGTCAAAATGCGAGTGGTGTTATACGGGTTGCCGGTGTTGTCGTACGTGCCGGAGTCACTCATGGGCAGGAATTGGGCGTACCAAACATCGGTATAGTGGAAGATTGAGGCGCCGATGACGAAGAAAACAACAACACCGATGAGGGTGTTGGCAATTGCGTGCCTACACGGGGTCAGCTTGAATCCAATGCATTTCATACAAACGTATGGAAGAAACTCACCAAGGGGGGATAAGCGGAGAACCAACGAAACCCGAAATCTGAGTCCAATCGAGCGTCAAAGGCAGAAGTGAAAGACCGCTAGTGCCACCGAACAGCTGGTTGATGACGACGTTGTTGGGCGCAATCCAAGTCGCAAACGCCATAATGCTTAGGAACTGAGCAAGGAAGCCGGGGATCCAGTAATAGCAGAATGAGGCGAGCGTAATGATACCGAACCACTTGTACCGAGGCATGCTACCTCCGATGAAGCTGGGATCGGGTCGGTCGTTCGCTTCGTACATGGCGTTCATCAAGGTGACGGACACTAGATTACCGGGCCAGATCATGGCCGCTGGGTAGACTGGGCATCAAGTCAGCGACCATAAGCCTTGGCTTACTCATGGGAGACGTACCTAGAAACTTTCTCATGATGCCGGCGATGCCGTAGCCCAGCGACTGGGTCGATATCGTGAGAAGCAGCTGGAAGACGATACCAAAGTCTTGCTTGTAGAAAACCAGCTGGGCCAAGATGATATCAGTGGCGTACGCGACCGAAAAAGAGACACCGGCCATCACGACGATGATGGAGTGTTCCTTAATGTTGAAAGGCCCCGGGTTCAGACTCCACTTGAGGCCAAAGGTGTTGTATTGCTTTGTTGGCATCACTTTGGCCCAGCCTTGGCCGATGGGCCAGGCAATGATTTGGGCGATCAGAGGGCCAAGACCGATAGAAGGCTGTCGTAATGAGAACAGGGTATTCATCGAAGCGCCGACGGTGACTAGCAAAAGACCGATAGTCCAAGCTCGAATGGTGTTGCATGGGACGTCCTCGTCGTAGTTGCGAACGGCGGCACGCACTTCTGGGTAGGGCGAGTCCTCCTCCTCCTCCCTCTTCATTGCGAGCTCATCGTCGACCTCTGCGGTTGGCGTCGAGCCCACCTTGCTGATCCTTGTCTCGTACTCTTCGGGCAGGTTGGGATCTAAGAGAAGTTCATGTTCGGACCCTTGCTCATCTTCATCATCATAGCCATGGTAGACACTTGACTCACCCCATTGCGAGAGCCGCTGCCTCAAGTCCTCGACCGGGTCGTGGTCAACGTAACTTGAGGTGGTAGCGGGGTTGATCTCGCGCCCACTGATCTCCACCTCTGCTTTGGATTCGGGCCCGCGATCGTTATCCGCCATCGTAGGTTCTGAAGCCGTGCCAGACGACTTGACGCTAGATGGTTGGGGCATGCTGATGATATTCCCAAAGGCGTGGGAGCACAATCATCGACGCAGGGTCCAAAACGTCCAAAAGCAGGAGGAGGCAGTGGGTTTCTATATAGGGGGAGTCTAAGGTGTCTATGCGAATGGCGTTGAAGGACGGAAAATGAGAACCGGCTGAGCTAAGAGGACCGATCCCAGACCAACATGAAGCAAAGGCTATTTGCTTTTCTGATTGTATCGGATAAGCCACTGGCGCGGCCCTCTTGAGGCGAACAGTAGCGTGTTAGGATCTGGACCCCGAAGCGAGCAGGTCGCAGGTCGCAGGTGCAGACAACAGCGCAGAGACCACCCTCGTGCTTGGGAAGTCAGGATGATACTCGGTAGGAAAGTTCGGCGATCCGCAGTCCGGGATCAGGCCAAGAGATAGCGAAAGCACCCACTGGGGCAAAGTATCGTTGAGCGTGTCGTGTGCGGTGATCAGATGGTCGAGGGTGTCAAAGACGAGGTGGTCAAAGGCATGAAAAGCGACCAGTCTCAAGGAGAGCGGGTTTCCTGGCCGGTGGAAAGGCTTGGACAACGAGAAGGCTGAGTGAGATATGGCTGCTTGACGGGTGGCTAATGATCGGAAGAGAAACACATGCGACACTGAAACCAAGCTGCGGCACAGCTCAGCACAGATGCAGTATGGTGTGGCAAGTCAAGGCCGGAGATAGTGACTTGGTTTGCGGGGATGAAGGCGGACGGTGAGTTTGCAGATGCCGAGATGCGATGGGAGACCCTGCAAGATGGGGGGAGACGCAGGGCTCAAAGTCGCCTCTGCTCCCGAGGGCTCATTTGTTTCTCTTGGAAGCTATCAATGATACCGATTTGGAATGCCGGGAAGATCTTGGTGTCTGAAACGAGGATCAAAGACGCCTGATGAGACGAGATGTTGTCCGCCAGGGATTCCGTCTCTTTGAAGGGATTGATCTTGTGATGGTCCTAAGGCGGCTGGTGAGCAAGAATGCAATGGGACGGTCAAGGATGCCACCTCACGGGATCGATAGGAGCATGACAGAAGACAAAGTTCAGGGAAGCTTTCTCAAAAGCGTTGCAATATTCATCGATATGTAGGGGGGAAAGAGACAACGTGTGAGAACACGCCAGTCGCGACGTGTGTCGTTGCGTTGCGTTTGCGACGCAGTGGCCAGTTCCCCGGTTCCAGTCGGTCTCTGACGCCTGAGTGGCTGCCGCCCAACCCGGACCCAAACTCCATTGAGGTTATGCTAAGCCTCCCCCCCTGTCGTTTCCCACTAGTCGGCCTTACCATGTAGGTACGTACAAAGTAAACTGGAAGGTACAAGTCGGTGGTCCCTTACTGCGCAGAATCTATTGACGTGAGATAAGGTTTCCGCACTGTGATCTCACCGCCTCAGAGCATCCTGCTTTCCGCTAGGACAGCCCCTGACCGCACAGTGTGCATATAATCCCTCGTCTCAGCCTCCTGCATCACGCCGTATGCGGCTGCAAATGGGAGTCGCGCCTGTACGTACCGCGCTACCTATCAAAGTCACAAGTCGCGCCAAAACTCTCCATCTGTGCGGTGCAGCAGAGACGACCTGACCGCGCATTTTAACGTTGTTCCGACTTCAAGTTTGCTGTTTACTTACCTGCCACCCTACCTATCCATTCTTCGATTGGTTACGGACGCCTGCACTGATACACTCTCTTGCTTCACTCGGCTCTCAATCCATCCCCACCTTCGAAGCAGCGACCCGCCCCTTCCGCCCCACCCTTTTGCATCTTCTTGTCTTCCCTGTTTACACGTCGGTGCGTTTTCCTGAACAAAACACGACACATATCCCCCCTTGGACATGGCCGAATGATGCGACGAGTTGTCGTGACAGGTCTCGGTGCCATCTCGCCTTTTGGTGTCGGCGTGCGCTCCACATGGAATCGTCTCTTGGCTGGCCAGTCTGCCATCACCAGTGTGGCCAACTTGGAGCCGCAAACCCGCTGGAAAGATCTGAAGAGCACAGTTGCTGGCGTAGTCCCCAGTCATGGCTCGGATCCAGACCATTGGCGGCCTGACGACTGGCTGGATGCCACGGAACAGCGTCGCATGTCTAGGTTTGCCCAGTATGCCGTGGCATGTGCTGAGATGGCCATGAAAGATGCTGGGTGGCAGCCGTCCTGCCAAGACGACCAAGAGGCCACAGGCGTCTGCCTCGGAAGCGGCATAGGAAATCTAGAAGAGATCTACGAAACGAGCTTGGCATTTAACCAACAAGTGAGAGTTCGCTGCAGTGATCGACGAGCGATGCCAAGCTAAAGTCTGTTTGGGTAGGGCTACAAGAAAGTTTCGCCGCTGTTCGTCCCCAAGATCCTCGTCAACCTGGCTGCTGGCCACATCTCGATAAAATACGGGCTCCGGGGACCGAACCATGCCGTTACAACCGCTTGTACCACTGGCGCCCATTCCATTGGGGATGCCATGCGGTTTATTGCTTTCGGGGACGCAGACGTCATGGTCGCTGGTGGTACCGAATCTTGCATCCATCCCCTAACCTTTGCCGGTTTCGGAAGGGCAAGGTCCCTCTCCACGGCATACAACCACGAACCCCACGCCAGCTGCCGTCCCTTTGACCGCGACCGCAACGGTTTTGTCATCTCGGAGGGGTCGGCAGTTTTGGTGCTGGAGGAACTCGAGCACGCCAAGGCCCGGGGCGCTCGTATCTACGCGGAAGTGAGGGGTTACGGCTGCAGCGGCGATGCCCATCACATGACAGCCCCGCGCGAAGACGGCCATGGAGCTTTCCGCGCCATGAAGCTTGCCCTCAAGAATGCCGGCGTTCGACCAAAGGAAGTGAGCTATATCAACGCGCACGCCACTGGGACGCAGGTGGGCGACGCGGCAGAAGCTTCCGCGATACGACTCATCATGACAGGCGAGGAGGGTTACGCGGACGAGTCTTGTGTCACAGTGAGCAGCACCAAGGGTGCCGTCGGCCATCTGTTAGGGGCGGCTGGCGCCATTGAGGCAATGTTCACCGTGCTATCAGTCGCTGAGGTGAGTCGCGGCTTTTCGGTTATTAAACCGAAACCTTATGTTTCCTAGACTCCTTGTCTAAAATGAAGATTTTGCTGACGATGCTAAAGGATATTGTGCCACCCACGCTGAATCTCGAAAACCCGAATGTCGGGGGATCCATGAATCTCGTGCCGCTTCAAGCGCAGACCAAACGGGTTGACAATGCTATTTCTAATAGCTTCGGCTTCGGCGGCACGAATGCCTCGCTTGTTTTCTCCAAGCTTCACTAGAGCGAGGAGAGCGGTGCCGATGCAGCCAGAAGAACCTAGCGATGACAGGCGTATCCACGTTTTATCGAGGATTAACTCAGACCTTTTGGTTTTTGTTTTTGCATGTCTGTTTGCTTTGCTTTGAAGAGCTAATTATGGAGCCTGGGCATCGTACAACTCGAATGATTGGACCATAGAGTTCTAATACCTAAATATGCCTGGCCGGTGGGCGTGCGTGGTCCGCGTGCGTGGTCCGCGTGCGTGGACAGCGTCCGTCATGAGTAGGTAGCAGCATGAGATGAATTTGGTGATCACCATCTCCGACGTAAAAGTGTGAACAAGGAAAGGAACATGTCCAAACTGAGATACGAGCAAGGAAGACCAAGCCCAAAGCTGAGATGGGTGGCCAAGGCAGACCCTCGTAAGATCGCACAGGACAACCCTTCGGAAACATGAGCGCACATCCAAAGTAAGCCGTAAACCATATAGAAATAATGCGGTTATGGCCCCCGAAGACCCGTGGATTATTAACCTAACCGTCATCGAAAAGCGCAACCCAGGCCGAAAATCGCCACCGTGCAAAGGGCGGGAAACACTGTACAGTCGAGGCTGGTCGCGTATGACCCGAAGTTCCGCCGGCCGGGCATGCGCTGCTAACTCGAATTTCGATGTGTTCATGGACTTTTTTTTTTTGGATGACGTCCAGACTTTTAAGCTTCCGCGACTTGGGCCCGAGTTGAGGAGAGAAAGGCTGTATCGGCCAATTTCGATTACGAAGCTACCGACACAACTCCGAACGAGGAATCCCCACCAATTTACAACCCGCGCAGGCTCGGCACGAACATTACCTACTTCCACTGAACACCGAAAAGATGGCCTGCCAAAGCTGCCGCTACCAGGCGAGACTCCTGGCCCGGAGCTTGCGAGCCACCGCCGACCTCGCCTTGCCCCGGAACCCTTTCGCTGCTACGGCGCGCCGGGTGGCTCCAGTGACCAAGGCCACCTCGACGACACCAACTCCTCCGTCGAGGAGATGCTTTAGCCAGACAACGCGGCGGAATGGGGCGCCGTCGTCCGGGTTCAAGGAGGCCATCGCGTCGAGCATTGTGGCTGCCGCGCCAAAGACCATGGCGGCGACCCTGACCACCTCCCGTCTCGAGGCTCTCTACAAGATCTGCTCGGCACCAGCGCTGTACCAGATCCCGGAGCAAGAGCGCACCAACGACACGGTCCGGATGACGACCGAGGGCGAGGAGATAGGGTACCCGATCGGACCGTGGCTGCAATGTACGTTGACCTACCTATTGAACCCCCCCCCTTCCCTTGGGGGAACTGCCCCATGCCGCCGATTGCACAAGACTTTGGATGTAACAGGCCCTTGCTGACTCTCCCTCCTCCGCCACTAGGCTTAGACCTTCAACCCTCCTTCAGCTCGTGGTCCCAGGCCACGATGCTGCACATGTACACCGTTATCGCGCGCATGCGGTGCCTGGACCGCGACACCTCCCGCAGCCTGCAGCACCAGTTCATCGACCAGTTCTTCTTCGACTGCGAGCGCATGATGCACCTGAACCACGGCATGACCTCGTCGGCGCTGCGCCAGCGGTACCTTAAGGAGATCTTCGTCCAGTGGCGCGGCCTCATCGCCGCCTACGACGAGGGTGTCGTCAAGGACGACCGCGTGCTCGCCGCCGCCATCTGGCGCAATCTGTTCAAGTCCCGCGAGGATGCTGACATGCGCCAGGTCGCTGCTGTCGTCGCCTGGCTGCGTGCCACGCTGCAGGACCTCGAGGCAATCCCCGCCGAGGACCTGCTCGTGGCGCCGGCCAAGATCTTCAAGAGGGACATCAGGGAAATGTTCAAGCTCGTCGACGCTGTTACGCCGCAGGTCCGGGTGGACTTGGCTAAGGCTGGCGTTGTCCAAGGGGAGGCCGTGGCGAAGGCCTGAGATCTGACAGCAATTTTGGCTGGCTGGGTCAGAGACCGCCCGAGCAAGGCTTCTGGGAGGGAGGGAGGGGGGATCACTGTACCTGTATCATTGTGAAGCGATTGTGATGTATAGTAACGACAGAGGTCGCGGATTGTAACCTGGCACGCGCAAGGGATGACGCATTTACGCTTTGTAACTTTATACATTCACCAACGCATACTACCTATAGAGGCACGGGCCGGGGAAAGGGCACAAGAGAAAATAAAAAGAAAGAAAGCAAGCAAGCTCATCGACCCAACCAACTTATGTAAAACGCAGATAACCTTTTATTTATATTTCCATTTGCAAACCGACCAGGTGCGGTCTTGATGTTAAGCCCTCTCCCACATCTGGAACTCATATTTCGTCCCGTTCTCCTCAATCTCGCCCCCCTCGACCTCCTCCCCGACCCAGGCGTCCAGACCCGGCTTCTCGACCTTCCTCCACCCCTCCGCCGCCTTTCCCCCCTCGTCGCTCAGCGTCAGAGGGAAGAAGGCGTCGCACTCGAATTCAGCAAGGACCTTGGTCAGCAGCACCCTCCTCGCCTCGGGCGCCCGGAGCGTGGCGTCGTAGATCTGCGCGCCGCCGATGACGAACACCCTGCCCAACCGGCTGGCGACGCCGTCGGCGCGCAAGTACGCGAGCGCCTGCTCCAGCGAGCCCACCTTGACGGGCTCCTCGTCGGCGTCTGGCGTCGCGGGTGCCGAGGCCGGATCCCAGGCGGGGTGGGAACGGCTGATGACGATGTTGAGGCGGCCCTTGAGGGGGCGGAACTTCGGGGGGATGCTCTCCCACGTCTTACGGCCCATGATGACGGCGTTGCGGGCGTTCGGGGGGGCCTTTCACCTCGTAGTTACAGAGTCAGCGTCGGCGGACTAGTACATATATTAGGCTATATGGAGCCATGGACGCCTTGTGACGGTCCCATCTCATGTGCGAGAGGCGAAGAAAAAATAGAAAAGAATCGGGGGGGGGGAGGGGAGAGGCGGGAACCTTGTGTACCTGTGATGGGAGCCTCTTCGTCACGCGCGCAAAGTAGGCCATTTCCTTCTTGAGCCCCGCCCAGGGGAGACCGCCCTTGGCGCCGATTCCCATGTTGCGCGTCGCCGCGACGATGAGGGTGAGCTCGTGACTCATGGCGGGACGTCCCTTCTGGGCCTGGGTTTCGTTGCTTTCTCTGCTGGAGCTCTTAGTTTGAGACGCTGATTGTGGTTCTGCCAGAAAATATTTAACCAAGTTGAGAGCGGCGTATCAGAGCAACTTGCTACATATGCAAGTTGGGTGGTTGCGGTGGAGGGTTGCGCGTTGTATGAGATGTGGATGGAGTGTCTAGTTTTGCGGGACGCGATCGAGCCACACGACTGGCGCCGGCCAATTGGTGGGTTCCTTGGGGAATGCGGTATTGGACTCGCAAACATCAATGCAAACCTCGAGTTAAATGCCGTTGAGTGAGTAGCCCGCCGCAAAGGCTGGATTGAAGTAGACACCATCTAAAAACACCGTTGTCTAATAACTGAAGGTAAATGGCTGTCTGCGGCGACTGAAACCGTGTCTCACCCAAGTATCACTTTCACCAAACTCGATATGAGGCTTGAGAGCTCAAATTCAATTGTCAATCCTACTATATTCGCACGTGGTATATGATGAGTGACTTCCTTGTCACACCCGACTAGCCCCAGCCGTCTGTAATCAAACGCCAACAACTCCGTTGTAACCATCGTAACGCGGATTGCAGGCATCCATCCACCCATCATGATGGCCCTGTTCGCAACACCTCTCCGCCAACTGCGTTTCTGCAGCGGGTTATCGTAACTCAACCGAAGGGAAATACCGCGGCCCTGCGAAACCTGTGGCGAGTACTGCTTGAATATCGATGTTGCTGCCGGATGCCCGGCTGCTGCTCCACATCTTCAGGAGTATAAATCGTCCAGAAACTGGCGGATCAAACCGAATGGTACATTTGCTCTTATCCTTTTCGATAAAGAACTTGGCATGGGGGGCCATGAGCTCCCCACCGACGGCTCGCACAGCCTCCTGAGTTGCCACCTGAGTTGCCTCTACAGCCTCTGCCAAAGACATGTCGGAAGCGTCTCGACGCCTGCTAGTGAAGGGGAAGTCTTCAAATCCATACTCGTCCGAGGCAAATGGATTGCCGTCGTCACTGCTGTCACTCTCAAAAGGCAAGGCTCCAATTCTATTGGGTGCTCGCCGATTGACAGGAACCCTTGGATTTTCCTCATCATCGGTCTCCTCGTAACTACACTCGGTCGTGATATTGAAAGGCGGCAAGTGGGTAGTAAACTCCGCGGGGATCTGCGCCGTCCTTGGCCCGTTTTCTTCCTCATCGTGACCTAAACTGTACAGCCGCCTTTGCCGCGTATGAGTTCTGGTGACGGTTGTGCCATCTTCGTGGTGACGTATCGAGATGATGGGGGCCAGCGCCCTTGTCGCCGATGAACGACTTGACCTTAGCGGGGCATACTGTATCTCATATTGCGCTGTGCGTTTAAGCAGCTCGTCTTGGTCCATAGACACAAACACCATTCCCTCTCGCACCCTGCCGGAACTTGTCAGATCTAGTTCCCGTAAGATCGGCGCAGATATCACTTACGGCGATGAGTAGTTTGATGCCGGCGCCTTGATCACGAGCTCCTTCAAGGTAAATGCTGTTGCACCCTGATGCCGTAGGATGATGTTGCAACGGTTGGATTGTGTGCAGTACACAGTTTTGTCGTCTTTCAAGATATTCTCGTAAGCATGCAGGGAGGCGTTCTCGTACAGTCCCCCATCGCAGCTCACTATTTCCATCTTCAACTGGCCGGGCTCAACTTGCCCATATCGACCGTACCGAAATCCTCTGAAGCTCTGAGAAGCGCGTTCGGAGTCCAGCTTTCTCCTTTTTACTCTTCGGTTCCCCTCGTGGTATTCCTCCGAAGGAGGAAGGGGGGATAGATTAGGTGGGGACATGTTAGGAGGCATCCTGGGCGGTGAAAAGGGTGAGGAGCTATATTGAGCTCTACGATTCCACAGGGCTCTCACTGCCTCTACGTCGTCTTCGGTGCCCTCGGGTCGCTGACGGCCGTTTATTGATCGAACAGCCCTATAACCAAAGACGGGCGGTAATTGAAGGGGGTTCCTTCGGACGTCGTCGTTGTCTCGCTGATCGTTCTGGGGTGTATCTAGTAAGTTGGACGCCTGGCTCCGGTTCTGGGTGCTATCTCGGGAGAAACCAAAGTCGTCCTGCGCCGCAGACATGAACGCTGTGAAACCATTCAGGCTGTTTCCCACCAGCTCGTCGTATTCGGCCTGAAAATTTCTGTCTGCCATATGCCGCCTAAGATGAAGATAAGATTCAGTCTGGTCTTGGGTCGTGTAGGGCTCGGGTTCCCATGGGTGTCGAGGTGGCTGAGGAGGGTGTATCACATGATCTGCGGGCAGAGGCGGCAGTGGGGGTAGTCTTCGATGCGGTGGTAAAGGCGGATAGTCGTTGTTGTCGCGCCTTTGAGAATTCTGGCTCGGGTTTGGCCGCTGCGACGACATGCTTCGGCGGTGGAGATTACAAACACCCAGCGACGCAGGCGCCTGCCAGGGACAGGAGTTTGCGTTCAGAGTCGCCCGGTATTGTGTCCGTCAATGTCGGCGAGAGCGAAGAGCGGTGGGAGTGTTGGCCGCGGTTCGAGGGAATAATTGTGGATTCGGCGGGAGGCAACTTCGGTGGGTTTGAGTGGGTGGGATGAATGGTAAAGACCAGGGCGCAACCTGCCGGGTGCCGATCGAGGGGCTTGGAAGCTGGCAGACTGGTTAGAATACCTACCAGAGATAACACCGCAGAGACGTAGCAAAGGCTTTGGCCGTGCTTAAAACCACGGTCCACAGAGCGGAGGGCTTGGAATACATAGAACCACCCACCACCATCAAGGGCGCACTCACAGAGGTGTCGCGACCGATGGTTAGGGTATAATCGACCGTCAGTCGTTGCCGTAACCAAGGAACAGATGGCTGGTGAGATGAATGCTTGTATTTTTGAGAGAGAAAGAGCCGAACGATACTGGCGCGAACGACCGTCGTCGCTGGATCGAAGATTTGTCGTCAGCAGGCCAGCGAATGGCGGAAGTTGGTTGGTTGACGTAGGAAATCGGGGTTGGACTGGAGGGTACCGCTGATACCTGGTTTGTACTGTTCCAAGTGCAGCAAGCTCACCTCCAATCAATCGCAGAGTCAGTTGGGATCGCCCTGATGCACCCGCTAAAGAGAGCCCCTGGCCCTGTCTTTCGCGGGGTTTCGTGCCTACCTATACCTAATGAGCCGCTGATGCAAGGAAGGGGGCCTTTCAATAGGAAATGCTAAGCAGTACGCGATCATTGTATGGGACCACGTGCCCCAACCAGGTACCACTTTAGTGTGGCTCTAGCGCGTTATCCGTGCTCCATACATTGGGAGGCGGGAAGGTGCCAGCGGCCTGGCACCTTAACAATTTCTGACGAATAGAAGTTACCTTAGCCTCAACCTCATATGAATCCGTCAAGCCTTCAACCTTCAGCCTTGCTTCGAGAGGTGAGTTCGGGACATACCTACTCACATATCGGGTATCAATTTCCTCGAGCGAGCAAACTGACCTCTAGCGACTTGATTCACGGACCCCGCGGCTTCGCTCTTTTGACAGGCCTCACGGCAAGCCCAACTCCCGGGGTCACTCGACGCGGCCTCTTTCACCTTCCATTCACTACTACCTCATCGCGCCAACGCAGCTTTCCAGGCCAGAACCTGGCGTGTATGCTTTACTGAGCTAATTCGTCCGTAATTCGATCCACATCACAAGCCGAGGACAGGATTTCCATCTTTGCGTCATATATCACCCTGCTCTCGGCGCAGTCTCATCTCAGCCGTTCAAGATGGATGAGCAAACACAGCCTCAGGACAAGCCGGCGCAGGAGACCACCGCGCCCAGCAACGGCACCCCAGCACAGGAGACCATCGTCCCTCACCACCCTATGCCCAGCACCTCCAACGGTTTTGATCCTAGCATGCAAGCCGTGCTCATGGATCAGGTCCTTCCCGAAGCCCTGCAGGGGGTCATGCCTGGAAGCATACCTACAGGAGACCTACCCCCAAACATGCTGCCGGACATGTTCCAAGCGACCCAGATGTTCATGCCCGAGCTTCTCCAACAGGGTGGACAAATGTATGACAACAACGGCATGCTTCAAGGCCTTCCTGTCGCCGCACCTCCCGCCATGAGCGCAGGTATGCGTCACTTCTCAAGAAGGACCCCCAACTAGATGACTGACCCTTTTATCAGATGAGATTGCGCTCTATGACCGTCAGATTCGCCTCTGGGGCATGAAGGCCCAGGAGAAGATCCGCAATGCAAACGTCCTCCTCATTACCATGAAGGCTCTTGCGAATGAGATCGCCAAGAACCTCGTCCTCGCCGGCATAGGATCCCTCACCATCCTCGACGGCGCTACCGTCACGGAATCAGATCTGGGATCGCAATTCTTCCTGTCCGAGGAGGAGAACCACATCGGCCAGAACCGCGCGCAGGCTGCGGCCGCCGCCATTCAGAAGCTCAACCCCCGTGTACAGGTCCATGTGGATGCTGAGGGCATCAAATCCAAGGGCACGAGTTACTTCTCGGCCTTTGACATCGTCATTGCCACCGACATGGACCCCGACTCACTCAACATTATCAACACCGCCACCCGCCTTCACCAAAGGTCCTTCTACGCCGCCGGCACGCACGGTATGTACGGCTTTATATTCTCCGATCTGATCGAGCACGACTACGTCATCGAGAGAGATCTCGGCAACGTCGCGACGAAGCTGGGGCCCGAGACGAGAACCCGGAGCGTTATCGGCGTCAGCACGAAGAAGGAGGGCGGCAAGACGGTCGAGGTGGTGACGAAGCGTGAGCTCTACTCGACATGGTATCTCGCTAGTGACGGTGCTACCCTGCCCGAGGAGTACGCAAAGAGCGCGAGAAGGAAGAAGGCGGTCAGCCCCGTCATCTCCTGCCTGCGGGCGCTGTGGGACTTCCAGGTCCTCAACAGCGGCCGACTGCCCAGCCATACCAAGGAGGACCTCGGTCTCTTCACCAAGCTTGCCACGGCTAAGCACACCCAGCTGGGCCTCCCGTCCGAGACACTGCGCTCCGAGGTGCTGCGGAGCTTCCTGCAGAACATCGGCAGCGAGATGGCTCCGGTCACCGCCATCCTCGGAGGCGAGCTCGCACAGGACGTCATCAACGTCCTCGGTCAGACCCAGCAGCCCATCCAGAACATGGTCATCTTTGACGGCAACAGCATGGAGGCGTCGGTTCTCCCGCTGCACCCTGTCGGCGAGCTGGGCCGCGGCCTGCTATCCCTCGCCGCGGCCGGCGGTCTCATGCCCAACGGGGGAGGCATGGTTCCCGGCGACCCTGGCATGATGATGAACATGGACGGCACGGTGGACTTTGGAAACCAGATCCTTACACAGTAAGAGGCTCTCATTCCCTCTCTTGGCACGCGTCGGAGGCCTTGACACGGCTGGGCTTTGTAGCAAGGAGTTGGACACCGGAATTTCCTATCCCGACACTTTTCTGCCGGCGTGGGATTTGAAAGGGAAAAAAATTGGGCCGGACACGTGTAATATTAAGCTGCCTACTCTGTAATCAAACAAAAGTTGACCAGGCTCGCGCCCATATTCTGAACACTCTTGGCCACCGTTATTGAGCTTGTCGTGTGTAAATCTAACTGCGGACGGAGACAAGGAGCTTTCACGCATTGCCAGTTCACATGCAGTCGCGCAGATTGTCTGAAACCAGATCCTCTTCCAAGTGTTCATTATCATTCCAAATTTACTCGGGTCTAGTATCGACCATAACCCCTCGGCCCCGACTCCTATTCCTTCGGGGAAGCTTCCTGGACGGCTTTTCGGCCCGAGCTCCCTCTCTGCCTTGCTTTCCTCCACCTCGGTATCATGGGGGTAATTCGTCCCCAGAGGTATAAACCAAAGTCCAAAGTGATAAGGTAATATAGTACATGTTCTTTTCGCTTTTCCTGACTCGCTCTCCACTGATGCTCAAATCTTTAGCGAGGCGCCCTTGCAGTCGCGCTTATTGGAGGCGAACTTCCTAGGAGCTGCCTTCTTAGCGGCCGCCGTCTTGGCAGTATTTTTCTTGGTAGTCTTCTTGAGACCCTTCATTTCGGACGTCGAGTCCGGCTTCTTGCGGACCTGGTCCTGTTCCTAGCGGGAACCGCGACGCTCGTCGCCATTCTCTTCCGTCTTCTGACGTTGGATTCTATTGTTGTTGATATTCCATCCCCGGATCTGGACGGGGCCGCGACGCGGAGGGGGCTCGGTGGGTGAATAGTCTTTAATGTTCTCCTTGTAATCATACTGGACAGTCCTCAGCTCGGGGCCCTGTGGCCAGCCAACTCTGTGAGCGGGCAGGGGAGCAGGTGCCAGCTTGGGGTATTTGCTGTTGCCCGGGGCGCTCGGTGTGGATGAGCCGCTTCCCGCCCGGCTTCTCGAAGGCTCCCCAGGCTGCTGCTGGACGAACTGAAGGGTGGGGGAGCTCTGTACAGGCGCGATGGAGGAGTAGGTAGGCGACATGCCTGGTGGCCCGTACGACTGTTGCTGTTGCTGCTGAGGGGGTGGCACTGGAGGCTGCGAGCCGGGGTAAGGAGGATATTGGCTCATCATAGGCGGCATGCCAGGCTGCTCCTGGGAGTAGCCATTGTGGTAAGGTCTCGGCGGACCGGGAGGATAGAAAGAGCCACTGTTGCTGTTCATGTACGAAGGCGGTTGTTGCTGCTGCTGGTGCTCCATAGACATGGACTGCTCCGATGCGGCAGGGGCGCTTTTGCGCCCTCGCGACGGCCGCAACGGGGGAAGCGGCGAGCTTCTGTCCTGAGAGGGGTTCGTAAACGGCATCCGGGAGGTAGAGCCGGACTGCTGAAGTTGCGGAGGGCCTTGTGCCATCGGACCTCCTGGCATGGACATTCCCGGCAGTTGATATACCTGATGAGCCTGGTTGTAGGTTTGCTGGTGATACTCATGATGTCCGGCCTGGGCCTCCATCGGCGCAGAGTAGAGGCGGGGATCAATCATGGGGTCCGCCGCCATATAGTGTTGCTGTGGATGAGGAGGAGGTAGGTGCTGGTCATTGTAGGCTGAGGGGCCACTGTGCTCGTGGTACATCGAGTGTCGGCGCGTATCGTTCGAAGCATCGATGGAAGATCGCATTTGCGACATCTCAACTGGACGTGCGGGGGGTAGTTGGTTCGAGTGGTGATCCCGCATCAGGCCAGTCTCGATGGATGGGTGTATCCGGCTGTCGGCTCCCGGAGATGCGATACGGGGCTCGACCCAGCTTATACCGTCGTTAGGAGGTGCGCCTGAGGTAAGAGACTCAGCTGGCATAGGCTGGATAGAGTAGCCGGGCTCGATGTTGCCGTGACGATGTCCGTCGAGTGGGATGGGGTGGCGAACATGCGCGTCGGCCATAACGACGTCGGCGGGCTGAGTGGTGTGAGTGGCGGTAGACGCGTCGGCGAGGATGGCGAGTGCAGTGGTGTCGAGAGGGTCGGGGGCCATGGCAGGAGCAGGAGGTTCTGGAGCGGGCGAATCACTAGCTCCAAAGATATCTCGAATTGCGTCGTAGGCACGGGTAGCAGGTCTCGCGGGAGTCGGAGCGGGAAGAAACGCAGGCGTCTCTTCGACCGGCTTAATCTCCCTGTTCTCGGCTTCAACAGCTTCGGCGGCAACGAGGAGCTCCTCCATGCCCGCTATGTTCAAGGCGGAATCATTGATTGGCAGAGGTGAAGTGGCAGGCGTGTCTTCAACGCTTTCAGGCTCCGACTCCTTGATAGACTCGGCAATAAGTCTCTGCTCGGCATACTCGGCCTGGATGTCCTTCAGGGCCTTGAGCTCGGGACCTTCGATGTCATCCGGCGAGATGTCGTCCTTGCCACATACCGATGAGAGAACGGCGGCCATTTTGTCTTGATGGGGCTTGTCGGCCAAGGCAATCTCGACCTTTGCTGCAGGTACGACACGAGACGCATGGATGGTCTTGCCAGAAGGCGTCAGGAACACGGTCGGGTGCATTGGGTTTGCTTCCGGCTTTGGAGGCTCGGCGTCGTTCTTGCTACTGGGAAGGAAGTAGCCGTAGCGCGGATGAACAGCAAATCTCTCCACAAGTTCCTTGTCATAGTCGTCTTCCTCGATTTCCCGAGCGTCCCAACGAGCAAGCAGGGGATCGTAGTGCCAGGTGTTCGAGTTGGGCTTGCCGAGATACTTGCCACGCTTTGCGAGAGTGGCTCCGTGCCTAGGGGAGTTGGTCGAATCGCGGTATCCAATCTCGTCATCATCGAACTGAAATGACGGGGGAACAATGAGACGGTTGGCGATACTAGCGCCGTTTTTGGCAGTAGGGCGGTTGACCTGTCGGCACCCGTACTCGTCCGGCTCGGACGCTTTTGCTGGCAAGGCCGGTTCTCTCTGGTCAGCGGTCACCGGGCCCTCGGGAACTGGCGTGCTCTCGTTTGACTCGTCCTCAATTGGAGCCTGTTGAGCCGACATAATACCCGCGATGTGACGAACAGGCGCGACATCACCAGAAGATCTCTTGGAAGCAGGCTGACCATCTGGTTGGTCCTTTGCTTTGCGCTTGGTCCGCGTTGCAGCAGCGGTTGAGGTGGGTGGTGCAAGACTGTCCTTGGCCGGTTGAGGCTCGGCCCAAGCAGCCTGTCTGAGTGCATTGGCTTCAGTTCCCTCGACGAGTTGAGGGTAGGGAACAAGTTTGCCATCGACATAGACTTCGTAAATGCCGAATTCGCTGGCTTCCTTGTCGGAGATTTGCTTGTAATTCCAGCCGCCGTCGACGAGCTGAGGCCAGTGTGAATAAGCGAGATATAGGAGAAGAATGGGGAAAAAGAAAGAAAAAAACAAAACTTACATCAACGGGCAAGCCGTGATCGTGGAGGTATTCTAGAATGTCGAGGCGATGAAGTTGCGCGTCCAAAAACTCGTTTTCTAGGTCTTCAAATCCATTCTAATGCCGCGGATCACCGCCAGTCAGCGGATGACCAGTGGAGCGAGAAAAACACAACGTGTCAGTCGGGGTGTCACGTACCTTGTAGATGTCGCGCACAGCGTCAAGCTGGATGTGCTTGGCCTTGAAGGTCATCTTGGCAGCAATCGCCAGCTTGTTCTCCGAGAGGGCGAGTTGTCTGTCGAGGCGCAAGTCGACGTGTTCGCTGACAACCGCAAACTCCGGCACCAGCATGTGGTATGCCTCATTCCTGGTGAGTTTCTTGACGGTTCGGGAGGCCAAGTCCTGAAGGGCAGGCTTCACAACATTGGCGAGAGCCGCATAAGTAGCCTTGAGCTCGCGCTGGCGTTCATAGTTGGCCTGGACTTTGTCGTCGGCGAACTGCTTGAATCGGCCGCGTCGACCTGTTCCGGCGGCGGCCGCGGGCTTTGGTGGCTCCTTTTTGGGAGCGGCGGCTTTTCTGCCCCGGCCTCTGCCCCTGCCTTTGGCCTTGGGCGTGAGCTGGGGCGTTGGAGTCGAAGCAGACTGCTCCGGTGTCTCAACGTCTGACATGATGGCGATGGCCGTTCATGAAAGAGACGTGAAGAGGAGAGGGGGGCGGAGATGGGTGGAGGCAAAAGTGTGAGCGGGTATGGGTGTAATGAGACGGGGGTAACGTGAGATGAGTTCAGCACGCGGCTTGAGGAAAAAGAGAATTGCGTGACGAGCCGCCCGGGTGTGATTCAGTCGATCTCAAGAGAGGAGGAATCAAACGCGACTGGTCCAAGCCAGGCGGAAGCTTTTGGGCTGTAGAAGTTCGTTGTTGGCTGTTCGGAGAACAGGACGAGGGTGAGTGAGGTGTGTGGTGTGGATTGACGGGGACGGTAATGGTGTGGGCTAAGAAAAAGCAGCCAGCCGCCTGGTCTCTCGCAACGGCCCAGGATTTCTCGATGAGAGACGGGCTTGAGCGAGAAGAATTGGGATCAGGGTAAAGATGAAGTCCGTCCGCAGAGACGGCTGTCAATGTCGAGTGGCGCGAATGCGGTGTTGAATTGCGGCGTGCAACAAAAGATTGCTTCGCTTTTTTCCCTTTCCTGCCTTTTGCAAGCAAATAATACCAGGCGGAGCGACAGCAGAGGCAGGAGCAGACGTGACCACCCTGCTACAGCGAGGCAGAAGGCAAGGCCCAGCCCAGCACTGTCCTGCAGACACTTACACCAATCTGGTAGGAGTAGGCTCGATTTGCCGCGCTTTCATTCGCCCGGAGGGCTGGATAATCCGACAACCGGAAATAGTCTTCTACCCCTGTCGGACCAAAGCAGGTGGGAAGTACCGAGTACTTGTAGGTTTTGTCATCTGGCAGGCGACTGCCACGCGCACACCCTCTCAGTGTAAGCCCTCTCCTTCAGTCGCCAGCGAGCTGGGCCGCTCAGGTCCTCAAAGGGGGATTTGCGACCTGGCAGGCCAACACGCGAGCATGCCTGAGTTGCTTGTGTGTGTGGTTCGCAGTCTTGGATGCCCGTATTCCGTACCGTTCCTGAGTGATGTTTTCTTGCCCACTGCCCTGATGCCACCGACTGGTTTCGATCAAGACGTGTATGACGGACGCCGAAGCAATGCTGCACTTTTGCACTTTACACGATGCCCGAGATCCGATTGTAGGATGTCACCTAAAGATCATTCGGTGCCTAGCACAGCCGGCAGCTCCTAAAGCGTCCAGGCATCGTTCCGCACCGCTATCTTGATTTGTCCCAACTCCCGATGCCCGTCTCCCGTGGCCACCCAGAGCCCCCTGACGTGACGAAAGCCACCCGGCAGCAGCCTGTGCTCCTTCCTCCAATAGCCAAGTTGCCACGCCTGTCGCATTGGGATAGGCCGGGGGTTTACATCTCGAGACGTCGGCCGTTGATCCAGGCAATAATAGTAATCGGCTGTGCTACCACGTCCAGCCTACGACAGTGGTTGTTCTCCACCGGTATTCTGTATCCTGGCTCCTTTTTATTCTATCGGCGTTTCATTCGTACTTCAGCAAGTAGAACTTCTGGATAACGGAAGCAGACATTTTTCTTCAAGCAGTGTACGCAGCTTGTCCGGGCGAGTCGGACGGTGCGACTTTTACAGGTCTTGGACCCGTCCGGGTGGGCCTCTTCTAGCCAGATCCCGAGCCCCAGCCGGGCCAAGTTCTTCTTCCTCCAGGACCCAGCGAGATGCATGTTGGTGTTGTACGTGTGTGGCTGGCCATGTGCCCTGCTCAATGAGCAAATGGAATCACATTACGTAGGTAATAGGCAGACCTCAGCAAGACGACCATCTTGGACATGGACCGACGTCCGCTGGTTTCCGACAATGAGTTCCTGCGGGCTTGCTGCGGCAACACATTTTGTACGACGAGACTCCTGGCATGCTCATCTCCCTTGCGCCTGGTTAAATGCGAAGCTGCTCAAGGTTACATGCGTGCCAGACAAGCCTCAACCAAGTTCGGTCCACTTGCTTAACGGCAACGCTAAGAAAGAAGGGACGAACAACCACCAACATTACCACATGATCCGAATAAGCAATGGAATCAATCCATCACACGGCGGCGGTCTGGCTGGCTGCCCAGTACAAAGCCTGCAGCGTGTCCTTCAGATATCTCACCGTATTCTTGGATGGGCTCCGAAAGTCTCTGCCTCCCTGCAAATCCGAGTGTCCACTGACGCCGCACGCCCGGGGTGCAAAGTCGGCGAGTCCCTGAACAGCACCACGTTCGCCTCAGAGCACCGCATGTACCAGATACCTTCCCGCCGCCCCATCCTTTCCCTCCCCTTCCACCCCCTGCGGTTCTCCATAACCCGGTGTCGCCCAATCCCACTCCCGTTCCAGGGGTCGGTTTCCAACAGGGCCAGCGAAAGGGGACGCTGGTAGACATGCTGTGACGCAGCACCTGGACCACTGTAAAAGTCACACGCACACCGGGCAAAGCAACGCGGACATACGGGCCACGGGGGACCACGGCTGAATCTCGTCAATTCCCGAGCCGCCGGGGCGCTCGCGCCATGCTAGTTCACCGCCGGGCGGACAGGGTCGCAAAGCCAAAAAGGAAGAACGGCAGAAAAAAAAAAGTTCTCGGTCAAGGTACAAACAAGCAACCGTGGGGTATTACTCGCACACCCCGGCGCCGACACGGGTAGCAACACCATCACCGACCACCGACTACACATCCCACCTTGCACCGCGACCACCACGCGTGCTGCTGCCGGACATTGAACTCGGGACCCCAATCGGAACTGCCCCGACGAAGACACGGCCCGGATCTCGACCCTCTCCAAGCACCGAAAAGCTTCACCCGCCCACCCCACAATGGCCAAAAAGCGCAAGCTCGGCAGCGTCAGCCACAAAAACCACTTCGTCGATTCGGGCAAGAGGAAGAACGGCCCCGGAGTCCCGGCCCAGAACAGCAAGAAGAAAAACAGCCAGAGTGTGCACGCCGCCGATAGCGACGCCAAGAAGAAGAAGCAACAGCAGCAGTACCACCAGAACCAGGAGCCCGTCATCCCATTCGCGCCCGAAGACTCCATTCTCCTCATCGGCGAGGGCGACCTCAGCTTCGCCGCCAGCCTCGCCGCTCACCACGGCTGCCGCAACGTGACGGCCACAGTCCTCGAGAAGAACGAACGCGAGCTGCTGGAAAAATACCCGCATGCCGCCGAGAACATTGCGCTGATCAACGGCGCCAGCCCGTCAAAATTAGCGGATTCGAGACCCACAGAGGACGGAGGCAACGATGCAGAAGACGAAGGAGAAGGAGCGGACGACACCGCTGCCGACGAAAAGGAAGAATTAGACGAAGACGACGACGAAAAGTACAAACCCCCCGTCGCCAATAACAACAAGATCCTCTACAACGTCGACGCACGCACGATGAAGCCCTTCACCCGCAAGTCCGCGCCCAACCACCGCGGCTTCCATATGGCGGCGCCCTCCAAGCAAGGCATCTTCAAGCGCATCCTCTTCAACTTCCCACACGTCGGCGGCAAGTCTACCGACCGCAACCGTCAGGTCCGCTACAACCAGGAGCTCCTCGTCGCGTTCTTCAAATCGGCGATCCCCTCCCTCGCCCCCGGCGGCACCATCGTCGTCACCCTCTTTGAGGGGGACCCGTACACACTGTGGAACATCAAGGACCTCGGCCGCCACGCGGGGCTGCAGTCCCTCCAGAGCTTCAAGTTTCACCCCAAGGCTTACCCCGGGTACAAGCACGCCCGGACTCTGGGCGTGGTGAGGGAGAAGAAGACGGGCGAGGCGAGTGGTGCGGCCTGGAAGGGCGAGGAGAGGCCGGCGCGGAGCTACGTCTTCATGCGCAAGGACGAGGCGCCCGAGGAGGTCCCCGGCAAGAAGAAGAGGAAGCGCGGCGGGGACGAGAGCAGCAGCGAGGAGGAGTCCGAGGTCGACGAGGGCTTTGACGACTAAACAAAATATAAAAGAAAAGGGGGGAGGGGGGCAATCAGGTGCTGCCAATATCTGTTGGGAGAGATATCGAAAAGTAAAGAGGGGACAATAGGGAAAAGAGGGCCATACAACAAGACATCCATCTAGTATCAGATGTACCCCTTCCTACAAAGGCAGTCAGTCTACTTCGGGCATTTGGTAGCACGGCGTTAGTCACGGAATCGGTCGGTCTTTCAGAAAAGGATAACAATGGAATAGGGGGCACAACAACGAGAAACGGGAGGGCAGCTTTCACCGCAACTACTTTGCAACGGTCACACAAATAGAGAGGGATCAACTCGCGTCGGTACTGTTCCATTGCATCTGCGCCAGACCCTTGAGGGTCTCAGGTTTATACCAAGCGACCATGTTACATTTCGCAATGCCATTGAAAATGCTATTGATACCATTCGACCACATACAGTGGACTTGCTCCCCCTCCCCCCCTCTTTCTTTTCTCGTCTGTCTGTCTCTCCCCCGTGGTTTCTCCCTTTCAAAAGGGATCACCTGACAGGGAAAATGCAGCGGGGGAGGAAGTCCATGCTCTTGTCACATATGCCTTTTTGCTGCCCCGTGCCCTGCCTGTTCAACGTGCCCTCTTTGAGGCGTGAAGATAAAAGAGACCCATGCTTTGCAATGCCACCAAGTCCCACTGTCCATCCCCCCCCAAAACACACACACACATCCCTCAGTGCCCCAGGCTTGGGCCCGTGCTGCTTGCCGCCTGCCGCGCTAGCCTAGGCCCAGATCAAAGAGACAGAAAGCAAAAAAGAAAAAAAGAAAACGAGCTTCGCAAATAAATGGGTACGGCCTCACTAGACCATGACCATTTCCATGACCGATATATACACATTATAATCGTGACAAAACAAACAACCAGGTGCTTGAGGGGGGGCCTGTTGGTTCCCTTCCAGAAAATGCAATATGCCTGCTTATATGTACAATGCCGAGGACTGCTTGCTCACTTGTTCTCAGCCACCACCCATTGACCCACCCACAACTCTCTCTGTTAACACACCGTGGGTGTCAGCCAGTTGGTCATGCCCCCTGTGTCCTAGCCCATAGCTAGTGACCAAGGACCTCTTGTTGCCGAGCTGTCTTGTTGCTTGTGTTCGGGAATACCGACTCGTCAACAGGGTCTCCATCGCCAGCCACAATCACGCCCCCGTTGATTCGGTTATGATCGTTAAGGGGCGCGTCAAGCCTTCCCTGAGGCATGCTTCCAATGTCCTTAGTCTTGGTAAGCTCGGCCTCTTCTTCCAGCCTCTCAGATTCCTCGTTCTCTCTTATGAGAGCTTCCTCTTGCTCCCTGAGAGCTCTTTGCTCCTCCGTCATTGGCTCCTCAGGAGTAGCTGTAGATTCCATGTCGGCAGGAGGGGGTGGCGGGGGAGGTGGCGGCGTTGCACCATCCTCCACATCGTCTTCTCGCAGCCGCTTCACCAATGGTTCATCCGAGGGAGTTAGGTCCAGGGACTCTACTGCCTCCTCCTCTCCACGTTTGCGCTTTCGCTCGGGACTTCCCGTCGAGCCAGCATCTTCTATATCTGACAGCATTACGTCGTCAGCGGCATCAACTGGCGTGGCAGCACCGCCAGTATCCGTCCCAAGGCCATTACTGGCTTGGTTGGCATTTCCCGGCTTATCTGCCTGGCCCTCAGGACTCGCTTTTGCCTTCTCCTGCTCAAAGTGCTTGAACTTCACAATGGCTTTGTCTAGGAAATCCTTAACGTAGGTCTTGACCTTCCTGGCTTGTTTCTGGTCGAGTGGTATTGTCGGGTCCTGCACGCGTTTGCCTTTGTAATCTGACGAGACGAGCTTCTTGCAGACATCCTTGCCCAACCGCTTGAGATCATCCTTGGGAAGCTTGTGTCTATACTTGTCGATCACGTACTTTACGTGAGGGAAAAGCTACTCCAGAGATTAGCAATTGTCCGTGTACCTCTATAACGTGCATCACGTACTGTGTTCTCATAAATCTTCATCTGTTTGTCGGTACTTAGAGAGCGCCACTTTTCCTGCTTGCTCTCCTGCACGGGCGTCTCTGCTCGCTGAGGCGTCTGCGAGGCCGAAGGCCTCGGGGTCTGCCCCTTAGTGACCTGGTCGATGATGTTCTTGAGCAGCAGCTGCTCCTGCAACGCCTTTGGTGTCGACTTCTGTGCGTCTGCGGGCTTCGTGGGACGTTGCCAGGTTGTGACCCCGTTCTTGCTATAAAAGTAGGTGTTTCCACGCTGATCCGTCGCCGTGAACCATCCTGCCGGCAGAGCGCTATGATTGTTAAAGTTCTGATGCCTTCTTTGGCGGGGAGGGCCGTTGAAGAAATGGGTGTTCCGCTGCGGGATGTTGCTTCGGGGACCCTTGGGTATCTCAACATTCTGCAGGGGATCCGGGGTCGATTTGGCGGTAACATCCTCATCGCGGCCCATGTTGCGTCGCTCTTGAAAGGAGTTTGTGGCAGGGGCGTTGGGGTCAAACTTCCGCTTCCCAATGCGATAGCCGAGCTCCAACTTGGACCATTCGTCCAGCAGCCTCTTGGACTTTGCGCTGACCTCTTCGTGCTCTGATTGGGTGAGTCCGTCGATAGTGGTCTCGATTTTAGAGCCCTCGATCTTGTTTCGCGTCAGTCGCGGAAATTTGTCGAGGATGTCGAGAACCTGGAGGACGACGTTATGGTCGTCGATGAAGGTGTTGAGCGTGGTCTTGAGGATCTGGTAGGCGTGCATGCGCATGACAGAGTGGATCACCCGCTCGTCCCGACACTGCTGAATGCGCTCCAGCAGCTTGACTGCAATCCACTTCTCCTTGCACTGCATCAACGTCGCCATGACCTTGCGAGCACCATCATCGTCGAGGCTTCTAGCCTGCACGCTGTTGACGTACTCCTCGTCGTCCTCCTCGGGCTTCTTCTTGCGCGGCTTCTTGGCGACTGCAATGTCCCAGCTGTCGCCGTCGTCGATGCCGAGGGCCTCCACAGTGGTAAGTGGCAGCTTGGTCGCCCGCTCGGTCTGGGTTTTGCCACCAATAAATCCAGTGCAGTTCGGCTCGCCACAGTAGCAGGGCTGGGGGTCGGCTCCATAACGGTCAACATTGTAGTTGAAAACCAACTCCTCACCGGCCTTGATTAAGCGTGAGGAGAAAATGCCCATGCGCAATTTTTCCCCCACGACCCATTTGTCGACATAGCAATTGGGATTGCACGAGTGGTTGCAGAAGCGCCCCAGATTGCCCTTCTTCGTCGCATCGACGAACTCGTGCTTGGTCAGCGACATGAAGTAGAAGTGCTTGATACCCTCGTCGTCGTATTGCACCATTCGCCGTCGGAAAGTCGGCTCGTTGATGACCTCGCCAATGTACTCGAAAATGAAGTCGTTAGCTTGCAAATCGACGTTGGCGCGGAGGCCGAAGCCCTTCTTTTCGGTTTTGATGACTGAAACATTGGCGTACTGCTTGCGCTGAAATCTCTGATTTTGGCAGCCATCGCCACAATTTCCAGCGCCCGCCACGCACTCCATCTTGGTCGCTCTGTTGATGCAGTCGGAATCCTCACCGCAGGACAGATTTTCCCCATCGTCTGTAGATACTCAAGACTTCAGTACGGGGCGGTTCACGGTGATACCGCAGAAGGGCACGAAGGCAGGGCGGGAAGACTTACGCCACTCAGAACGGCAATCGCAATCGAGAGCGTCATTGTCGGTCGAACCCATATGCTTGGATCCGTACAGGCAATCAGGTATTACCTGGAATGTGGTACAGGACTGCGCGGTGACATCGGGCAGGTCGTGGAAGAGGGGCGCCTCGCGCTTGATGGGTTTTTGCGGTGCCTTGCGAGACAGCTTCGGTCGCTGCGTGCCTCCTGGCGTCGAAATGCCATCGCCGTTGGTTGTGTCGTCGCCGGGTGACAGGCTAGTGGTGCGAGAGCCCTCGTTGCTCTTGCTCTGCGACGGAGTTTTGCTTGCGTCCCGTCCCACCTTGACACCGTTCGGCACGCCACCTTCTTCAATCTTGACCTCCTCCATCTTCGCCATTGCTAGCGCTTCATCCTCCATCAAGTAGCTACGGAAACCCTCGACAGGGCGGGTGCGCAAGACGAGGGATGCGGTTCGGTCTCGCAGTTCGTATCGTCCGGGGCGCTGAGGTGGAGCAAAGGCTCAGGGAAAGTCGAGTGTAGAAGCCGAGAGAGGTTGGCAAGTCGGCAGGCCGGTGCACATGTGTCTGTGGCTGTGGTGTTGGGTGGAGAAGGAAGAAGAAAATAGGAGGGTGAAGGAGGAAATGGGGGAGCGAGATGCGAGAGGCGACGGCGCGTTGGAAGACCGGGTTAGTAGTCCGAGCCAAAGGCTTATGGCATTGCAGGTTGTCGCAAGAACGGGGCACAGCAAGTCGGATTTCAATTGGGCAATTGCGGTCTTTTGCTGGTGCCAGTCACTGGACCAGAATGCGCTGACAACCGAAGGACTGAAGAAGAGAAGAAAGAAAGAAAGAAAGAAAGAAAGAAAGAAAAAACGGCGAGTTCAGGGCGAAGCCGCAAAGATGGGAGGCCTGGCGGAGGATAATCTCGTAGCAGCAGTTTCCTACCACAGCACTCACTCTCAGCCCATCCAGTCGCGCTTGGGCCAAAATTAGCCACTTCCCCTGTGGTGGTTGAGGGGGCTGCTGCCAACCGCAAATTCAATGGCAGCGGAGCCAGCCAGCCAGTCTGCCTGTAAGATGGCTTGCTACGGATTATCTGACCTACCGGATCGTAGCTTCCCGTCCCCAAGAAAAATAGCATGCGGGAGATCCGCCCAATAAACGTGCTAGAGCCGATCCACCTCGCAAAGCTCACAGGTACGGAGATAACCCTCAGCGATAGAGTCTTGAACCTGGAGATCCCATGTCACTGGAGCCTCCAGCAAGACGGTGCAGTCTGGTGTCTCTAAATCTGCAAGTCCGAACCGTTATTTCTCTCCAGGTAGGCACAGCCTAGGGTTAGTTCATAGCTGGCAATCGAGGCACTGAGCTTATCGACTGTCTTCAGCAACACCTTGCGCCCACCTAATTAATTCATCTGCATGATATTTCCAGGAAGGACTCGATAGTTAATCGGTCTCCCCTGCGTACTGGCAAGCACGGGGGGGCTGACCAGCTTGAATTGAAGAGCCTAAGGATTTGAAGCAGCATGACGCAGGCGGCAGCAAACCCGACCACGCGGGAGCTGATGAGCGTTCCGATCGAGAGGCCGGTATACAGTGGCCGTACCGGACTGAGGCAGCATGGCCGCTTTAGCTACGACAGATGATGTGTCTGCCGTCGGCGACTGCTGGCATCAGAGAATATGGAAATGGCGGAGAGCCATTTGCATGGACGGGTCGTACATGGGTGGGTCCCTCCCAGTGGGAGGCTGCCAGCTCATTGTGCAGCAAGGACGTTGCTGAAGCCGGATGAGGTGGCCAACTTGTGTACAGAGTATAAAGAGGCGGTGGACGAACGCAGTCGCCTTGGAAAACAGCATCGACCTGTTGATCGATCAATACCGGAATCCGTCTGTCGTCAGTGTGCAACAATGGGGTCCCGGTTCTTCAGCCTCATTGCTTCGCTCTTCTCTCCTTCGGGTCACATTTTGGGCCACTCACCTCTGACAAGCGGGCAAGGTGACGAACCCGTGCCCCGTGCTGGCTCGTATGCTGGTCTTGATCGATGATTGGTGAGGAGGGCATCGAATGGTTTCCTGCTCTAGTCGCCAGAGGACTGGGTTTTGCTGGGCCGCAGCCAATGAAGACGACAGGCCGCGATTTCGTCGCGGGCCCTGAAATGCCCTTATATTCTTATTCGGTCGTACGTCGATCATTTTTCTTTTCTGTTTTTGTCGTCGTCGTCGTCTGAAATAGCGTCCAAAATTGTTGCAACAGGCGCATTTTGAACGACAGAATAGGACGGCGGCCGACTCAGCAGAAGGAGGGAGGGAAATGCAGGGAGGTGGGAAACAGAGGTGTACCTGCTGACGGAGCATCCGCCAAAGTTGGCGGGGGAGGGGAGGGGTCGCTTCGCGCGCAACACGAGCAAGCACCACCACCTCCACCAAAAGAGCTCAGGCAATCAAGTGTTTGCTGGCTGGTTTTTACAGCTGCGCGAATGCAAGTGCAGGCGAAGAGTGCATAGAGAAAGAAAGAGAGAGAGAGAGAGAGAGAGAGAGAGAGAGAGAGAGAGAGAGAGAGAGAGAGAGAGAGAGAGAGAGAGAGAGAGAGAGAGAGAGAGAGAGTGAGAGAGTGCGTGTGTGTGTGTGCTGCTACACAGCCCAGTCCATCTCTCGTTCGGCTTCCACCAGAGCTTCCTTCCAATCATTCCTCCATGACAACAATTGTTAGCTAGTGCTGACATTTCCTAGCGGTATTCTCTCATTCATCATATTGCGTCTCTCATTGTCTAAGGTTAGGGAGGGAGCATCATGCTTTCGGCAAGCTCCACGACAATGACATCCTGCGAATGGCGGCAAGACTACGGATAGTCAGGCGGAACATGTCGATCCATCGGATTGGCCACTGGACGCAACCCCTTTGCCTTTGGGGATAGCACTGCATCTGCATCTGCATTTGCTGCACACTACTCCGTACATTCTGCACAAACGGGCTGCGTATGGCTCTTCTCAGCCCAGTTCCGGAGCCACTAGCAGTGTGGCGGAGGGACCGTGCTGCACAGAAGCGTGTGTGCAGGACGGGCGGGAGACAGGGATATATCCTCTGTCGATTGCATATTGATTGCAGAGTCAGAGAGACGCAGCCCGCGTATGCAGTCATATGTGATATGATTGTTGGCCACCTCCAGTGAGGGTCAAACAGGAAAACAGTTACGAGAGTCAGGCCCCATCTTCGACCTCGGATGCGAACGGAAGAGGCCCCGGGATGTGGATGTCAGCCAACCAAAAGGCTTCTCGTCCCCTTTTAGGGACTGGTGAGACATACGCATTGCAAATGGACAGGAGATGCGGTTGGTTGCCGAGAAAAAAAAGCAAAAAACCGACGACGGAATAAGAGACGCGGGAGGCGCGTGAGACAAAGCCACTGCCGGGTTAGACGAGAGAAGGAGGGAGGGGAGGGGTTTGAGAGAGAGCTTGCCGCATAGAGGGTACAGATTGTTCGTACTATGGCGAGGAGCGAGGCGAGAGAAATACCGTATGCAAGAAACCTCGGACTTCAACAACCAGCAACGGCACTAGCGAAAGCGGCGGCTTTGAAAAAACGACGCGGCATTCTGGCATGGACGCTCAAAAGCCACGGCCGACACTGATAACCACTACGGCGCCGACCACACGCTCTCCTCTCCGTCGCTCCCACACCACATGCTCGCCGTTTCGTTGTTGTCTAGTTGACCCGTCGCTGGGCCAGAAGTCTGCTCTGGGCTTGGATGTGCACAGCAGGTTATGACAGCATCCTTCCATCCCACCCACCAAACCATCCCATCCCATCCCATCCCACCAACACCGACAGTCCCTACCTCTTTTTCCCTGCCTTGCCTTACATCGACTTATGCCCGGATTGGCAGTGCCGTAGTGTCATTATCAGTTTGTCAGTGACTCAGCACAAAACCAGGTCTGTCGACGACGAGGGCGACTTTTGGCATCCTTCCCGAGAGGCTTGCTCCGGCTCTGGCTCCTATTCGGTCTTGCTGATCTATCTCGCCCCTCAACTTCGCTGCGCAGGCAGCCTCCTGTTTTCGCGATCTCGTCGTTGCCCATTTCGTATCCTGCCCTGATGAGCCGCAACGCGCGCGCCGTCGCTGTCAGTCATCGCTGTCGGTCTTTCGATCTGCGTGCATTTCCCAGCCACCACCATCGCTCGGACGTTGCGAGTCTACATTAACCAGAGCACTCCAATAAGTTCAACGGCGCTGTTGGGATTGTGGCTTATTTATCCAGTACACACGTCCTTCATAAGTCCCGCCCAGCACAACGCGAACTAGCGCCAAGGGAGGCCTACTGGCAATCTCGACTGACAGAATCGCCTCCCTCTCTCTCGTATCCACGGATTTTAGGACAACCCATATTCGCCTCCCCTGTCGCCTGACTCTAATCAAACAGAACACATTCGAAAAACCATAGGACGTTCCGCCCTTGCTGCGAGTAATCGTCCAAAGACACCCGTCCCAAATCTTGACTGAACCAGTACCCTGGAAAGGCTCTCCTAGACAGGTCTAACGCGAAATTAACGACTCGGCAAATCTGCTTGGTCCCCCGGTGTGTCTCTCTATCACTCACGCGCAAAAACACGCCTCCTCTAGCCTGCCACCCCCGACCCCAGTCACGCAAGCAAGTCCCCGAGTGCGCGCCGTGCAGGGCCTCCCGTGGTCAGTCGCGAAGTGGTCCATGTCCCCGGAAGCAAACGAAACAATCGAAGCCTCCACCACCACCTCCTCCCACACAGCCTGTCTAGGCTGTGTTACCCCCCCTCCTCGCGCCTTGTTCAACTTCTCCTCGACGGCGTCGTGGTACGACGTCTTGCTTACGGTGACTTCAAGTCGAGAACGCGCGCTTGCGCCGGCCTGGTTACCTTTCTTCTCTAGACGCACCTGCGCCGTAACTAGTTGTTAGCCTTAAAGGCACATTCATCAACGTTCTTTTCGTGGCGTAGCAAACCGAAACTTCCTGGGTGCTGTTGTTATCGGTCTTTGCGACGAGCATTCATTGCCTGCTCCCGTCGCGTTTGTCTGCCTGGTAGAGTGAAAGCTCGACTGCATTGCACGGCTTATTCGGTTGACGGTGCCGGCTCCGTCAATATCTCTCGCTCGTTCTCTTAACCGTACCTTGGAGGCTCACTTCCATTTCAACGGCACATCTGCCGCTCGTTAACCTTCTGACAGCGCCGAGACACTCGTTTGCCGAAGCTCCATCGCAAATGCCTACCCTGCTGCCTCTTTGGATAAACACGTTTCTCTTCAATACTCCATGACACTTGTTCACATAGCTTTCAGCTCTCCTTCTTCTCACGATGGCTTACTCTTTCACGGAGGAGGAAAAGGTCAGCCATCATGGACTGCTTGTGAGGTTTCCATGCTGATGCACAGCTCCATCGCAGAGATTCATCCTCGCCGAAGCCATCAAGACCAGCAACCTGGATGTTGGCCTTCTAGCAGGGTTTCTCAAAACACACAAGGTCGAACCGGATTGGCTTAAGATGCAGTTACCTAGTGGTATGTTGCGCTTCCAGCATCACTTCCACCTGGTGCCCTGTTGTACTAATACTGGAGGGTCAGGCCGCACCATGGAACAGTGCTTGGCCGTCACGGGGCAAATACTCCAGGGGCCCATGAGGATACCAGACCTGAAGCGAAAATCCATGACCGATCTCCTCGAACAGCCTTCAAAACGCTTAGCTGCAGGTCCCACGATGGAACCGCCAACACAGTTACCGTCTTTGGCCTCTGCGACGCAAAATCTGGCACCGTATCCGTCGATGTCTGTGCCTTCCGTTTTGGCGGCGCCTTCGCAGCCACATAACCCACAGCTTGCTAATATACAACCACGGCCCACCGGCATGGAGAGCACCGGGGGTTCCAACGGATCATCGAGTTCTAGCCAGCAACAGCCAGCATCGTTCCCACCTCGTAAAAGAGGCCGGCCATCGCGAGCAGATAAGGCCAGGCAGCTTCGGCCCTTGCTGCCACAACACCTGACTCCCCTCGCACCAGCACCGGCACCTCGGTCTCTGGTGGCAGAAAGCCCGACGACGCCGGCAGAAAGCCCCGCTTATAGCCTGTCACCCGGCCCAGCTACGGAGGGACAGAATGAGCCAGCAAGGCGGAAGCGCGGCCGCCCAAGGTTATCCGAAAAAACACAATCAGTAGGTGTCTGTGTTCACGAGCCCACATCGACATCTATCTGACCGCTGCTTAGAGTACTTTTTTGACAGAAGAACAACCCAAGTCGTATTCAGCGCGATCGACGCCCAGCCAAACCTCACGCCGACCGTCTGACGAGGTACCTCGCGATCCCTACAAGGAGGGCGAACAGCTACCTGATGCGCAAAAGCAAAAGGCCATCCCACACATCAGTCATCTACAACAGGAGGGGTTGGCGAGATAGAAGACGGAGCCGTCCACGAGGCGGCGAGAAACTGTTTACGACTACCACCTATAAAACGGTATACCTCTCCGCACCTGGGGGAGGGGTTGTTGAATGTACGAGCGTGTGTGGCTTAACTAGCCCAAGACATGGGGGGCCAGACTTCCCTGTGTACCTACAACAAACGACGCATGCCTGCTACGAGCACGTGTATACTAGATTCCGTGGCGCTGTAAGCCTACCATTTTCATCAAACGTGGCACAGTTCAGCATGGCTAGAATCTGTTTTTGCCCGTGCAAAGACGTACTATAGATGTACGTAGGTCGAGCTGTATGACACACCAAATACACTTAAACGATACTAGAAGTACGAACACGCTTAGGCTACTGTCATGTCAGTGGAACTGTTGCAACACGCGTACACCTTTAGTCTGTGTAGCAAAAACCATTCGGGATTATGTATTGGGGTTTTTTTTTTTTTGTTTTTTTGAACGCAATACGTTCTTTGTCCCTTGTGATTTTGGACACCAGTCCTATACGCTAGACCATGAACCAGACAGCAAACCCCCTTCATGAATGATGCTTCGAAAAGTAGAAAAAACAGAAACGACGCAGCAGAAACGAGACGAAAACGAAGAAAAACGAGAGACCCAAGCCTGCACGGCTCAGGAATTTTTCTTCTTCAAACTTTTTATTTTATTTTTTACCCCTTGCACCGGCTCTCCATCTACCACGACTTGGCAATCTTCTCGAGGGCCTCGATCAGAATGTCGGCGTGGTGCTCCTGGAAGATGAGCATGGGCCGAAGGCGGACGGCGCGCTCGCCGGAGCCACCGATGTTGATGCCGAGGCCCTTGGCGCGCTTGAGGAACTCGTCGCGGCGCGGGTTGTCAAAGGCGATGAAGGTGCCCTGGCCCTTGCCGCGCAGGTTGTCGAACTGGTCCGGGTACTTGGCGGCGAGGCCCTCGAGCTTGGAGAAGAGGTAGTCGCCGACGCGGGCCGTGTGCTCGACGAGGCCGAGGCGGTCGATCTCGTCGATGATGGCGCGGAAGAGGATGGCGCGGGCCGGGTCGCCCATCCAGGTGTTGAACTGGCGGTAGGGCTTGTTGGGGCGAAGCTCGGGGTTGCCAAAGTAGTAGCCGGCGGTCTGGGCCTTCTTGGAGAAGGTGACCATGTCGGGGGGCGTGGGAAGGTCCCAGTGGTCGTGGGCCCAGAAGCGGCCGGTGGCGCCGACGCCGGTCTGGACCTCGTCGACGATGAGGAGGACGTTGTGGCGCTTGGTGACCTCGCGGAGGCCGCGGAAGAAGGCGGGCGAGGCGTGGTTGTCGCCGCCCTCGGACTGGATGGGCTCGACGATGACGGCGGCGGGGGGCACGTGGTAGGTCTTGATGAGGTGCTCGACCTCGTCGAGGGCGGCCTGCTCGGCGGCGGCGTTCTCCTCGACGTGCTCCTCGAGAGGGTACTTGAGGAGGGGGAAGGTGGCCTGGGGCCAGTCGAAGGCGGGGATGTCGAGCTTGTGGATGGGCTTGGAGCGGGTGGTGGACAGGGAACCGAAGAGACGGCCGTGGAAGCCGGTGCGGAAGGAGAGGATGGACAGGTCGGACGCTCCGGGAGACTTGTTGTCCATGGCGGACGACGTCTCCTCGGGGGTGAAGTCGACGTCGTAGCCGCCGCGCTCCTGCTGGCGGCGCCACATGAAGGCGGCCTTGTAGGCCGTCTCGTTGGCGTCGGAGCCAGCCATGGCCGTGAAGACCTGGTCGAGGCCCTTGGGCGCCACCTTGAGGATGCCGGAGCGGAGGGTCTCGGCCCAGTCCTCGGGCGGGAAGTTGCCGAGCGCGGGCCGGTTGATTATGGCGTTAACCATCTCGGGGGTCTGGGCCACCTTGGCCAGGACGGGGTTGTTGTATCCCAGAGGGATGGAGGCGATCTGGGCGTAACTGTTTGGAGGTGGGGGGCTCGGTGTCAGTGTCTCTCTTCTCATCGTCCTTTCGTAAGAGGAAGGGCGGGGGCTTTTTGGAAGTCCACTCACACGTCAAGCAGGACGTTACCATCGGCGTCGACGATGTAGTTGCCCTTGCTCTTCTTGTAGTCCGTGAGCATGTTCAAGCTCCGCGTGTCGAACACCTTGTGCAGGTCCTCGGTGTGCTTCTTGGAGGCCGGGCCCGGAATTTCGGTCTTGACCGACGGGCCGGAGGGCTCGCCGGGGAAGAGGCTCGCGGCAGCCATGCGTGGGACGGAGGCGCAGAGCGACCGGCGCGGGAAGGCGGCGGCCGAAGACCTAGCCGCTCGGATGGCAGGGCGCGCCATTGCGGCGGAGGCTCTGGTGAAGACCATTGTTGCTTCTGTGGGGTTGTGTATACGTGCGTCTCTTTCTCCCACTCGCTCTCCTCTCAGCTAGGCAAGCTCCCGACAACCCGGATGTCTTTCACCCACACTGTCTCTCTCTCTCGTTCGTTCGTTGGGGTATCGTGGGCTATATGCAGTAGAAGCGTTGCGATATCGGAGGGTACAAGATCGACCAGCAGGAGAGGGGGTATCAATCGGTCAATTGCAAGAAAAGAAGCGAGAGGAGGGATGTAGAGAAGGAGGGGCGTTTCGTGGTATGAGTCGCTGCGTGGGGGGAGGGGCAAGTTTATAGACGGCGGGTGGCCACGGCTTATCTACCTCCTCGTCACTATGCCGTTGCCCGGTGGAGGCGCGATAGCTAGCCAAAGGCATTGCTTCAAGTACACACCATAGCGTGCATTGCACACGCTTAGTACCTGGTTTGAGCTTTGGTCCTCCCCCTCCCTCTCCCCCGGTCTGGCGTTGAGTCAAGCCGACGGTACATCCCAATGATCAGACTGGCCGGCGCGCGCCGGCAGTGTGAAGCAAGTCTTGGGTCCGTACTTGCTCGAGATGGAACTAATGTGCGTAGTAGCAGTTTACGCCCGGTCTGCCCCTCCTCCCCCTCCAATGATGGACAGGGAGACGTGCCAAGATTACGTGCCAGAATTGTGTGAAAATGCGGGGACCCGCAAGGAAAGCCGGGGACCTGACCTCACAACACAAAACTAGTGAGTGACACAGTCGACATGCTGCTTGGACACCGGCGTGCTGTTCTAGATGGAGGTCATGGTTTACGCTGTTTACGCCGCCACTGCCTCACCCTTTACCTAGGGCATTATTCTTGTCCACTGTTGGTCGTCGCAGCGCATATGAACGGCGTTAAATTGGAAAGAAGATCGATTGAGAATCAATAAAATGGCCGGGAAAAGACGTCTTGTGTCTGAGAATCCGCTGGACACTGGTTCACCTTTGCAGACGTGCAGATAGATACAGCTTCCATTATTGGTGGAGCAGCCTGTCCCCCATTACGCCTCACCTTTATCAGAGCTCGGACATAATAAATGTCGTGTACGGATGGCATGGCGGCTTCCGAGTCCTGTGCTGTATGTACCTATCGTCGAGAAGCATGAGCTTAATCTTCACCGCAATCTCAGATCGGATCCGGGAAACCCCTCGGTGGCACGATGCAGACGGTCAATGATAAGGAGAGATATCCTTTCGTGGGAAACCCCACCGACCGCGGGGACTAGCCCCGCAAAGTATCCAATTGGTGTTCCCATTAGTGAACCCTGGAAGGCCGATGACGGACCGGAGACCGGGACCGGGAAACGTTGCCGGTCGTAACACTACTGCTTTTTGGTCCACAGACTTGCTCCGTCACCAACGTCCACCGCCTTGTGAACCTATAAGTGGACAGCGGGGTCCACGGGATACATTCCGACGCGCGATCAGTTGCTGTTTTCTTCTGTTCCCCTCACTCGCCTTGGAACCGACTTCCCGCGCGAGCTCTTGGCCAGTCAATTCGTGGCTGTCTTCTTCCAGCCCGTTGGAGCAGGCCTTTAGTAGTAGGTATGCTGACTGCAAGAAACACCAATCAATGTAACCCGTACATTGTGGTGCATCAACGGCGAGCAAACTTCTTCGATACACAAGCACGACAAACGGTAGTTCGTGATGCATTGGTCAGGACGACAGAGCACAATGATTTCATATTTCCACTCTGCGGTTTATAGTATTCGACTCGCCGTTGTGCTTTCGTACCAACTGTAACGCCGTACTATTCTGGCTACACAAACGGCGTAGATGCAAAGACAATATGGCCTGTCCTACGTATCCTACAGTGATCCCGCCGCGAAAGGAAATCCAAAAGAAAATAAAGCAACAATGCTATGCAGATTGGGTCAATGAATGATCCGCCCCGGTATGCCAACCGAACGAACGCCATAACCATGTATGCCGTACCGCAAATATTGGAAGCGGACGCAATCGAACAAGAAACAAAAAATAGACAATTTCTCCTGCTGCTCTAGCAGTCTTGCCCGAGACGAAAATGCTAGCATGATGTGGAATATCGAACGCGAAGAGTACTTCACCTGCGCCAAGGCTCAATCAAGGCAGCCAGCCCCCTCAAAATATTGGTCGAAAATCAGTGACCTTGCATCTCCTCGAGCTCCCGCATGTACTTCACGAAGGTCTTTTTGTGTACCTGCACACTGTCAGTCTCCTCTTCTTGCCAAGGTTCGCCTGTCAGACATACCATTCCGGCGTATCGTCCGTTTTTCAGGACGCACACAAAGCGCAGACCGAGCTTGACAAAGCACTCATATACGAGGTCCATGGGCGACCTAATGTCCAGTGCCACAGGAGCCTGTTTACATGTCATTAGCCGTGACATCATACCACTCCTATCGTTGCTACTTACCGGATCGATATACGGGGTGAAATCGGTCTTGTCTACCTCCGAATCATCATCGGAGTCTTCGATGGTTGTGACAGGAGCCATCAGACACATGCTCGAGGCTTCATCGTCCAGGTTGTCTAAAGCGTACTCTAGATCGGGGGCCGGGATCATGCCGACGAGGATACCGTCTCGGATAACGGGCAGGCCTCCGTCAATCTCTCCCGCTCTGTGTAGCGTCAGGAGCTTCTGGCGAAGGGTGGTTGCACATATTGCAGGAGAGGCGCTGATGTCGATGATCCTTTCTCGACGGACACGAGGAACGATGTCGGCCAGGTCTGAGGTGAAGATGGGCTTGTGCTTGTTGTCGAGGAATGGGTACGAATTCATGTTCGTCAACAGGTCCTGGTAAGGAATTAGTGCTGTTCCCCAACAGTGACAAGCATCTTCCACTTACGTAGATGCTGTTTGGTTCAATGGCGTCTGCAGTCCACTTTGCCACCAGAATTGCTAGGGAGAAGGGCAGTACGTAGTCCAGGCTGCCGGTGAGCTCAAACAGAATAACAGCAAGAGTTACCGAGAGTCGAGTCACGCCACACATCGTTGAACCGGCGGCAATAAGACCATACACGCCAGGTTGGATGCATGATCCGGCCTCTTTCGACGCACAAGCACCCCACAACCCGAATCCCGGATACAACAGGACCGTGTACTGGACGAAATGGCCAACCAGTCTGCCCATGAGGCCACCCACCACCATGGATGGGACGTAGATACCCGCTGGAACTTTCTATGGCCAGGTTAGAGTCTGATAAGTCGACAGAGCCGAATTACTTACGATGCCAAACGTGATGATGGTCAAGAATCCCTTGATGAGAAAAGCAGTGAAGAGGCTGATGAGAACAGGCGGAATGTCGTCCGTAGTGGTTGGGCACAGGCCGTAGTCCTCGCGGTCGGAGTCGTCGTGACAAGGGGCCGCGAGGTTGAGCATCAGTTTCGCCACGGGCTGTTTGGTGTGTACGTTCCAGTAACCCATCACTGAGGTGGCGATAGCAACCAGCATGACCTCCACCATTGGGTATTTCTTGATGACGCCAATCTTCCGGAACGATTTGGCCCAGTGCTTAGATGCTTTGATGAACAGCGCACCTGCAGCACCGCCCAACACTCCAAGTACAATGTAGAATACGAGCTCGAAGTAGTGCCAGTCGGCCACATATTTAACCTGGAACATGACGATTTTGTGCGTGCCGTAGGGGTTGAGAAACTTGAGGGACAACGCAGCTACGATGCAGCAGAAAAATGTGCGGAAGAGCGTCTTTGCAGGAAAGAAGTACGAGACCTCTTCGAGGCCGAAGAGAACGCCTCCCAGAGGAGCACCAAAGGCGACGGCCACTCCCGCAGCGGCAGCTGCTGACAGTACTTCACGCCTTTTGGCGTCATTCTTGTCGTATTTCTCGAAAAGTCGACAGGCGATATTGCCGATACAGGTGGCGATGTGGACATAAGGTCCCTCCTTCCCGAGACTGAGGCCAGACGCCACAGCCAGAATGAGTGCAGCCGATTTGACAACCAGCGTCTTTACACCCAGGAAGCCGTGCAGGACGAAACCGCTGAGGATGACACGAACTTCAGCGACACCGCTTCCGGCAGCAGAGTAGTACACCATCGGAGGCGGCACGGCGGCTTCAATCGCTTCACAAACTTCTGGGGAGGGCAAGGTCTCGTCACCTCTTGGTTCATCCGTGTAGGGTGCAATTTCCGCCGCGAGATTTTCATCAAAGGTAGTCATTCGATAAGCCGAGGGTACCACGGTCTTGGTTGTCAAGGTCATGGCACAGGCGAGACAGGAAAAGACGACGCATCCCGTCATGGAAATGGTAAACTCGGTCCCGACATCGCCAAAGGGCCAGAATCGCAAGACCTCGGACCAAGTCCGCCAATCCGCACAGGGACCTTGTTTAGGACAGCAATTCTAGAACCGGTTAGCAAGGCCCAATATCATGTGCAAGATATCATACCTTTTCGCTAATAAGCCACCCGCGTGCGCAGTAGCCGTACTTGTAGTCGAAAACGGTGGCTTCGGACAAGTTCACGACGTAGGCGACAAGGGCAACGACGAACCCGCACACAGCACTCAGGATCCAACCTTGAGAGGCATCAAAGACGGCATTTATCCTCCCCCGGAGGTCTTTGCGCATCCTCAGGGCCTTCGCCCGATGAGCATCGACGATGTTGTCATGGACCCAGTCAGTAGACGTGAACTGGTCATACCATACACGCTCATCAGGCTGTATTGAATGCTTCGACTCGTCCATTGAATCGTGATGTTCGATGGAATTGTAGAGACGTTGTCCGAGAGACGGGTTACGGCTATGATGTAGGCTTCGAATGCTTCCTGGGTCGGGATTTGTGTTAGCTTCTGCGAATTCTCGGTACAGCCCTGGGCAGGAGGGCGTTTAAGACAACGTACCGGCGACGCTGTGGTTTCTCGACAGGCCTGGTTTAAGATGCTTGGGACTCTCTGTGCCGGATTGGTGGCGCCGTATCCTTGCCCGTCCCAAGAGTAAAGGCGAACGCTCATCCGGCACCTCTACGGAGCCCCTCCGAGAACCGAATCTTGGCCTTCTCGTGCTCAAGGGCGAGGGTGGCCCCGAAGGACCGTCATCGTCGGGATGATCGGCCATGGCAAAGCTTGGGAACGCGGCTCAACCGTTAGAGTTCTAGAGATAGTTTCGAATACTGAATTTCTGGGCTCGAGCAGCTTTTAGCGACCGGATGAGGTGAGGTTGGCGTAAGTTGGACAGTAAAGAAGGCCGCACCACGTGGGAACATAAGACAAAATGGCACTGTGCTTAGTCGAAAGCAGAGCCTGGTAGTAGTAGTAGTTTGTCTGCCAAGGAACCTCTTTTCGGGGGCACAATAGGGGGTGGTAGGATAAGCTGGCCGGATCGAAGTGTATCGAGGCTTGGCACGTGAACTGATGTTGGCTCCTATGCTGCCAGTTCCAAGGTCGCTGACAGCCACGAGCACAAGTCTAATATTGGGCGAGGCGGGAGGCTGATCACGATAAGGAGGGTTTGTTGTCAGATGCGACGAAGCGTAAGGCGGCTGACTATCGTAGGCGAGACATATTCCTTGGCGTTACTAACAATCGGTAAGTATGCACAGCAGCCAAGAAAATGTGATGAGGGGGAGATAGAGTGTGAGAAAAAAGAGACTCGTGAGGAAAGAAAAAAAGAAGAAGAGAAGAAGAAGAAGAAGCTATCAAGAGCATCAAGCGGGCCTGATACGGTGATAACCTAACCGGTCGGGTTCATTTGTCTGGAAAGTGCGACAAGTCGCGTCGAGATAGTTCTAGTCGGCCATCCACTTTCCCAAACGACCGTCTTCCCCACCCTCATTGGGCTATGCACTGGGGCACGCGCGGTAAAGACGAGGACATGCTCCACCAGACAAACATTGTGAAGGGGGTGGTTTACTCGGAGCAGGTGGGAGAGCGGCTTGGCTGTGAGGTCATTTGCACCGGCTGACCCTTAAGGGTGGATGCTTTTGCGAGACATCAGGTGGTGGTAATTGGCTGATGTTCTATACTAGGTATGTATTTGACGCTAGCGCGATTGCCTGTGAAAACGGTCAGATCCCTTATACGAATACCTAGGTACCTATCTAGGTACTCAGTACTGTACAGGAAGACCCTGAGATTACGCCATGGCCCATGGCGACCCTCGAAGTTGACCGCTGCCCGCCGTGTCACCGCCCCCTTCGCCAACATTCCGTGAGTGCGCTCCGTTCTCCAACCCCACCTCCGTCAAGGTCGCGAGTCAATCCCAACCAACCCCAAACCAATCGCATCTATACTCCCGTCCGTATGGTTACACGGGCCTACTCCGCATCACCGTCTCGGAAAATTCTCGGCTTTATCGGTTTCCCTCGAGACGACCCAGCATTGATTCACCGCTAACTATCACGACTATGGGTCAAGACATCACAGCCTCACCCTCAAGACCAAAACACGTCGCCCGACTGTTGCACTCATCCCATAACAGCCCACTGGTCTTCGGGCGGGTTTGTTTGGCCTCGTTTTTTGGTGTTTTGGGTCAGAGACATCTGGGCCTCAGCCTCAGAGGTCGAACCCGGCATTTTGGGCCTAGTCGGGTTCCCCAGTAGCCAGCCGCACCACGCACCCCACATGCATCTGGTTTGATGTCCCAATTCACCGTTGGATTCGTTTCGTAACACACACGTGCCCAATCTCTTTGGACGGCGCAACGTACCTATCTATACTGGGTAGTGATTGTCACACCGTTCACAGTGCGAGGACCAACCCCGTCCACGTTCTCGAATCGTCGTTGCTTGGTGACTGCTGGTTGACTTCCCGTTTCCGCCACAATCAAGGACGCGCCACGCGCCACAGTATTCTACGACATACCTAAACCACGTCGAGTCACAGCGACATCTAGGCGGTAGCTATTACACCCCAAGTGATAGCGCGCAATCGGTCCGTCGCTAGAAACAGCCAAAAGTACTGAGTTCCGTTTGGGTGTGACTATGATTCGGTGAGGTGCAGACCGGCGTCGTCAACATGTCTGAGGCTGAGAGGAAAAAGTTGACGGTGCCCAAGTTCTCGTCATTTAAACCCAAAACTGCGGCCCCTACGCCTCCCAACATCACAGATTCGCGCAATCACAAGGATGATGATGATGAATATGTCAGGGAGAAACGGCCTCGCCACGAGTCCCGACATCACCATGACCGTGCGAAACTTCGCTCAGAGCACCGTCACCACCATCGCAAAGGCAGTCACGGCCGTAGTCAGGAACAGCCGCTGGTTGAGAAGCCAGACATGCCCAGAGCCCTAGACGAAAAGGCCACTGAGAGCAACTTCTACTTCGATAAAAAGGGCGACCCTTTGATCAGGAGATACGGTGGCAACGATCGTTCGCGCGTGCCAATATACCATCGTGGATACCGTGGACGTGTGCTCGGCTCCGATGGCTACTTGGTCGTTCATAGAGATGGTCCGCAGGAGCGCTTTAGCATTCGAATGCCTGGAGAAGGTAGTTCGACCTGGAGAGATAGGGCACTGTTCCAAGCCAAGGTTCATCGAGGCAAGCCGAAGCGCATACGACTACGGGATCAAACCAACAAAATCGAATCATGCGGCGCTGAGGAAGATTTTGTTCCACTGAGTACTTCCACGAAGCGACGACGCACCGAGGAGTCAGAGTCCTCTGGGAACGAAAGACCCTCTTACCGATCCATCGAGGGCAAGGCCAAGGCCCACGAGTTTTCCGACAGCGATATCGACTTTGACTCCGATTCCCAAGCGGAGATAGATCTTGATATGGATAATCCCCTCAAGCAGCGCTCGGTTCAACTATCCCGCCTAGTCAAAGAACACCCCGAGAACATTGAGGCTTGGCTTGAGCTCATCAAGCATCAGGACGTACTCTTGAACGCTGGGCAAAGCTTGGATAGAGATGTAACAAAAGCTGAAGTTCACAGCTTCGCAGAGATCAAGATATCAATGTTCGAGTCTGCATTAGCTCAAGCGAAGAAGCCTGAGGATGAAGAGCGGCTGTTGCTCGGCCTAATGCTCGAGGGCTCCAGAGTTTGGTCGACCTCGAAACTTGACAATCGCTGGGAGGAAGTGGCGAAGAAACACGACTCAAGTTTTTGCCTGTGGAAATCCAGGGTCGACCACAAACTCACAAGCATGTCAACGTTTCAGTATGCTGAGATCAAGGCTATGCATATCAACCGACTGCGGGCTGTTTCCAAGCAAGGCAAGGTCTCCGCGTCACCCGATCCGGGCCATTCGACAAATTGTTCAGACACCTCACGCTATGAGCAGATGATATTCGTGTTTCTTAGGGCCACGAGATTTGCATACAGTGCTGGCTTCCGCGAGTTGGCGATTGCTGCATGGCAGGCACTCCTTGAGCTGAACCTACAACGACCCTCAAACTTCGATGATAGGACGCCATCACAAATAATCGACTCCTTCAAAGACTTCTGGGAGGATGAATCCCCACGTATAGGGGAGAAGAGTGCTTTTGGCTGGGACTACTACGTCCGGGCAAGCGGGGCTGTCGATCTCGCAGAACCATGGAGAGACGAAGGTTTCATACAAGGGTCTCGGGACGTTTATAAGTCCTGGGGTGCGACTGAGCGGCTTCGAGCAACGAACGCGAGAACCCCAGCACGAGCCACGGATGATGTCCCTGAAGAGGACCCATACCGCGTTGTAATGTTTTCTGATATCGAGGAGATGCTCTTCATCATACCTTCAGGGGTCGTTCCTACCATTTGGAAACAGCTCGTCGATGCGTTCCTACTGTTTTGCTGCCTGCCCCCGGCGTTTCGGACGAGTGGGTGGACGGAAGCAGCGGAGAACGATATGCTGGTCGTAGGGAGCATGAGCCTCTTTGAGAACGATGTCCTCCTGAAGCCCAATGAACCTGATGTCATGGACGAGTCCAAAAAGACACCAGTATTCAGACAAGACGGATCTCGGTTTGCAGCGTCGCCTGATCTACTCTTTGCCGGCTCTGACTGGTTTTCGCCTTTTTCCGGCTGGACAAGCACATCAAAAACATTGGATGGGCCAGTAGACCTGACCTGGCTTGCCAATGCTCTTCGGTTGTTGGCGAGCTCGAAGGGACTTGGGGAGCTGGCTGAATATTCGTTGTCGATCGAAGCTATCAATGACCCCGGCAGCATAAAGAAGCGTGCCAAAGCGTTCATCAAGCAAGACCCTACCAACCTGAGATTATACAATGCATACGCTCTTGCTGAGGTTGCCTACGGAAGACAAGAAGTTGGCCAACAGGTTGTCGCATCAGCTACTGGACTGATCTCTGTGAGTGGACCCCCCGATCAGACCAGTCCTCTCGTGGGTTGAAGTACTAACAACGTTACTGCAGACCTCAAACAGCAGTGGCGGGCTGATGCTATGGAGGACGTGGGCCTGGATGGACCTCAATGCTGGAAATAACGTACAAGCTATTGCGCGTTTATGTGCGGCAACGGATGGCGCGCTTAAAGATGCCGTGGTTGCGGCCCCCTCTCAGCTTCTCAAAGCACACCAGTCATTCTTGGCCAGCCTGGAAAGCCAAATATTAAGTGGAAAACTAGATGATGCCATCGTCACCGCCGAATGCCTTGCACTACTCGTATATCTCACGTCACAAGAAGGTTCCGAACCAACGTCTGAAGCGCAAGGAAGCATCTCAGCTGCAATGGAAAGGATATGGACCTTGTCTTCGGAGTTTTGTACCCGAGGTCAGTCCATGTCTCCAACACACGAGAGACTTTTGCAAGCTGGTGCAAGGCTTCTGTACCATCATGCCAGCCGGGGGTGAGCAGGTCCAACCCTCTCCTAGAGTTTCAAAGCTAATCGTGCAGCAGACCGTTCCGTCGTGCCTATCTGAGGGAACAGCTCAGTCAGTTCATCGAGCTTTTCCCACGCAACACAATGTTCATCAGTCTCTTCTCCTGGGCATCGACCACGTTTGGCATCGATGACCCTGTTCGTGACATCCTTCGCAAGGTTGCCTTCGCAAACGGTAATGACTGCATCAGCAACCGCGTTTTTGCAGTCCGCTACGAATTGCAAAAAGGAAACGTGCATTCTACACAAGCAGCCTTTGAGCGGGCACTTAACACTCCCGCATGCAGGTCCAACCCGGATATCTGGCGATGCTATATCAAATTCAGCTACGCCAGGAAGCAGTTCAGGGCCAAGGCAAAGGACGTCTTCTTCAGGGGCCTAAGGCATTGCCCATGGTCTAAGGACCTTGCTCTTGAGGCGTACACGACGCTCATCAATGTCATGGATGAGTTTGAACTCAGAGCTGTCTTCAACACCATGTCGTCCAAGGGGTTACGGGTACACGTCGACTTGGACGAATTCGTAGCCAATCACAAGGAGACGAGGGCTATGTATGGTTAATGCTGTGCAGCAGAGGCGTAGCACAGGCGCCTAATATCAAACAGCCGGCTCTCTAGTGGAACATTCAGACCTCGGTCAAGATGACAAGAACTGACGGTGTGATTCAAAGCGTGAACCACAATGAACAGAAACCTGGGGGGGGGGGGTTGATGCCACTGCAGGATTTCGGCACCGACAATGACTGGGTTTGGACCTGGTTGGGGCTAGCTCGGATTAGGAACGATTGATCAGGCATGAGAGCAGGCGAAAGAGTCAGAGTGGCAATGCATGCGCAACACAACGGGAATTCTGACCAGGTAGTTTTGGTTGGCCGGATGGCCTTACAGCAATAGCAACCCAGCCATTGCTCGCTTGATTAAGATGATGCGGAGTGACTCATCTGCCATAGTGTACGAATACAGCAAGCAGCTCATTGACTCTTTTCACCCTCAGTGCTTGAGGCGAATCAGGGTCCACACAGGTCGCTCGGTGTGCCCCGCCCCGCCCGAAGGCGCCCCCGCCCCTCCCCTCCAGGCGAACTTGGAAAGAAAGAGGTGAAGCGGCGGGCAGCTCTGGTGCGCCCCCCCCCCCACCTTTGGTCTCTCTCCATTGTCGCTTTTTATTAATTGCGACTTCCGCCGCCGCAAAAATTCCATCAGCAACACCCTGACGACAGAACCCTTGACGACGACAATTTTTCCTACGCCTGCGCAGGCATTTCCATACGAAGAATCCCATACGACTGTTTCCCTCGTATACCCCGATAACCTCCCCTTCCCAAAACACCATTCAGACAGTCAACACTCCCATAACAAACACAAACATGGCGGTGCGCGCGCAATTCGAGAATTCCAACGAGTGAGAAAAAAAAAGCCCCGCCGGAACGACCCCGCTATCGTGCTGCAGCTTCTTTCACCTGCACCGCGATGTCCTGCCAGACCAGACGTGCTGACCCTTGGTGTGCCTTTCTTTTCCTTAGGATTGGTTGCTTTGCAACCCTCACCAACTCCTACGCTCTCGTCGCTCCCGGCGCTAGCGAGAACTTTTACAGTGTGTTCGAGGCTGAGTTGCAAGGCGTGATCCCCATTTGCCGGGCCAGCATTGCCGGCGTCCGCATCATCGGCCGGTTAACAGCTGGGTAAGTCATACGCGATAGGATCGTGCATCTCTTTTCGGCGCACTCGTGAACTAGTCAGGCTGACCTGCGAGGCTCTAGTAACCGCAAGGGTCTTTTGGTCCCGAACACGACATCAGATCAGGAGCTCCAACATCTCCGCAACTCCCTGCCAGACGAAGTCCGCATCCAGAGAATAGAAGAGCGTCTGTCGGCCCTCGGCAACGTCATTGTATGCAACGACCACATCGCCCTCATCCACCCGGACTTAGAGCGTGAGACGGAGGAGATCATTGCCGACGTGCTCGGCGTCGAGGTGTTCAGGCAGACCATTGCCGACAACGTGCTTGTGGGCTCGTACATGTCGCTCACGAACCAGGGCGGCCTTGTGCACCCCAAGACATCGATACAGGACCAGGACGAGCTCTCGAGCTTGCTGCAGGTCCCCCTGGTGGCCGGTAGTGTCAACCGCGGCAGCAACGTCGTCGGTTCCGGCATGGTCGTCAACGACTGGATGGCCGTCACCGGCCTCGACACGACGGCAACGGAGCTCAGCGTGATTGAGAGTGTATTCAGACTGGGCGAGGGCCTGGGCCCGGACAACGTCAACACCAAGCTCAAGGACACCATGGTCGAGTCTTTCTACTAGAGAAAGGGTGTTGGTCGCTGCGGACGAGATTTTGGTGGAGACTGCCGGAGCGCTGCTGGGTCGGGTTTTTCGTTGGTTTGGGATACCATTAATGGGCTGAGCACGGTTTGGTAGGCTCATCCCACGAGCCAGGTTTAGGGCTCAGTACATCACGGGCGTACATCATAACGACCGGCATGAATAAAAGCCTTCGGGCACTTTGAGGACCCCATATCATGTTGCCAAGCCCCCCCCTCCAAGTCAAGCATTTCGAGATCTAGCCATGTGCGTATGGCGAACTACTGCAAGGGTCTTTGAAACATATGCTATGGCGGACGAAGAGGAAGAGATCATGTCTCAAGAGCACGGTGTTCGCCAACGTCAACATCGAAACCGACTGTCAAGTGTCGAGAGATCGAAGGCCAAGAGTATTCCAATTGTACTCCGCCCATGGGCATATTCGTCGGGAAAACAAGGCTCAAATGTTGCTTGTAAGAGCGTCCACGCCGCTTCCCACTTGGAAATACTGTATATAAGGAAGGAGGGGAAAAAGAAAGAAAAAAGAAAGGGGTCGTCTTGCATTGAAACAACGGCTTGTCTCTGATAACGGCAAACCTAAGCTTTGACTGAACGTTGGAGACAGGGCCTCCATGACCACCAGCCATCGATCATGACAGTCGCGGATGGTACGTGCGGCGGATGGAAATGCGGTATCCAAGATGCCGCGTCAAACGCGGACACCACCTCTACACATTTTCTTTGAATAGACGAGACAATGGGCTTCGGCAAAGGGAGCAGATAAAGCACGTTGCTCCGGGCGTGCCAGTCCAGCGCCGGTTGTGCTCCTTAGATTAGACCCTTGAATAGAGGAGGCGCCCCGCATGGCATGCATTCCGCATGCCTGAGCGCGGCAGACGGGGGAGGAAAGAGTGCGTCGGTGTTTCGAGCACGTAGAGTTGCTTTCGGGGCCCGGGATAGCGGCCACCTAGAACCATTGCTTGTGGTCTAGGGCGGTTGAGTATGTATAATGATGAGGCTGAACGTGCCCGCGTGCTTTGGGGTCTTGACTCATCCCATGTTGTTGATGATTTTGGGGGAGGAGATCAGCAACTGCCAACAGCGGCCATGGGGGATGTTGATCGTCAGCTCGATAAGAACCGGAAGAATAAGAGCCGGAAGAATTACCTTTGGACCTTGCTGCCGTCTGTGTTTCTGTCTAAATAGTGCCACCTACGCAACCGCAGCAGTTGCAACTCTGCCCATCCAAACCCCAAAATCGTAAGCAGAAACACATGCAGAATCCTCCACTATTTTGCACAGACACAAACAAGTACATACTTTTGGGGGTGTTTCCAGGGTTCAACGGAGATGGCACGGACCAAGAGCGATGGGGGGCGTGCTCTAGGCCGAATACTTACCTAGCCATATGCAAAGGGCAGTGCGCTGGATACAACACATCATCATCCTGAACAATAATAACCACAACAACAACAACAATACCATTTGTGTAAGATATGACTAGTTGTGGAAAGGCTGCGTGGGCGGTCCAATGATGACTGGCTGCACTGAGACACTTCGAATGCGTGTACAGGACTGAGTGGCTGTTCGTACGTCTCCCCCGGTACCGAGGCCCGGGGAGCGGGCTGTTGATGGGTCCTTTATGCCCAGCCACCTCCAATTACTGATGTTGACGTCGCCTGCGATCGTTCTGGTTCGCTTGATCAGGGACCTGACCTCACCGTAAGATACTCCCCCTCCCGGTTGGCGTCAAGTACGGATAACCAAGGCTGCTTTTATTTTATTTTGTAACCCCTGTCTCCCATCATTCGCTCTCGTCCACAGCCAACGTCGACGCCCTGCAGCCAGCCCGTGGCCCTTGACCTCGTGGAAGCCAGACACACATTTCTGCAATAGTGTAGACCGCAGTGGGGGCGGGCGTCCTCGTTTCTTGATGTCTGCAGCCACACAGCTCGGATCCGAGAAAGCAGGTTTCTTTGTTATTGGATTCCAAATGACAGACTGCCTGCCCACTTGCGCAACCTTTCTGCATACATAATACTCATACTACCTGTGCTCAAGTTGTCACGAGCTGGCGTTTATTCTATCCCCCATTCCCGACACGGTCCACCCGCTTTCGCGTCCCTTTGACCGAAATCAAACATCAAGCAGCATTGCATCGAGACTCCCGCTTTTCTCTCTATCCCCTGCACGACATAACTCGCTGCCCAAGGCAACGGTTCACATCACAACACTGCCCTTTTGTGTCCGGCCCCTCTGAATCGTCACTACGCTTCTGAAACGGGATAGCAAGCCTTTGTATCTCAGCCACAAGCGGATGGATTTACTCACCTGCGACTTTGACAGCTTCGACGTCTCCCTCTAGGCCGCGCCGCCGACGCCCAGCAGGGCAAAAGTTGTCGTCACCTTGTCATCGATCGACAGCTGCTTGCGCACTCGAGCGCTCCGTGGAGACCAGACCGCCGCCGCGTTCGTTCACAAGCCAGCGCACCGCGGCGAGGTGCATGCGGCTTTTGTGGTCGCCATCGTCTGCCAACTTGTCCCAGTTCGTCCAACGCTTCGCTTGCAAGGGGCCCCGGCGTCTACCTACTCTCGCCCGAGGTCTGTCCCCTTTGTCTAAATTGAATCATCGCCGCTACAAGCGTCAACGATTTGTCCATCCGAGTTCCAAGTTCCAACGTTATTCCCTCGGAAGCTCCTCATTTGGCCGGGTTGGTCCTAGTCGCTCAAAGGAAGATCCCGTTCGTGGCCCGAGTTGATCCATTTAGTCGGCATTCCCTGGGCTGGCCGCTACCATCAAATCTGCGAGCCCCCAGCCGGCCAGCAAGGAAGTCCAGAGAAGGAGATATTGGCCGATCCACTCGAAACATTAACCCATCATGCTAAGTCGTCACGCTGCCACCGTTCCCTCCACACCCGGCTCCCCAATGTCCGTCCCACACCCACCCACGCAGCGTCTTGGAATGTACGGGATCCAGACGCCCCGACACCAAGCACATGGACCCTCGAGCGTTGGTGCAGAAGACGATCCTGCCTCTCCGTGCGCTCTTCCTGGTGCTACGATAAACACCAAGCCGCCTGTCCATCCCGGCCCGGCTCATATCAGTTCGTCTTCTAACTCCCATCGAAGCTTTCCCCAATCACGCGCAGTTCATCATCAAAGACAGCAATCGGCCCCAAACTTTCCTTCATCCTCCTTCGACAACAATAGCAACAGCTCCATTCCACAAGTCACTGTTTCGCCATCCCTTGAGCGAGGGAGTGGCCGTCCCTTATCGGTCAACATGCCTTTCACAGGAGATGGCAAGAGTGGTGGTAGATCGTCAGACGCCAGAAGAGGGGGCGTTTTGAGCAGCCGGACACCCAAGGAAACTTCGCCGAGCACGTCACGGTTCGCCTTCTTCAGTTCGCCGTTCTCCAAAAACGCTCAACCCCAGGTCGACCCCACGCAGGACGAGGAACTACTTTCACTCGACATTCAGAATGCACTGTTTCCTCCCTCATCCCCGACCAACCGGGATGCCTTTTCGCCGGCAGCCTTCAAGAACCTCGAGGCCACCGCCATCGGCCTGCTGACGAGATTTCAAAGCGCCTACCAAAGACAGGATGCAGCTCTCCGGGAGCTACGCACAGAGAAAGACGCCCAGGCCGAGGAGCATGACGAGGCGGATACGCGGATTCAGCATCTCAGAGTCCAGCTGGAAAACATGGCCTCCAAGGTCGCCGAGCAGGAGCAGTCGATGCAACAGCTCATGGCGGAACTGAACGCCGAAAAGAAGGCAAGGTACGAGGAGCGGATAGCGCGCGAACGAAACCGACCCCTCTCGGAGGGGTCCACGATATCGGAAGATCTCGGCGTCGAAGAAGACATGGCCAGGCGGAAGTGGAGGAAGAGCGCGGGCTGTGATACGGACGATGAGAGCGTCGAGGACGCCAGCGTCTTCTCGAGGTCGCGGAGCCCCACCACTGCTGCTCCGAGCGTGTTCGAGGGGAGCATCGTGGACATGTCACCGACGCCGCAAGCGCCAAAGGCCAACGCGCTCGGCCCGCCGAGGCCGTCGCGGTCGTCCGTCCAGAAGCCCTCGCCCCAGCAGGTCAGCGTCTTCCAGAAGCTCATGAGAGGCGTTACTGGGGACACCGCAAATCAGGACGGCGGCCCCACGTCGTGCGCGAATTGCCGCGGGCAGGACCAGCGGGCTGCGTGGGATACCGTCAATCTGTTGAGAGACGAGAACCGTGGGCTGAAGCATCGTGTGGAGGAGCTGGAGACGTGTGTGGATAATGCGCTGGACGCGGTCAATGGCCATGGGCTCTATTGATCGGTGTTTTTGGCATTTCTTCAATTTTTTTTATATCTTTTTGGTGACATACCCGCTAGATCGAAGTTCGATCTCTGCGGCATGACGGCGTTTACTTGGTTGTTTCCGAACGGAGTTGTCTGGACGGGGTTTCCTTGGCATATTGAACAGTTAAAAACCGATACCAATAAGCTGGCATTGTTAATGTTTTGTCGAAATACCGCATATACCTCCTCATATGAGTTGAGACCTAGAGAATGAACAGCATTATCGAACGTGTGCAATGAGATCTGATGATTCCTATCCATATTCTTGTTCGTAATGTGATCGCGTCGCGGCCTATTCTGGCTGAAGTTTCGCCAAGTAAGACTCGTGTATGTTAACTTGAGGCCCTGGACATGTCGTCAAGGTCCGAGAGAGTAAGATGTTGGTTTAGAATGCTGTGTAAGCAACCAAAGGTAGACCACGTGAGCCTGGTTGCACAGGAAGCTGGGCTCCGATTATGAGATTTGTGGCGTTGCGGATGAGGTACATCTGCGCCACGACTTGTGCCCGGGGCGTGCCTATTCTCTTTTTTCTTTTTCAGCTTTTGCTTCTATCTTTATTTTTACTCTTTAGGTCTTTTCCTTTGTAATTGGACAGTGGAAGAATGGACGAGCAAAAGAGCCGGAGACGTGAGGGACGGGATGGCTCCTTTCAGGCACACAGGCTCATTCCAAAAGGAGAGGACGCGCCATCGCGGGCTGCCCGGGTTGCTGCATAGCCATCCTGATGGCGCAGGCGCCCAAGTTTAGAGGATGCTTGGCAGGGGCCATCCCATCTTCTAGTTTGCGTTACCTTAATTCAACCTTGCAGTTGCGTCGGCGATGGCGACCCTTCACGGTTGCGAACCTCAAGTATGGCGCCTAGAACGTAGGGAACCTCTAATTAGATCAGAAAGCTGTCTACGGGAACTTGCGTGACTGATCCGTTTATCAGTTTCTGCCGCCTGGATACAAGAAGCCAGCAGGACTTTCTCTTTGCCCGGTTCATTAGGCTGTTGAAGATCAAAGACGAGTCTCTAACTGATAGTCCTCGACGGCCACAACACACGTTTCCCTAGATGTGTCGCATGGCTACGCTGCATTTTGATCGCAGGAACACAATTCGTCCTTATCGAGACCCTTCCAACGAGCCGGTCTGCCGGCTCGAGAGGCAAATGTACATCGGAGCAGTCGTTCCTCCCCCTTCCTCCGTCCTCACCCTCTCTCCGTCTGCAGCCCTCTAGTGATGGTCCTTGCCGTGGCTGTCGCCGTGGTGGTGATCGTCGGCCAGGAAGAAGTACTCGTAGGCGCAGTAGCCGGCGAAGGCAACGGTAGCGATGCCGAGGCCGGGGAAGGATCCCTTGAAACGGTTGAATCTCGTGAAGGGGCCCTTGTATCTCCAGGCCTCTCTGTGGTTCTCAATCGTCAGCGGATGCCGCAGCGTCGCTAAAAGGGTATCTTGGGGTGTACTAACGCCCTCTCCCAGGGGTCGTATCTGGGCTGGCCGGCGGCCTCCTTGAAGGCTCTCATGTCGAAGCCGGTAATGTTGGGCTTCTGTCCGCGGACGGACGCCATTGCTAACCTGGTGTCGGAGGAGTGTCAGCGGTCCAGTCACGTTTCCCCAACATCAATTGGGCACCTCCGAATGCGAATACCTCGTTGGCTGCATGATTGCTGTGTTGATATCGTCTTGCCGTACAACAATGGACGCTTCGGTGGTGGTCAGTCGAGTTGGGGGGAAGCTGATTGGAGATCTTTGAGATGTTGTCGTCGGCAAGTACCGCGGTACGTACCTCTTTGGCTCAAGGCCCCGCACAGACCATCCCTCGACGTCCATGGGACTGGTTGACCAGAGCAAGCCTTCAGGCCTCATTCACACATTCTGTCCAAATCCGAGATCACCAGACGTTCTTGAAAGCGCTTCTGCTTCCCACGACCCCCGGACGAACGACATCAATCGAAGCGAATATCTTGATTCTCCGAAGGAAATTTCGACGATTCTCCACGAGCCAAACCAATTCCCGACGACCGACGGCCAAGAACAAAGGAGCTCTTTTTGCTGCTAGTCCCCGTCCCATTACTCGCATCTCCAGACGCAAATGCAGGGCCGTGGATCGTCCACAGCCCCTCAATCCCCGACGCACCTTCGCTCGACAACGCGGTGAATCACGAATCTTTTGTACAACCCTCACGAGAGGCATAATCTGTTATGCCGCCACAGCTGCCTAGGTTCCCTGGCGGGCCAAACACTATTTCGCCCTACCACCAGCAGTTCTCCTCCCACGCGCAAGGCCACGGCCCTAGCCATGGACCGCCCTTGGGTGCCAACCCTTCCTACCTCAATGCGAATGCCGCCCAGATCAGCCCTTTTTCCACGAACGGAAACGTCCTCAGCGGCACCCCCGGCCTGAATGGCGGCTTCCCTATCGGCGCCGACACCGGGCTGGGGAGCCATGCTGCGCGGATGGGTTTTGCGCACGCGGCAAGCCTCCAGCAGCAACAGCAACAGCAACAGCACGGCCAGCCGCAACACAACTTCGCGCTCGATCACGGCGCTGCGCCGGCGCGGACGACGCAGAACAAGGGGAGGATAAGGGAAGTGTGGAAGCACAACCTCCACGAGGAAATGGCGGTGCTGAGGGAGCTTGTCGATAAGTACCCTTATATCGCTATGGTTAGCGGGCCCGTAGAACACCCAGGTCGATGAAGCCGAAGCTGACGAGCTGAAATACAGGATACGGAATTCCCAGGCGTGGTGTCCCGGCCAATGGGCTCTTTTAGGGGAAAGAGCGATTACCACTACCAATGCCTGCGAACCAATGTCGACATGCTCAAAGTCATCCAGATCGGACTGACGCTGTTCAACGAAGACGGCGAGACCCCGCCCGCGCGACCGAACTCTCAGCAGGACATCGAACTGAGCGCAGCTCAACGAAGAGCGGCGTCACAAGGCCCGTTCCCTTACGCATGGCAGTTCAACTTCAAGTTCTCTGTCAAGGATGACATGTACAACGAAAAATCGATTGAGTCATTATCCAGTGCCGGAATCGACTTTGCCTCTCTCGAGAGGGACGGTATCGACCCCCACGAATTCGCCTCCCTCCTTATTCCATCCGGCCTCGTATGCTTTGACAACGTGAAATGGATCTCGTTCCACGGAGGCTACGACTTTGGCTACCTTACTAAACTCCTCACATGCAACGACCTCCCCAACGACGAGGCGGACTTCGATCAAGTCATGAAATTGTACTTCCCGTCGGCTTATGATGTTAAGCACCTCATGAAGCATGCCATCCGTCTCCACAACTCCGGGCTCCTAACTCCTAGCGACCCTAGCAGCGCCGACATCCTCCAGAAGTTTGAACACAAGTCTGGCCTCGAGAACATCGCCGATTCTCTAAAGATTAAGCGAGTGGGGAATGCGCACCAGGCCGGTTCCGATTCCCTCCTCACGGGCAAAGTTTTCTTCCAGATGCGGGACAAGATCTTCAACGGAGAAATCCCAGAAGAGCACGTCGGCAAGGTCTGGGGCTTGGGCATTCCCGAGCTGTTGGTCTTGGACAGACTGTCGTTCGGCAACAATGGCGGGAACCAGGATTCGACGCAAGGCCAGGGTCCCAACGGCCAGCACAACGGAGCGCCGAGCACACCTAATACCGCCAGCGTTGGCCTCGTAAGCACACCCGCCGCGCAGTCGCACAATACCAACGGCATCTCTATGGGGCCAATGACGCCGGGCGGAGGAGGCGGAGTGTTCGGCAGCTTTGCCTTTGGAGGCTCCAGATGAGCTTTCACGTGCGCATCCTTGCCGAACCGGGGTTGCTCGAGGGGACGAGGAAGCCATCAGTGTGCGTTAGACTTTTTTGGAGGGTACTGGCCATGGCGACTTGCTCTCTAAGGGGGTCAAATGCAGCACTGGGCTTCGGTTTTGCATACTTCGTCTATACATTCCGCGGGGGGGAACCTGATCTCCCCCTTGCCTTTTCGGAAGGAGAAAAATAACCTCGCTGAGAGTAGACCAGGTTCGTTTTTGTCCACACGAAAAGAAAAAAAAATTGGCAATTTGCTTTCCTGTCTGTATTTTTTTCTGTGCGGTGACGTATGGAGTTGGGATTCGGCAAAGTCCTTGGTTCCAGCATCACGTAGGGCGCAAAAAGAATCTGCGGCGGTGACTGGCGGTCGGGTATGTTTTCTCTTTACATCTGGATGACGGTCGGGGTCTTTTTTTTTCGTTTCTGGGAGGGTCAGGAGAACAGGGGGTGCTCTCGGGATGAAAGACGACGACTTATATGCATGCCACCTGCGAACACCATGTTTGGGTAGGGGAGGTCATTCGGGAAGAGTTATGAAGAGGAGGTGAGGGGAACATGGAGGTGACAATGGAATGAATACGTGTAGGCCGTTAAAGGGGGTAAAGACAGAAGAAGGGGACGAGCGTATGAAACTTTTTTTCTTTTTCCTTTTCCTCTTCAATCATGTACTGTACTGTGAATACCTGGGGTCAGGAACGGAGGGGGGGCTTGGGCGTGAGAACGACTGGAATCCAAACGCGAGTTTAGTTGTTTGCTCTTCTCGACTCACTTTCTTGGGCAACAAACGTTGAGAGGAGGAGGGAGGGGATTGCGTGCGAGTGATTGTAATGTCGTTTGGAAGGCTTCGTCTTGAGCTTGTGTCGAGCTACCTATGGGCTGGCGAACTTCAACAACCTGACAGCGTCTGGACTGGTCGACAGCTGCAGATCTGTGAGGGCATTCTGGCTACCTGACGGCTTCGCTTGCCCTGTGGGGTTTATGTTTACTCCTGGCGTCTGTCTTGAGAGAAATGGCTTGACGGGCTGTCGTTGCTGCTTGAAGTCTTGTGAGGATGTGCTCAGCCGATGACAAGGGGTCTTGGTCATAGCCGCTAAGGCGAGTCCCTCTCCCGTCTCTCTGGCCGTCTCTCCTCAACACCTGCGTGCCGCTGGACTAGAAGCATATTCACGGTTACTAATGCCAGTTTTTTGCGACATTCTTGAAATCGAGGGCTCAACCCTTCTTGTCTTGATGATGAATTGAGATTGCTTGAATTTTGAAGCTTCTATAAAAGAACAGCTCTGGCTACCAAAACTATACGTGTTGGCGGTTGCTCATACCACTCGAAAATAAGATAAGGGGCCATGGACCCGGTGTAGTTCTTCGACCCTTATAATACGACCACCGTCCCGAGATGAACTGGTGAACCGCTATACTTGGCATTCTGCCCTTTGGGAAAGACTGCTGACTCTTACCATCGGAGTTCTGAGAAAGGACAAGGTCCAAATCGATGTGACGCGTATGCGACTGCTTCAGCACTGGTGGTAGTCCATTGAACCGAAGCTACCCGGCAAGCGAGTATACCTGCTCTGAGACCTTTTCATACATGAGAACTCCTTCCCGTGCGGTACTTCCAGTGAATACAAGTGGGCGCATATACGAACTGATCATCTGAGGCAATTCTCGTGAGAAACAAGATACGTTAAAAGAAGCGGATCAGCTCAGCCAATCGATACATCCTCCTCGCGGTACGTGTACCTGACTTGTGTACAAATGTGCCAACAGAACGCCATCCATCTGATAGGCTAATATTCGTTCGATCGATCGATCGCGCGAGGTTCTTTGTACAAAGGATGTCCAAATACCTTCTTTAGCGATCGGGTCACAGCAACCTCTCGAGCCCAATGTCTTTGCTTACTTTCATAAACCCCTCAAGAAACCAGGGCCACCAAGTAGAACCGATAGAATCTTATTTTTGATTGATGACCAAACTACCTACACCCTGAACCACCTCTATCGTTCCTTGATGACAAACATCGTCCTTTCCGAATGACGTTGAAATCAAGGTCCCGCTCATGGACTCAAGTTCAAGGGGCAGCGAAAGCCTTGGTTCATCTCGCAGAACCACCGAAGATGGTAGCTGTGTTTCTACGACTGTGTGTGGATATTATTGTGTAGGGGAAACGCCTTGTGGTCGTACCTCAATACGGCTGTTGCTGTCGTAGGAGTCTTGTATTACCTTATTTCACATGGCTAACAAACAAGCTGACCTATTGACGGTTGAACTGCGGCATTCTCTAAACCATAATCAGGAGCCATGAGAACACCGTGTGAACCATATTGGATAGTATTAGTCACCGGTCCTAGCAGGGCGAACCATGTGGAACCAAGGTGCCTAGTGCATACTAGAAGTATCCCCCAGAGAGATCGCCACTCCTATCATTATCAAAAACAGGGGGCGAAGCTTGATGTCGACGACCTCCCGAGGGGGGGGGGGGGGGAGCGGATCTTCCGGCAACGAAGATTAGGGTCTGGTAAGGTCATCAATTAAACCTACACGAATGGTGCAAGGAGACCTCTGCGAGTGCTGCACAGGTGACGTAACCCTCGTGTTTGCGGACTTTACAGGCATCCCGGGTCCGTGCACATGGCCTGGTCCCGTCACAGTCCGATCGCCTATGCCAAAACAATACATTCCCAGGGTGCTTCTTTGGGAGACTTTCGGAAGTCTACAGCTTTACCACTACCCCCCCAAACGTCCGCCGCACCTCGAAATCTGCTGCTCATTAAACCAGCAACCCACCGTAGACCATAGACCGTATCCTTCACGTATACCACCGACAACAACACCGAACCCAAACGAGTCGCAGCGCAGCACCCCATGGACGCTGCCCCGACAACAACACAATGTTCCACGTCGTGAGCGCCTCGTCGCCAGTGCCCTCGGAAATCTTTGCGCTTCTTGCGCTGCTCCTCATATCCGTCATCGTCCTACTTATCCTGCGCCACTTCCTACCCCTGCGAACAACGCCGGCTTTCTACCTGGTGCCCATCTTCTTCGCATTATGGCTGCCCGCATGCATGGTGCTGCTTGTGCCCATCGACCTGGCTTCTAGTGCTAGGACCGACGATGAGGCCACGCGCGGCATCTGGCTTCCACAGCGGCTGCTATTAGTATCGTGGAGGATAACGTACTGGCTGACGTTTGCCCTGACATGGTACGTATTTTGCTGTTGGTGCTGGTCTCTACCCGCGCTGATGACGTTTCCCGCAGGTTTATTCTTCCCATCCTCGGCGAATACTCCGACTCTGGCTACCGCGAACCGAACGACTGCCTGAAATACTCGCTTCGTCAAAACGCTCAATACCATGCGATGGTACTAGGAACTGCTGCCGTCGGACTCGCGTATCTCTTCATCAGATATAACCCAAGTCCCACAACACTCAAGACATCTTTCATGGCACTCGCATATTTTTATGGCCTGGTCTTCGCCATCTATCTTATGGGACACGGGCTGGTTGCGGTGCCTCGTCGGCTTTTCCGGTATTCCTCCATCAGCGGGAGGTTACGCAGACTACAGATCCGTGCGCCGAAACTTTACGAAAAAATGGAGGACTCATTGCTGAACCTGGAGGATATCGAATTGCAGGTGTCGGAGTTGGGCCGCCGGAAGACAGGTAGCGCCGTCAAGTTCAGCGAGTGGATCGACGAGCTCGTCGAATCCGCCAACATGCCCGAGTCGCAGCCCCGGACGGCTGTTGGATCTGTCGACAGCCGCGCCCTGCCGACCGTCATCACGGAGAAGTTCATGGCCGATTTGTCGAGAAGGTTGATGCGCGCCCGGCATGCTCGGTCCCGTTACGTAAACGACTGGAATGATCTGTTGAAGGAGGCATCGGAAACGCAGGCTATCTTGGACTCGGCCGCCTCGAAGAAGCTCGAATTTAGCTCACCCTCCCCCCACGCCGGATTCTGGGATCGATTCACCATCCACACACCCTACACACGATACCTGTACTACTATCATTTTGAGCCATATGCGTGCATTGCCCTCGGAGCATTTCTCGCGGTGGCCTCGGCCCTTATCATTTGGTCTGAAGTCATCAAGGCGGCCTTCCCCCAACTGTCTGTCATTCGCTTGACGGTAGTCCACCACTGGGTCGGAGAAAAAGGACAGGTCGGGTTTGCCGGACAACTTATCTCGGTTCTCTGGCTTCTGTACATGTGTGCAGCAACCTTCATCACCATGACAGAGGTGAAGACTTGGCGGGGACGCGCACTCGTTAGACGCAACACGGCCTACGAATCGGCATTCTGGTACTCCGGCCAAGTTGCCAAGCTTAGTGTTCCTCTATCCTACAACTTTATGACCTTCTTGTCCAGGGACATCTATCAGAAGACGCGTTTCTATTCCTTCCTCGGACAGCTCATCGATTTCACCGCGATGGGCCGCTGGGCGGACTATCTCTTCCCCATCTTTGTGCTCCTCCCTGTCGCAGCTACCCTCTTTGGCTTGTACGGGAAGATCAAGCGCCTGTTCGGCTTCGGCGGCGAATTCATTGACGACGACGACAACGGCGACGGAAGGGTCTTTGGAACGGGCTCTTGGCGCGAGGGTCGAGACCTTATCGAGCGCGAGTTGGGCGGCAACTCTGCCCTGCGACGCCGCGAAGAGGCTTTCGCCAGGCTCGAATCAACCGGAAGGTCTGCGCCCGTTCTGACCATTCCCGGCGGACGTACCGGCGCCGCGGCATCCCCGGCAAGATCTCCTGTTCGGGCCGTTCACAATCGTCAACCTGGCCAACTGGCAAGGAACAGACATTACCGTGACGATGAGCCAGAGGAGGACCAGAACTTTTTCGAATCGCTCGGCCATCGCATGAAGAACACGATGGACACGTTTGAAGCTCCGCAATGGTTCCAAGAAATCAAGAAGCCCAAGTGGCTCGGCGGCGATGACGATGAGCCAAGCAGCAGTAGCCGTGGTGGTACAGCCAGGGGTGGCGATGGCGGCGTTGAGTCTGACATTCGACGTTGGTTCGGTGGCGAGGGCCGCGTTCGGCTGTGATGTTGGCCATGAAAGTGGCTGAGATCAACTTCTCCTTTGTTATTTCGTATCCCATCACTTCCACGGATTTGGTGTCTCTACCAAGAGCTGGGGAGTGCGCATTGCTAGGAGTTTTGGCTTGAGTTCCAGCGCCAGGGCAATGAGACGGGGAGATGACTAGTCTCGCGCAAGTATTTATATATTTATTTAATGACGCCCGCGACAAACCGTGAGTGTATAAGATAGATATCTTTTATAGAATTCTCAACATGAACTACGGAGCAATGAGGAGAATGCACAGTATCACTGTGGTGTGTTGCTCTGTACATTGGTATTCCAGTAATATTTTTAAGCAGTAAACCGCTTCGACGGATCCGGGCCCACCCTGTCTCCCCGCCGCCTGCAAGCCGGCACCGGGCGCAAGAGCCGGGCGCATTAGTGGGACTGCCAAATGGACCGTGCACTAATCAAGGTCATTACACAGAGGCATCTTGATTTGGTTTGAGTTTCCATCCAACACCCCTTCAACCAACACAGAATATGAGCAAACCAGGATTGTCATTCGGCCTCAGTCTTGGCAAGAAGCCAGGCGCATCAAAGCCCGCGCCGGCGAAACGGAAGGCGTTTGGTGGCGACGACTCTGACGACGATGCGCCCAAGCCGGGGACCAAGATCGAGACACTGGACGAGCTAGGCGGCTTCGATCTCGATTCATCGTCCAGCAGACAGGAGAGCGGAAGCGGAAAGCCAAAGAACAACAAGACCAAATTGCCGACATACCCACCGACGAGCAAAGCCAAGAAGCAGGAAAGCGCCATGTTTGGCGACCTCTCGAGCTCGCTCGCATCGAGAAAACACGCCGAGGAGGCAGAGGAGCTGGACCCGAGCGTCTACGACTACGACGGCGTGTACGAGTCTTTCAAGCCTCAGAAGAAGGAGACAAAGGAGGACGCCGAGCGGAAGCCCAAATACATGAAGAGCCTGCTCGAGGCCGCTTCTGTGCGGAAACGCGATGCGCTGATTGCCGAGGAGAAAAAGATTGCGAGGGAGCGGGAGGCCGAGGGCGACGAGTACGCGGACAAGGAGAAGTTCGTCACAGAGGCGTACAAGAAACAGCAGGAGGAGAACCGACGAATTGAGGAGGAGGAGAGGAGGAGGGAGGAGGAGGAAGCGAAGAAGAACAAAACGGGTGGCATGAGCGCTTTCTACAAGAACCTCCTCAACAAGGGCGAGGAGAGGCATGCTGAGGTCCTGAAGGCGGCCGAGGACAAGACCAAAGCTGGTCCGACACCTGCGCCGGAAGAGGCCGACGCGGGCAAAGAGAAGTCCGAAGCAGAAATCGCAAGAGAGATTAACGAAAAGGGCGGTTCTGTTGCTGTCAACGAGGAGGGACAGGTGGTTGATAAACGTCAACTCCTACGAGGCGGTCTCAACGTTGGCGCCAAGAAAGAAGCCCAGGTCAGACAAGAGGCGGCGCGGCTGAAAGACAGCAGACCGCAGCGCAGTTCTGGCACCGGGTTTGTTGGCTCTGGCGGCAAGGGCGCTATGCGGGAGCGGCAGACGCGGATGCTCGAGGCGCAATTGGAGGCGGCGCTCAAGCGCTCACGCGAGGAAGAGGAGGCAGAGCGCGAGAAGGTGGAACGGGTCACGAAGACGAGGAAGACGGAGGGGGAAATCTCCAGCGCGAAGGAGCGGTACCTTGCTCGAAAGCGCGAGGCGGAGGAGGCCAAGAAGAAGGGGCTGGCCGAGTAGAAGAGTTCACAAGATACCCCGAGAACCGAGAATGCATCTCTTTCTATAATGCCTTTTAGGCGGGCCGAGCAGCTTCATGACGAGACCTGTGCCCTTTTGTCCCTGATGTTTGAGCTAGTTTCCCATGTGTACATGGTCCTGGTGCTGATTCAGCGATGCAGAAATTCAGCACGAGGGCTTTTCTTTACTCACCCCCCCCCAATTCGATGCTTCCAATGGGCTTTTTATAGCCCCCCTCTGTGGTGTTGTTGTACAGTAGTAGTAGTACACGATAAACAGCCCCCTTATTTCTCTATCCTAGCCCCTCTATTCATGTACAATCGATTACAGCGAGTTGTTGCCCTTCACAGACTCCTGTTTTATCCTGTTGATGTATGCCAGGTTGACCTGGTTCCATGCCGACATGTACTTTTCCATGCACGAGGTCATGCAGGTGGTCTCGCCGCTGGACAGAGAGCTGCCGGGCTTGGGAACACACTTCTCGAAGCAATTCTCCTGGAGTTTCTGTTTGGGGTTGACTGCATAAGCGTCCGACCTCGGTTGCGCCTTGACCTGGAGCTATCGACATACCTCGATGAGAACACGAGCGTTGGCCATGTTTGCCTCCTGGAGGACCTGCTGCATAACGGACCTCTTGACAGAATCGGAGTCCATGGCGGCTGATTTGGCGTGTGTACCGGAACTTGGGAGTGTCTTTGTTGCGGTCTCGAGAAGCTGTGTTGGGTTCGGAGAATATGCAAGTGACGTTCTTGACCTGCGATTGTTTGCACCGTAATTATTCGAGTCCCCGGTTAATACCTGCGCATTGAACGCGATGCTGAAAAGTTGAAGTGGCTTGTGCTGTAAGGCTGTTGTGGCTGGGGTTCTCTGTCCTGAGGCAGCAACCACTTTCCACAGCTCGGTCCTCCAAGTAGTGTAGAGACTAGTACAGTAGTAGAGTGACGCAGGGAGGGAGGAGGAAAGAACGGAGCGTCTACGGATACAGTGACCAGACCAGCCCATCAGCAGTGTCACGAGCGCTGTGGTGGCATGGTACCTGGCCTGGGTACTCTTTAGCGCAGAACAGGGGTGGAAGCTCCAAAACGTGCTGACCCCAGGAATCAGGACCCATCGGCCAAAAAAAGAGGACAGCTAACGGCTGGGAAGGAGACACACGAGCAAAACCCACCACCACCTTCGACTTTCGCCGAACGACGTCTTTTCGTCGCTGGACCCTGCGGCTCTACCACTCTCCTCAACCGGCGCCCTTTTCCCTCTTCGCTCTCCTCCCCTTCCTCCCCCTTGTTGTGAAGCGCGCACTCTTTTCTTCATCTTCTCTTTGAGTCTACTCCTTTTCAATTCGAGCTAGCAGCAACAGCCATGTGGTTCAAGCAGTCCCTGTCGGCCCTGTGGCTGGCCGCAATGGCCCTGGGCACCGCGAAGGCGGATGACGAAGTCAAGAGCATTGCGGTTCGTCCCATTCTATCCGTTCTAAATTCGCGTTGCGCAATCGTATGATACGATGAAGCTGACTCTCTGTGTCTTTATTTTATATAGCTCCGAACGCATTCTCTGTCCCAGGTTCGCGACACCCGCTTGCATGTGCCACACCCCTGAATGCGCTTTACTGAGACTATGCACGATAGCCCTACCTCGATTCCGACATGGCAAGTCGGTGGTACGACTTTGGAGGAGATACCATCATCCGAACGGACTCGTACGTCACCGTCACCGTGTGCAGTGGTTTAAAGGCATAGTCCTAGAAAAGAAAAGAGAGGAAAGGCTAAAGTGATGGCAAACAATTTAGTTACATTCGGTTGACATCGGACCGCCCGTCGCAAACCGGTTGGCTCTTCTCGAGAGTACCCCTGACGGCAACCAACTGGGAGATCGAGGTCGAGTTCAAGATCCATGGCAAGAATCAGCTCTACGGCGACGGCTTCGCCATGTGGATAACCAAGAACCGCGGCCAGTCCGGCACCGTATTCGGCAGCCCGGACAACTTTGAAGGCCTCGGCATCTTCTTCGACACGTACAAGAACAACCGCCCCGGCACCGTCTTCCCCTACGTCATGGCCATGTACGGCGACGGCAAGACCTCTTACGACAAGGACAACGACGGCAAGAACACGGAGCTCGCTGGCTGCTCCGCGCGCGGCATCCGTCACGCCAGCGTGCCGACCAAGGCCAAGGTCACCTACTTCCAGGACAAACTCCTTAAGCTGGAGCTGCAGTACAAGACCGAGGGCGAGTGGACGTTGTGCTTCGAGACCAACGAGCCCCCCGCGATCCCCCAGATCACCTACCTTGGCTTCAGCGCCGAGACGGGCGAGCTGAGCGACAACCACGACATCATCTCGGTGCAGGCCAAGAACCTCTACACGACGCAGGCCGGCAAGAGCAACAGCAAGACGACCCCCGGTAGCGGCAAGAAGGGATCCTCGATCAAGAAGGAGAGCGGTGGCGGCAGCTGGACGTGGACCTTTTTCAAGATCTTCCTTTTCTTTGGCGTCCTCGGCGGCGGTTACGTCGGCTACACTGCCTGGAGGGCGAAGAACGACAAGAGACATCGTTTCTAAGGTGTGAAGATGAAAAACGACTGGCGAAGCGGGGTTTATTTGCAGGGGGATTGAGAAAAAAAGGGGGGGTTAACAGTTGGGTGGATTGAGAAAATGACTGACCGTACATACCAAAACAACACCAACTCACATCTTTTTGCATGGGCAGGCCGAGGGGTCGGGAAATCGAGTTTCTATGGTTACCCGTTTGCTCTCACTCATGTTTCTTACGTTTTTGTCTAACGAATAACTCGGTGTGAGATGAATTCAAGTGTATTATACGACGGTTCGCCGGCGAACGAATCGCGCACGTGGAACAACATCCCACGTCCGCAATCTATGATGACGAGACTGGGCAGATCTAGAAGTTGGTCCGACGGGAATGCCAGACACAAGCTCAAGAGGAATGGCTTCCAGTCTCACTGACACACCGGCACGGGTTAGGAGACTAGAGGACATTGGGGGAACCCCGCTGGAGAGACCACCAAGTGAAAGGCTAGTTAAGGTAGGTGGATATCGAATTCGGAGGGCCCTCGGCGCAATGGCTGATTTTACCATCTGGACTGAGCGGATGGGAGGGCCGAGAGGGGAATGTGCTTATTTGAGTGTCTTTGATAGTTTGATATCAAGGTATTGTTGGCCCCAAGCACCAGCGGGCGGCGGGGTACACTGGCCAAAAAGATTCGCAGATTCGCAAGACGTCGAGTTTACCGACGAAGGCTGCGTAGGGCGGGCCCCGATCTCATACGTGTCAATGGTTGCGTCCGCCGCTGAGCAGAACGGACTGCTCAGAGGGCAAGGAGCTGGGAGGGTGTGGGAGACTGGAGAGAGAAGTGCCGCCGGGGGCGGTTTGCTCTGCCGTTCCCGGCGCGCCTGGAACCGGGGGAGGGGGTAGTTCGTCATTGGACGGACATGGAATGCACGCTGGCCCGAGGTTCCGGGGCGGGTGGGTGGTTACTAGTATACTACTAGGTGAAAGGGGCCCGTGAAAGCTCAGACGGAAGCCCAGCTCGACCGCCTCTGTGTGGCTGTGGACGGACGAGCAGGCGGGAGCGGTCTTTCTTGACCGCTTGGCCCATTTTACGAACCATCGAGCTTGCCTGCAGAGATGTGACGATGACACAAATAAGAACATGCTGAGCGAATGTGAGTGAGCGGGAAGGACCGCGCGCAGACTGCCCATGGGAGGCGGGTTAAGATTTGGGTACGGTAGGGGAATGGGGAAAGGAAGGCAGGACCCGCAGAGGTGCTATGGTTTCTGTTTTGGGAAGGGACGATGGCTAACAAGTGCGGCATCACCCGTCTTTGGGGAGGGCGAGGGACCGTCGGGAACGCGAGGGCGAGGGATCTGACAAGGTACGCCTCAGAGTGAGCTCAATGGGAGGGGGCGGAAGGATTGAACTTGTGAATATTCAACAAGTCTTGTTACAGTCTGGACATAGCGCTGGTGGTCGTGCTCGAGTGAGGCAGAGAAGCTGTCTAGGGTACGTATCTTTTTTTTCTTTTTCCTTCTCCGCTTCGAGGTACAAAGTATCTATCTAGGTAGGTATGTCGGTAGTGTACGACGTAAAGTGAAGGATGAGATGAAAGGTACCCTGCGTCTCTCTCATACCTTTCCCACTATTTCAGGTTACGATGCACATCACTGGTTCTCGAATCCGTGTGAGACGAGGGGTCAGCCACCTCGGCTCTAGCTGCAGCAAGCAAGCAGATGGTCTGGTCTGTCCTGTCCTGTCACTGGGCGAGGCCTGCGATCTCTTTTCTTATTCTCGTCTTTCCTTTTCTTTCCCTTCATCGTTCCAGCGTTGCGCGCTGGGGGCGGGCCTTGCGCCAGTAGGGTGGATTCTGGGCTTCTGGCAACCACGCCAAGGTACCTCATACATGGCCGTGGGTAGTTGGGCAGGCACTCGGGTGGAAAAAAAACCGGATACCTTTTTCCAACACCACCAAAACACCACAACTTCCAGCAATTCAATACCCCGTCCAAAGTGGGCAAAAGGCTCTTTTTTTTATATATACTTGATACTTTGGCCTTGAGATATTCGTGAGTGCCTCCTAATCGTGACTTTTCAGGTGTATCCAGAGCTGGGTGGCCCATCGCGACGGTGGTGGTAGTAGTGGTAGGTAGGTAAAAGGTATCCTGTATTTTTTCACCCGAGTGGCAGGCCACCTAGTAGGTATGTACCTACCTGGCTCTAGGGCAGAGATCATCATGGACCCCGCGCCTTTACATCACCGCTTTGTGCAATTGATCGCGGTGCGGCAGACGGAAGAATGAGGAGGACTCTACACTAAAAGTGGTGGTTTCGCCTGGCGCGACTGGTTTTGCCCGATTCAGGTTCGATTTCGATGCCGAGAGCAAGTCCCTGTACCCCGTCTCTGCATGCCACTGTCAATCAGTCAGCCATCTAGTGGCCCCATCGAAAGATCCAGGTCGTGTTACTTTGGCTTTGCCCCTACCCCACCGCCGCTGGGCCTCTTTTGTTAGTACCTAGTCCGTATACCAAGATGCTTTGGTGGTCGATCGCGGTGGAAGCAGCAGCAGGATGCAGGGGCAACAATTTGTTGGTAGCTTCAGAGCAACCATGTCTACCTACCTGTACGGATGGGCATGCTTCGAGTACCTAATCACACCTGAGGATGCCTTGGTGACCAAGTCACTGTCAGACCTTGTTGCGTACCTCGAGCCATTGACTGATCTGGCATGTGCCGTCGGGTTGCTTGTTTTGGCGCGGTCGACCGAGCGAGAACGGTAATTACCACATCATCATCATCAACGTGTTCGACGCACGCTCTCCGTCTCCGTGTCCAGCCCTCTCGAAACGTTGAACTGCTAGGGACTGTATCTCCTTCTTGGCTCTCGTCCTCAGCAGGCGTCTGATCTCTCCTCCCATTGGACGGTACCGTACGGATGCTGCAGTCGACTGCGTCGTCGCCTTCCTTCCCTGCCCATGCCGTTCCCGTCTAAACGCGGGCGTCAAACCAGACTGAACCACTTCCGCCTTCACCCACTTTGCGCACGGCCAGAAGCTCCCCCACCGTCGTTCCCCTCCCACCCCTCCTCCTCCGGTGCCGTATCCGTACGCAGAGACGCAGAGACGCAGAGACGCAAGACGCAGACGCAGACAGCAATCGAGGCAAGGTAGCTAGCTAGCTCTCTATTTGCCTACCTACCTCCAATCGACCCTTCGCTGCATACTACATCATCATCGACCTCAGCTTCCATCGGCCACGTCGTCGCTCTTTTTTTCTGTCTTTCTCTCTCTCGTCTAGCCTTTCCACCCTTCTCCCTAGGTTCTGTCCTTCCAACCTTCTTTCAACCGCCCCATCTCGGACATCTCTATCCGTAGCTTGCCGACAAACCCATACCAAGCTTCCAGGTGTCATCCACAAAGCCCAATTGATCGCTACAAGGCCGCGAGGTTACCGTTTAATCTTTCTCGTCCCCATCTTGTCCCCATTTATAGGGTGCGCAGCGACTCAGTCACCTCCGTGCCCCCTCGTACATCACCCATACCGAGTAACATATCCCACATCCCTTACCCAGCTGACCCTGTCGTCCCCGAGCCCCTCAGACGCTGACACAGACGCAGCAGCCGCTGTCGATCGAACCGACCGCCACTGCCACTGTCACTTCCGACTGGGAAGGAGTGAAGGCATCGAACGACTCAACATCCTACCTTGTCCGGCCTTGCGAGGCTTTCGAACCAGTTGTACGTTCTTCCCTTTCACGCTCCATTCCATCCGGCGCCCGCCCGCTCCCACACCCCCAGCTCTGCACTCGGCCATTTTCTTCTTTTCGTCCCTCTTCCTTTGTTTGTTGCGCCTGGCTGCACTCGCCTTTTTTTTCTTGGCCTAGCCAGCGTCAAGCAAATAGACGCTCCCGTTCCTCCCATTCTCCCGTCTGCGAGGATCCCATCGCCATCTACCTGACCTTGCCCTGCTACCGACTGACCGGTTGCTTGCATTTTGATATTACCCCTCGACACTTTTACATTTCCCCCCCAATTGCAAGAGCTTCCCGTCACCCTTTGACGCCCTTTCTCCCGTCCCTTCTTTTTCTCCCCTAGAGGCTACGTCAACCTGGCCCCATTGTTCCTGACGACAATAGGCGCGACTTTCCCACTGGATTTGCGGCAGCCAGAGGAGAAGCACAACTCAGCTTTCTCCACGCTCCTCTTTTTTGCTCAATTCGCTAATCACCTCACCCCCGAAAGAACTCTTGGCCCAACCGGGCTGTTCCTTGAACCGACGAATCACCTTGCGACCGCTCCTACCCCCCGTAACCCAACTGCAAACGTCGTGGGCCCCAACCTGCGCATATACGCAACCGTCATTTCCTCAAGGGGCACGCAGCCCTTCTCTCTTCCGACTTTAATATGCCTACCCTCGGCTTTCTCAAGAAAAAAAGGACGAGGGAGGGCAACCAGGACCCTCAAGGCGGATCCAGTCAACCCACCAGCCCGGTAACGCCTACCTCCTCGAAGCCCTTCGACAGCTCCATCTCGACCACCATTTCCTCACTGTCCTCTAGCCCTCAGCACGGGCTGAAGCAAAGCGACGACTCGGCCTCGTCCGAGGCGGCGAAGCAGCAGCAGCAGCAGCAGCAGCAGATGTATCCTGTCACTGTCCACCCACCCAGTCAGCCAGCAGCTCACCAACCGTACTACAATCAGCAAGCTGGGTCGCAACAGAATATCCCGAGTATCAACAACCTAATCAACCCCACGCAACAAGACGCTTCGAACAACGGCCACAACTACCTAGCGCAACCGTCTAAACCCTCCCAGCCGAACCCGAGCCCTGGAACCGACCCCGCGCTACTCCAACAACAGCAAGCCCAATCAATGCTACACCCGCCGTTGCAGCAACAACAGCAACAGCAACAGCAGCAGCAGCAGCAGTTCGGCATGCAACAACAAGCAGCGGACCAGCAGGTCCGTCAGACCAAGGGGAAATACACGTTGACCGACTTTGATATCCTGCGGACGCTAGGAACTGGTAGTTTTGGAAGAGTGCATCTGGTGCAGTCGAAGCACAACCAGCGCTTCTATGCCGTCAAGGTGCTGAAGAAGGCGCAGGTCGTCAAGATGAAGCAGGTTGAGCACACCAACGACGAGAGGAGGATGCTGGGCGAGGTCAAGCACCCATTCCTGATCACGCTATGGGGCACGTTCCAGGATTCCAAGAATCTGTACATGGTGATGGACTTTGTCGAAGGTGGTGAGCTGTTTTCGTTGCTGAGGAAATCTGGGGTACGTGCAGTTTTATGTGTCTCTCGCCCTCCCCCGTCGCCGTCCGAGCTGACCCGGCTTTCCCTACTTGTAGCGCTTCCCCAACCCTGTTGCGAAATTTTATGCCGCCGAAGTCACGTTAGCGCTCGAATACATGCATTCGAGAAACATCATCTACAGAGATCTCAAGCCCGAGAACCTGCTGCTCGACCGGCACGGGCACCTCAAGATAACAGATTTTGGTTTCGCCAAGCGCGTGCCGGACAAGACGTGGACGCTTTGCGGCACCCCTGACTACCTGGCGCCTGAGGTCGTTTCGAACAAGGGTTACAACAAATCCGTAGACTGGTAGGGTTTCCTTCGGCCGGGCCATGATGTGATGATATACCAGCAAATGTTGACCCCCTGCCGCAGGTGGTCTCTTGGGATCTTGATATACGAGATGCTGTGCGGGTACACGCCGTTTTGGGACAGCGGGTCGCCGATGAAGATCTACGAAAATATCCTCAAGGGCAAGGTGAAATACCCTGCCTACATCAATCCGGATGCGCAGGATCTGCTGGAGAAGCTGATCACGGCGGATCTCACCAAGCGGTTGGGTAACCTGTACGCCGGTCCAAACGACGTCAAGAACCACCCATGGTTCGCGGAGGTTACGTGGGACAGACTGGCCCGCAAGGACATCGATGCACCCTACACGCCCCCGGTCAAGGCTGGCGCGGGTGACGCGAGCCAGTTCGATAGATATCCAGAGGATCCCGAACGATACGGCTCATCCGGACATGACGAGTGGGTGTCCCCTGAATGGGTGATCCTGAGTGTAGCTGACGTGGCGATTCAGATACGGCCATCTATTCACCGACTTTTAGTTTTTCTCTCGAAAGAGATGTTGAGTTGCGACACAAGGGAGTGTATTTGCATGCTCCGGTCTGCGAGCAGTGTTTGAATAGTATAATGCGCTTGGCCGACCCCGGAGGTGTTGCCATTGGCGACTGCACTGCTTTGGGCGCCCGGCCGACGGTTTGGAAAAGGGTATGGAAGGCAATGACGGGGGTCGTTGGGCGATGGCTCGAACAGTCCTGGAAAGATGGAAAGGTGCAATCAGAGCAGACTTTTTACCGTATTCCTTGGTTACATCAATACCTAACAACAATTATATTACCAAGTTACTGCCAGGCAAGCAAGTAGCAAGGGTGAGAATCGTGGCTTGAAGGGGTCGACACTGATTCATGGGTCTGCCAGGCGTGGAACTTGGCGGATGATGACCACGGCGATACAACAGAAAATGACGGGCCTCATCTGATATTTCACGGCATATATGGAGTGCATGGTGTGCGAATAATTCATTTTGATTTATATCCCAATGCTCTCGCTCGCTTCTCCTACCCGAGATGAATTCAATCGGTCGGTCCCTTCAGCCATTGGTGTTGACCATTACGCTGCCCCCACGTGGGTGAGCTAAGAGTTCGAACAAGCTCCAGAAGGCTCTCCCCCCCTCCTTATCCGAGCCTATCAATGCACAAAGAAATAGTGGTTCGTTCTGGCGGTGACAGGGCATAGTGCGGGGATTATTGGCTAGGGCGGCGGAACGACGGTCTTGACTCCTCTTTACTGTATGAGATCTAACTCTAGGCGGGCCTCCCAGGACCTTCAAGCTTTCTGGTCGCTCGGTAGGCGATATGAGAGCCCGCTTGAGAAAACCCGCCCCCTGCTTAGGCTCGGTCAGACCAAAAAGGCACGCTGTAACAAGGTGAAGATGGGGCCCCAGTTGACAACGAGCGGTTTCATTGTGTATGGAGGTCTTGGCCAATTGCACCTCGGCTGGATTTGCAGGTTGCATGATCCATCCAGTCGAATAGGCCGTGACTGGGCCCTAGGCCCCGGCATGGCCCGCTGCATTCGGAGCAGACATGGTGCAAAGTCACGGGGCTGGGCAGCTTATGAAAGGAGCCCGTCTGGGGCCATGAAGTCGGCCTGCAGGAACCTCCGAAACTCTGCTTTCCCTTCTCTTCTCCTTGCCGGTATAGCCTTGTAATTGTTGCTGTTGTTCTCCCTCTCCCGAAGTCGAGTCCGAAGTCGAGTCCGAAGTCGAGGAACAGTTTCATGTTGCGTTCCCCCCCCCGGCCATTGACACACTGTTTGTTCGATCGATAATAGCCCACGATGGACGACTACATGTTCCGCGAGCATGTCAGCAAGTGCCGCCAAGTCTCGGAGGCGACGCACTATATTGAGATTCTCAACTATTCTGTGAGTTTTCAAGGAGCCACACACCTCTCACTCAGCCCTGCGCAAGGGGCGGGACGGAATGGATGGGCGGACGGGTCCCAGGCGCGGGAGCGCGGTCTCATTGAACCCAGACTAAACCCAATTGACTTTCAGGACCATTTCTACAATTCGTGCGAGGAGCACCCCCTGACCATGGATGAGTTTGACAACTTCCTCTACCGACGGGTAAGTACCATGGCCTGTGTGACAAACGACACGGCCAAGGCGTTCCGTTGGAGGCTCACGATGAGAATTGGGTTGGCTAACCACCCCCGATTCGTCCAGGGCGCGTTCGAGCCAGCAAAGGTCAAGGAGGGCGTCAAACTGCTTAACGGCATCCGATTAGTGTGCGTAAACTCTCATGGGAGAGAGAAAAAGCCACTTTTGTTATGAGAGCTGATCAACTGACACATCGACAGACTCCAAAAGAACGCCAAGCACAAGGATACATTCGCTCCGCACACAATCTCCTTCACGCCAGATGCCTACGAGTCCATGGTCCGCGTCATGCGGCTGCCCTTCAGAGCCATCGAGGGCACCAGCGTCGTAGGGCCGTTTTTCTGGTGCGCCTACGACCAGGATGACGATGATCCCACTCTCCGTCAGTGTTGCCTGTGCCTTGGCCCAATGACTTGCAAATACTGACCAACGGTCGCAGAAATCATCTTCCGCAAGTCCGACGTCCGCAAAAAGGGCAAGACGCGCGGGTGGGAGATCATGCTCTCGCACTGCTTCAGCACCGGCATCACGTCAGGCTTCGTCAAGGGCACGCCGAGCTCCGACATCGTGAGCGCGATTCAGCACCTGACGTTCTGCGCGCGGCAGGTGGGCCACCCGATGCTACTGCCCATCATCATCCTCTCGCACGACCTGTCGTCGCAGAACGACCAGAAGCAGCGCGACGCGCGCGACTGGTTGCGCAAGCTCGAGCACGCCGTCAGCATGCGCAACGAGATCGAGGACGAGGAGGGCTACGTCAGCAAGGACGGGTACCTCGAGGTCGACGCCATCAGCCGCGACCTCGTCGAGTGCCACAGCCAGGTGCTATGGAAGCGGCCGCAGGCATATCTGGAGATTGTCAAGGAGATGGAGGCCGGGCTGGAGAAGTTCAAGAAAATGGTGCCCGCCGAGCACCTCCCGTCGGACCTGGACAAGCTGCACCGGAGCATGATTGCCAGGCTGGACTTCTACCGGCTGAAGCTCAAGGGTATCGAGAATTACCAGGCGACGACGTTGGAAAGGCTTCACATTCAGCGGAGCGCGGTATGTTTTTTTTGTTTTGTTTTTGTCTCAGGACGTCCCACCTGACTTGTGCGCGGGATGCTGACGGCCGAGGCCAGCTGTACAACCTACTCTCCCAGCGAGAGTCAAAGATTCAGTTCCAGATGGCCGGTGAGCAGCGCAGGCTGGCGCACGCTAGCAAGCGCGATAGCACGGCGATGAAGACCATCTCGCTGCTCGGTGCCGTGTTCCTGCCGGGAACATTCCTTGCGTCCGTCTTCAGCATGACTTTCTTCGACTTCGGAAGGGGTAAGTCCAAGCCCACTTGTGTCTTAATATCCGCAGCCCGGATACAAACCCCAGCGTTGCTGAGTACCTTGCCTAACCCTGAGGACAGATGCGGATCCGGTCATCTCCAAGGATCTCTGGGTGTACTTTGCCATCACGATACCGCTAACGATCGCCATCGTCGTTGGGTGGATCCTGTTCGATCGGCGGCGCGAGGGCAAGTTCGCCTCCGAGGACGCGGACCTGGAGAAGAACATTGAGCACATGGAGGCGGACATCATGGCCATGATGCGGAAGCGGACGATGAGCAAGGCCAACACATGGACATCGGTCACGTCGCCCATACGACCATGAACCCATTCCGTGGTTCAGGCGACGCGAGGGTTGTAAGAGACGAGTGCGACGGGGCGCGGAACACGCCCTGGTGTGAAAACAAACCCCCACGAGAGGTGCGGGGTTCTAACATTCTGATGAAGAAGGTGGGCAAATGGTGGGTGGATATGTACATAAGACCTATCGCTATCACGCCTTACGACCTGATGACATTTATGAGCTAGCTATATATATATGACAAACCAGCGACTTTTAATATTATTCCTTGGCATAAACGAAACGGTCTGCATGAGCGGGCCCCCCTCTCGTTCGCGGCTCGGGTCGAGTTGGCAGAAGAAGTCAGCCAGGATGAAGGTGATAACGAGCACAATTATGAGCCCCGTCCCACTTGAACCGGTGCGGGCCGCTTCTGGCTCTTGGACGTTCATGCTCATACTCATTACTCGGGGGGCGGTAAAGCAATAAATGACCAATGTGTTAATTACCAGACTGCCAGGATATCAGAACAACTCAACCGCAGCCCGCGGGCTCGCAAATATGTTCGCTGCAGCCGCTTTCGGTTGCCAATGCAGAGGTAAGCGGTAGTAAAAGAGGGCTCGAAATGGATGATAGGTAGCAGGATATAAGAAACGGCACTAAAATGAGGGGTGAATGGTGGGGTGGGGGTTGGGTTTCTCGGTACAATGCTATCGATAAAAGAGAGCTGCTTTCCCAGGGGTTCGTCAGACGCCCCTAGGCTGGACTGGGCTTTCCTTACCGCCAGAACGAAGAAGACCCTGTGACGACATCCCACAGAATCGGTGGCAGACCCGGGGGCCGGGACAGCTCACACCGCACCCCCCCCGCTACTCTAGCTGGAAGCTGGAAGCTACCACCAAAGAGCCAAGTATGTATCGTACCAGCAGCCCCTGAAGCAACCACTCAGTGGCTTTTGTGCCCCCCCCTTGCCAAGCTGAAACTTACTGGATCGCCTGGTTTCCTTTTTTATTTTTGAACGAGAAGCTGCGGGCCAAAACAAGATTGTCTGCCCCTCCCTCTCTGCCTCTACCGAAGCTGTGGGAGCTTGGCGAACTGACGTACGGGGACATCCCGCCCACATATACCAGCTCGGGACAGCGAGCCGAGAGCATAGCACGCACACCTGTATAGCTCGAGCTACCTACCTACCTACGTTGGGCTTTACACTTCTAGTATCCCAAACCCACGCCACCAGCGCCCAGTGGCTGATCCGATACCAGCGTACGACACGCGGATCGTGTATCGTACTACGGCCTAGCTTGCATCAGCCGTCTTACCATTCTTGGTCCATCTTGTTTCCCTCCTTTTTCTAAGTCGAGTCAACTCTCAGTCGCTCCCGTCACACTCACTCGGCACTCGCAACCCTCACCACCTCATGACATCGGCATCGCCAACCATGGCAGACACAGCAACCCAGCCCGCGGCCGTCACGGCCAGCACCGACACAGTACCACCTCTACAGGCCCAGGCCGGCGGCGGCGCCAGCGAGTCGCAGCGCACCGTCAAGGCGTTCAACGACTCTGTCATCAAGTACCTAAACAGGATATTCAGCATCCACGCCGGCCAGACCGACCATAAGTGGCACAAGGAGCAAATCACCTCCTTCGTGAAGTCTGTCCAGGGCGAGGAGACGCCTGCTTGTCTCACGTCGGGAACCAATGCTGCTGCCAACGCCCCGGAGGAGCTTGACTTTCACGGCTTCCTCAGCTACATGGCCTCCTCGGCTTCAGCCGCCACTGCCCCGGCCCGGGAGCAGGACCTGACCTACCCGCTTTCGAGCTACTTCATCAGCTCCAGTCACAACACGTACCTCACGGGAAACCAGCTGTACAGTGATTCAAGCACCGACGCGTACAAGAACGTACTGCTTCGGGGGTGCAGGTGCATCGAGATCGACGTCTGGGACGGCGACGATTCGGATAATGAGGAAGGCACCTCCGTCAGCAGCAGTGACGAGGAGGTCGGCGCCGCCGCCGCCGTGGCGGATGCGCCGAAGCCTCAGAAGGAGAAGCGGAGCAAGCTCCAGATGCTCAAGGATAAGATGCCGGGGTCTCTGGCAAGCAAGCTGGAGAAGACGTCGCTGGGGAAGAAGATGGATGAGAAGATCGAAAAGTCCAACAGCCCGCCGGCAGAGACCGCCACGGCTCCGGCTCCGCCCGCGGCCGTGGGGCAACAGATAGCAGCGGCCGGCTCGGGGACGCTGCAGAAGACACCCTCACCGAGATACCACCCCATCGAGCCCCAGGTCTTCCACGGCTACACGCTCACCAAGGAGGTGCCCTTCCGGAGCGTCTGCGAGACGATCCGCGACTACGGCTTCGCGGCGGCCGACACGCCGCTCATCGTCAGCCTCGAGGTGCACTGCGGCGCCGAGCAGCAGGAGATCATGGTGCAGATCATGGAGGACACCTGGAAGGGCCTGCTGGTCCCGACACCCGACGTCGACGCCAAGGAGCTACCCCGCCCCGCGGACCTCCTGGGCAAAATCCTCGTCAAGGTAAAGTACGCCCCGCCGACTGACCCCGAGACGGACACGCCAGGCGACGGCGTCGAGGACGACAACGCGTCCCTGTCGCCGTCGCCGTCGCCGTCGCCGTCGCCGTCGCCGCCGGCGGACCCGACGAATAAGAAGCCCGCGGCCGCCAAGAAAAAACCGAGCAAGATTATCCAGGCGCTCAGCAGGCTGGGCGTCTACACGCGCGGCGTGTCGTTCAAGTCGCTGACGCAGCCCGAGGCCACGATGCCGACGCATATCTTCTCTCTGTCGGAGAAGGGAGTCATGGAGGTGCACGGGAAGCAGGGGGCGGAGCTCTTCCACCACAATCGGCACTTCCTGATGCGCGCGTACCCGTCCGGCTTGCGGATCGGGAGCTCGAACCTCGACGCCCCCGTGTTCTGGCGTCGCGGCATCCAGATAGTGGCCCTGAACTGGCAAAACTGGGACGAGGGGATGATGCTCAACGAGGCCATGTTTGCTGGCACGCGCGGTTACGTCCTGAAGCCCGAGGGTATGTCCACTTGTGTTGCGGTTCACTTCCTTCATACGGAGACTACGAACGTTTTGTGCTGACTACTACCGAAAAGGATACCGCTGCCCCAAAGCAGGTTCGCCCCCCGATACGGCGCAGGGCGTCCCGCAGCTCGACTACAAGACGCTGGACCTCCAGATCGACATCCTGGCGGCGCAGAACCTACCACTCCCGCCCGGCGACACCAAGATCAAGGGGTTCAAGCCCTACGTCAAGGTGGAGATCCACGTCGAGTCGCCCGAGGAGCGGCTTCCCGGGGCGCACATCAAGGATGACGGCCGCGAGCGCGAGGGCGCGTACAAGGCCAAGACCAAGTCGAACCGCGGCGTCGACCCGGACTTTGAGAGCGAGGCCCTGCAGTTCACGGGCATCCCCGGGGTGGTGGAGGAGCTGACGTTTGTGCGGTTCACAGTTAGAGACGACGAGATCGGGCGCGACGACATGGCGGCGTGGGCGGCGGTACGGCTGGACCGGCTGCGGTCTGGGTACCGCTTCGTGCACCTCATGGACTGCGAGGGGCGGCTGACGGAGGGCGTCGTCTTGGTGAGGGTCACCAAGAAGTTGTCCTAGCTGTCGGGGTGGGTGGGTGTGTGGGTGCCTCCTCTTCTTTCCCCTACCTAGGTCGCGACGGGCAGTTTCAGGGGTCGAATTGTTTTCATAGCGCACAGCATTAAAAGCATCAGCTCTAGCAGCGTCACTCCTTACTTGGCACTTTTCTCTCATTAGGTGTGCGTGTGTGTGTGTGTGTGTGTGTGTGTGTGTGTGTGTTGTTCAATAATTATATTTTCATCCAGAGCTCGCTAGCAGACAACCAATACATCAATCACACATGGCTCATCGGACCGTCGACGACACACTGACCCCGGTCTGTTTCGCCTAGTAGTCGTTGCTGTTGCCGTAGCCAGCGTTCTCCCGCTTCGCCTGGCCCTTGGACTCGAGCTTGTCACTGCCCAGCAGGTCGCCAGCCTTCTCGAGCACCTTGCCGAACTTGCTGTCGCCCTTTCTGCTGCCGCCGCTGCCGCTGCCGTACGAGTTGTCGTCGGCGTTGCTGCTGCCGTAGGCGTCGTTGTCGCGGCGGGTGGAAGAGGAGCCGTACGAGTCCGAGTTGTCGTTTTCGCGGCGGGTGGTGGACGAGCCGTAGCTGGTGTCGTTTTCCCTGAGGGAAGAGCCGTAGCCCGTGGCGCCCGAGGAGCCATAGCTCTCCTCGTTGCCGCGGCGGGTGGTGGAGGAACCGTAGGTGTCGTCGTTGTCGCGACGAGTAGTGGACGAGCCGTAGCTGTCGGTGGTGTCGTTGTCGTAGGTACGGCCGCCGTTCTGCGAGGCGTTGTAGGAGAGGGAGTCGGCGCCGGCGAGGTTGGAAGAGGTGGAGGAATCGAAGGCGGATGAGCCCGTCTTGCGGGAGGAGCCGTACGAGTCCTCGTCGTCATTGCCCCGGCGGGTGGTAGAGGAACCATAGCTGTCCTCGTTGCCGCTGCGGCCTAGACCGGAGGAGCCGTACGAGTCGTTGTCGTCGCGGGTGGAGGAGCCGTAGCTGGTGTCGTTGTCACGACGACTGGTGGAGGAGCCGTACGAGTCCGAGGTGTTGTTGTCACGGCGGTTGGAAGAGCCGTAGCTATCCTCGTTGTCGTTGCGGGAGGAGCCGTAGCCCGTGGTGCCCGAGGTGCCGTAGCTGTCCTCGTTGTCCCTGCGGGAGGAACCGTAGCTGGACTGGAGGCGTGTTAGTCACCGGCTTCGAGATATAGGGGGGAGCAGGCAACAGGGGCATATCACTCACGTCGTTGTTGCCGCCGTAAGACATGTTTGCTAGGAGGATCTGTGGTTCGGGGTATGGTTGTGTGTAAGTGGACTCGGGAGGATGACAATGGTTACGATGATGAGAAAGAGGAGAAGATGAGGCGAGGCCAAGAGATCGTGGAACGAAGTCGAGGGGATTGATGGGTATTTAACAAAACGCGGACCTGTCATGCCACAATGCCAGTCTCACTCTCACATGCGTTGGGCCCTGCTTGCCTGAGAGTTACGCTCATCCTTCAAAGGCGCTTGACCCCCCCCCCCCCCCCCGATCGACAAGGAAGTAGCCCATCGAGAAGAAGGGCCGCATGCTAGCAAGATGCAGGTTTACGCCATGTCTGGAACCCCCTCCTTCCAACCCGTCGTCGGATTGGGGGTGGTAGATGACGGGCAGGGAAAGCTTGATGCGGTGGTCGCCGCGAACCGCGCTTCCCTTCATGGTACCGTGCCGAGCCACAAGCGAAAGGGTTCAAGGGGACCCTGATGATCCCCCGGGCGAAGACATGTGTGTGTGTGTGTGTGCGCGCGCGCTAATGGAAAGACGGCAACAACGACATTGGCCCGGCCTAATGCAGATTGACGCAAGGCAACAAGATTGCGTCCCGGCGACAGACAAGAAAAACAGGGCAATCTCTGGATGTCGGGAATGGAAAAGAGGCGGGTACACAGCATCGCCATAGCGAAACGGGCAATCCTCCGGTCCGCCGAAATGTCGTCATACCGGGTACGTCGTGCACGCCCCAAGATGGTGTCACCACATCGGTTGTCCCAGCATCTCGAATGCCTTGATTGCGTTGGCAGGAAGGCAGCAAGCTTGTGTATGTGTGAGTGTGGCACGCCATCGACCGGTTGTAGCGTACCAGTAGCGCATTTGTTCGTGCCAAAGAAAACCTGATTTGGTCCAATTTACGTTCCCTCGCGGGGGAGCTGGCGGATGGGACGAATCGGGCACGCTCCCTCCCTCTCCTTCCCCGGCGGCCACCTCTCGGATGGATGCGACGGAGAGCAGGAAAGCTACCACGGCTTCGGCGCCGACCCAATCCAGTGGTGGTACGGGAGATGGGTCGGCCTGGACACCGAACTGCTGCGGTCCCCCAGGTTACCTACCGGTCCAGAGGCGACCCACCAGCCCAGCTTGACAGGGGGTGCTTGCGCGCGCGCTTGAAGTGCCTTGGCAAGCTTCCAACAGCCATCACCAGAAGCTGTCAAACCGCACCTCCACGTGCGCAGACCGTCTCGACGACCCCGCATGGGAGCTCCGGCCTGGCAGAATTGCCCAACCAGGTGGAAGTACATTCCACCCGGTCAAGGAGCGTGGCTCTGGGAACAGGTGCGGGATGTGTAGTTGGAACTGTTGGGATCTCGATGCGGTGAGGCGCCGGACTGACATCTAATACCTCTTGATGGTTGCAGCTCCCCATGAGGGGGGGGGGGTGCCCCGGGTCTCTCCATATCGAGCACCGTTGGCCCGGGTTCTGCCATCGTATTCTCTCCCTCAAAGCTGCCGAGTCTGTACGGTGTAAGCTTCTTGGACAAGTGATACACTTGTGAGACCGCCGCTCTGCGAGAATCTGCTCCGAGGATATAACCCTCCCCTCGGATATTGCCGGACAGCAACTGCAACATGCACGCAGGTCTGTAAGTCAACACTCGCCGCTTGGTTCGGGCATTGTCGTGTTAGAGGGCGGGAAACAGTTGATACAGCACCAAACATTCCTCAACCCAATGCGTCGTCAAGGTTATCAACAGACAGAAGTGGCCTTAGGGCAGCCTCACTTCACTTCTCTATACGCCACTTTTTTTTTCTTTTCTTTTTTGGTATCTGTTCCATTAGCAACGGCGAAAAGCGGTGTGACGCGACATGAGACAGCACAGCAAAACCAGACGCAAGAGCAGAGTCGCCTTGCTCATGTAGACTCGCAACGTCGGCTGAGGTCTTGCTGCAGATATAGACGTGATCCCCCGGATTTGTCCGCAAATTAAGGAAACGGCTTCAGAGCTCGACGTTACGGCTCAGCGAGTACATGGACCACAGCTAATACGAACCTTATATCGTCTTGCGAAGTGGCCACGCCACTGCGAACCAGCTCAACCGGACCTCGCCGATGGAGACCGACGCATAAGGGGGGAACAGCGTAGAGCAATACGACTTTAGGCTCTCTTTTCCGAAGGACCAACGCATATATCTGTGTTGGAGTCTCTTGCCGTCTCTTGTCGCCTCTCAAGGCTGCACTGAACCCCCTTTCGTCCTCGCATACCGTGGAGTATATGAGTCAAAGACAATGACCGACGACGTAAGGTATGAAGCAGCCACTTTGCTCTAGCAACGCGATTCGGAAACCCTGGAGCTGGGAAACCGTCTTACATCATGCCGCGCGAGATTGGCCGAGAATGCATTGGCATTGGCTCGGGTCGGTTGAAGAACCAGAACGCCTCGTCTTTTCAGAGATCACACATGTACCACCCCACGGCGGAGTCAGGGGCGCGACTGTCATCACACCAAACCATGCTTCGTAGCGTTCCCCGTCCTATCCCACGGACAGCGTCAACGGTGCCCGACGGCAAATACACAAGTTCGCGCCGGTCAGTTTGTGCGACGAGGACGTCGCGAAGACAGTCGCTTTGCTGCTTTTTGTTCTTACGTAGCTGCAGTAGCCCGAGCCTGCTCATCGTGAGACCGCTACCCGTAATGAGGGCCAGGAGATGTTTTGTCCGAGCACGCATGTTGAGGCTAGCACGAGAATGCTTAGTTGTCTCTGCAGCATCTCACGATACATTGGACGCCAAGTTCCCCTCCCGTGTCTCTGGCGGGTGCAGCCTTACAGGCAAGGATGTGTTTGAAAGATTGCGCATGCCGCCCCAGGACGGCCATTGACTGCGTCTTGTCAAAACCGTTTCATTGCCAGTGTTTGTACCGCTATACTGGTACGAGTTGAATACACACAGCGTCCCGAAGCCTAGCCGTCAATCGACCCGATAAAATACCTTTGCTGTTAGGAAGCGTCTTCTTTTTATTATCCCTGTTTCAACTCAAACCGATAAACTAATCGCTGCACTGATGGGCTCAAATATGTGAGAAGTGACATCCCTTACACGCCGGGGTGACCTATCATAATCGCATGGTCATGGCCTCGCCGCTTGCCTCGGCGAATTGCAATAAACAAAACGTCTTTTCAGAATCTGGCTCCATCTCGATCGTTCAGCAGTTTTTTTTTAAAAAAAAAGAAAGAAAAAAAAAGTCATCAATAACCGGCCGGCTCAGGTTTGGCCGGGAAAGCGGAAGCGTTGGCATTCATGCGGCACTGGTCTCTCCAGCTGACAGGTGTGTATTTGTCGACGATGGACTTGAAGGCGGCCTAGTCACATGTCAATTGTGTCCCGTTTGGGTAGCGTAGCATAAGAGGTGAGGATTTACCAGAGTGCAGAAAGATTCGTCATTTTCAAGGTGGTTGCCAGGGGTTTTGCAACCGGGGATCGTCACTGGCGCGTCGTTGTACCGCAACCTCACATAGTACCCGTCCAGCTTGTCCTTTTCGGCATCGGTCAACTCGGGCATTGTCTTACGACCAATGCCAGGCGGCGCAGTTCCCGGCGACGGGGCGCTAGTCCGACCAAAAGAGAACCACGAGCTGAACCAGCTGCCGTTCTTGGGGGCCGGCGCAGCCGGTAGCTCGGTCGAGGTCCCCACCGCGGGAACCCGAGCATCACGGAACATCTCAACGGCGATGTGGCTCGTAAAGGGAGGCCACTGGTCTGGGCCAAAGGCTCCCAAGCTGGCCAGCACACCGGCCAGTGTCGTGTCATGACAACCGCTCATTCCAAACCGGATGGGTCTAGGGGCAGTGCCCGACTGCTTGATTTCGCACTCTCCGTCCGCCGGGGTGTGTTCCACGCTGCCAACCATGCGAGCCACAACATCGCCCATTAGGCCTCCTATACCGAGGGTGCGATATTCCTGACTCTCTGCGTATCCGCCATACCATTCTTCCACGCCAATCCTCTCGATTATAGAAATGGCCTTGGGATCGTAGAATTCAGAGGGCAGCTTCGTCTGGGGACCGTGCGCGCGGGTGGCGTTGATTGTGTCCATGATACCGCTTAACCGAGGCTTCGAGTCTACGGCGATGCGGGCTCCATTGGGCATCCACTTGCCGAACTTCTTGTTGAGATAATCCATTTCTGGAGTGTCGTTCCATCGCTCGGCAGCGCGCTGGGCAAAGGCACGCGAGAGGGCAGCAAAACGGCGGCAGTTGCCATCATTGGGAAACAATGTCTCGTCCTGAGGGGCTCGGGTGAGGATGGTGAGAGGAGGAAGGTTGGGTGCTCGGTGGGTCGCCGGGTACAGGCCAGATAAGGCCTGTTGAAGGGACTCGAGGGCCCGAGGAACCGGGGTGGATCGGAGGTAGAGAGAGTCGGCGCTGGCAAGGTCGGCGGGTAGGAAGCTCAGGCCATCGACGTAGAGACGGCGGAGACGGCGCCCAAGGTCGCGGGTGGTTTCCCGGCCGCGGTCCGTGAGCATGCCCATGTCACAGATGTCGTCAAGCTCGGCATTGGGGCCGGCAGCGATGATTGGACTGTCATCGTCGGAGGCAAAGGTTTCCAGACGGCGCTTCCAGTCGAGGTAGGAGTATTCGCCAGTGTCGGGATCAAGGACGGCGGATCGAAGGTGGCGGACGGCACGGCAGTAGGGCCAGTAGGGCGGGAGGCCGGTGTTCTGGAAACGAGGCGTGACGGGAGTTCGCTCGCCGTGGCGTAGGAGGATCTGCACGAGTTGTAGCTTGAGGTGTGGAGGGTAGAGCTGGCGCAACTCGGCGTCGGTGTAAGGTTGACGAGGTTCAAGGGTAGTCATAGCTTCGAAGGTTGTGTACGGCTCTCGGATGAATTGAGTTGGAGATCAGTGAGCGGGGGGGGAATGTGGTGTGAGACGAGGTCGGAGAATGCGCGAGAGGGAAGTATCGGGAAACAGGATGGCTCTTGGGACGAATACGACAAAGGAGGAGCTCAAGAGGTGTTGGCTGCTGCTGCCACTTCAGGAGTGCCAGGATGAGCTACTTGAAGGAGCTGGGGAGTTACGTTTGACACGGCAGGTGGTCTCGGCCAGAGACAGTACCTGTGCTACCTAACCTGGAGATATCTCAGGTACCTGGGGAAGCAGTGAGGGACGATATGTAGGTGGTGCAGGCACAGATTTCGTTTCGCGGGGGGGTGATGAGCAAGGGTTCAACGTTTGAAGGCCAAGCCAAGCAGTGGTGTAGAGGTACTGTTGTAGTCGCGCGATTGAGGCTTTGGTTTGGGCGGCTGGGCCCCTGCAATGACGACAATACGAAGTTGCGTTGGCGGGGCATAGGTAGAGATGTACATTGTACAGTGCAATTTGTGGAGGCGACAGGGTCTCTTATCGGGACAGCACCTCGCTCAACAGCTATCAGAAGCACTGAGAATGCACTAGTGTATCCGTACACTCTACTACTTTAGGTATGTACGGAGTATTAGTACGGATACTTGTACCTCTTTTGGAGACTGGCACTGACGGAGGCTTTAGAAGAAAAAAAGAAAAAAAAAAAGGAGAGAGAAAAAAAAGAGAAAGAAAAAAAAAGGTAAAAAGAGGGGAAAAAAAAGAAAAACGCAGTGGACCGTCCGTGAGCGGTATCCTGCGCGTATCGTATGTAGTGTCGGGAACGTGCCTCGCGCTGCCGGGCACGTTTGAATTGCTGTATCGGTCCAACAGGTCAGACAGACTCTGGAACCACAAGAGAACGTTCGAGCAGGGCCCAATCTGATCCTCAGAGCCTCAAGCCTCCCATCAGGCCATTCGCCCGAGCTTAAATCACTTTTGCCAGCTAACACCTAATATGGGCCATGGCGACCTTGGGATAAGCTTGCCAAATGCGCCGACGGTGCGCGACTGCACCGACCCATATCTATGCACTCTTGTTTGATCCAACCGGATCTCACCTTTCCTCTCGCCCACTCCATGTGATTGGCATGCCATACCGTATGTACCTGTAATTGCGTACCTCCGTTCTTGCGATCTACGCGATGCTACTCAGTTCAGTACACTACACTGCACTTACTAGATTGATTACGTCAACTCTTTTCTTTGGAGGGGTATCTCCATATCCCCACCTCAGCTGAGCGCATCGAAGCAAACCAAGAAAACCGACCAGCTCAGCTGAGCCGGGCCGATCGACATGGTCCATGCCGGATCATCGGGTGCCGTATGCCCGTAGCTGCCGGCCGGTGATGTACGGTGTACCGTGTAGGTACTGGGTCAATAGGGCTCTTTCCAATTGGTAGCTCAGACTACCTAAGTGGGTGTGGAGCTAGCCCTCGCTAGCACATGAAAAGTTCCCGGTGACTAACTGACGACCTGACTGACGTACCTATCCGCATGCCAAAAACATTCTAATGGGCACCTCTCAGCCAATGAATCGTTGCTCGAGTATGGGGGATCCTCCGTTGCGATTGGATCGGGCAAAAAAAAAAAAAAAGGCCCTCCTCTCTCACACTTCTTCCTTTGCCTTGTTTGCTTTGCTCTCCTCCACAGAACGGCGCTCGCTGCGCCGCGGTTTTTTATTTTATTTTTTGAGCCTCGCCTTGGCAAAAAAAAAAAAAAAAAAAAGGCCGGTCCCGCACGGCATGGCAATGTCGAGCGCGGGAGGACGACAAGCGGAAGGAACATCGCCGCATTCGACATTTGGCAGCAGCCTGAAAGCCCGAGCCATTTACTTTCGCAGTCCACTGTACAAGGTACGATGTACGACCGAGGAAGGGTGCCCCCTGCTCTCGGGCGAAGGAGGCGCAGCTCTGTGCACATCAGACTTCTGGCTCTCTACCGCCGTAGTCCCTACTCGGCGGGAAGACATCAGCAAGCTTCCCTTCCATGCTCCAGTCCTTATGTTGGTTATCCACTCTCTTGGATTGACGAGATTGGTACCTCGCCGTGAACACTTTTCTGTCATGGCACTTGCCCAAGTACGCACGCACGCACGCACGCACACGCCAGAGGTAGGAACAAGTGGGCACACGTGGATTAGCATATTGTACACGTCCATGCTATGCTGGCCTTACTACGTCGCAGCATACCTACGTAGGTAATAGGTACTATCCAACGGTCTTTTTCTCTTATTATCTGCCTGGTGCCTCCCTGCTCCCTGGCATCTTGGTCGTCACATCCAAATCCGCCTTTTCCTCCCTCTAGATCGGGACATTGTATTGAATCATCGGCCTCGCCTCATCACCTCAAAGCATCAATTAACCTAAGAGACACTACTCCCCCCCCCCCGACCTCAACAAACAGCTTCCTTCTTCTCCTCTACTTTACTGGGTCACATCCCCCTTGACCCAGCTTCCCCCCAGATTCTTCAGACCCCTTCTTTGATTACGCCTTCGGTTCCGGCCTCTTATTCAGGCCATTATTCCGCATTTGCCTCGGTGTGCTGGCCGGTGTCCACTATCGTGCCCCCCCCAAAGAGGATACGGAGCATGTGCCATTGAGCTAATCCCCGGAACTCCCGGCTGCCAATCGCGACCTTTATATATTTCACCTTGCAACCCAGCTTTTCGCATACTTCGGTACGTACGGCGCTCGGTTCACAATGGTTGCCATGTCTCAAAAAGAAGGCGTCGCCGTGAGACGGAGTTCGCCGCCGCCGACGACTCTGGAAATAATACCGTCCGAGGACCCAGTCTACGGTGACGATGACCAAGATGACGCCCAAACGGTTATGCAGCCCGCCCTGAACGTTGTTGCCGCCCGTCTTACTCTGCCACAAACGACTGCTGCCGAGAGAGCTGCTGCTCTGGAAAGAAAAAGATCTGCCGGTAACATTTTTGAATCTGGTCCCTCGAGTGGCGATGATTCTGCCAGCTCGCCAGAACTGACACCTTTCCCCGACGAGATCCCTACCAACTTTGAGACGGAGCCAGAACTGCGGATTACCCCAGCGCCACCTCGCAGAAGACAATCTCAAAAACTTCAGAAGCCGAGGCCTGTCCCAAGAGACTTGCCATCGCCCTGGCAATCGAGTCCGAGAAACGCCTTCTTCGGCGGCGGAGATGGCGGGCCGCCCAAGACCGCTCTCGAGTCTGCACCCGTCGGTCAGACAAGGCATAAGCGTTCTTCTTCCACCGGGGCCGACGCTCTCAAGAAGTTCTCCAATGCCTTCTCCTCCTTTCCCGCGCCATCTGCAATCTTCAACTCTTTGTCGTTTTTCACCGCGGCCGCAGAGAGAGCCGAGCCAAGGTCGCCAATGGACCCGCGGAGGGCAGCACAGTACCAAGGCGGGAGGTCGTTGATCAATTTGGCTCCTGTGTCCAGCGGTGCCAACGGCTTCCCTCGAGCGCAAACCATGGTCAAAGACGCGTCCGGGAACCGGCCCTCCATTTCTTCAGGAAGACATTCCACCACAAGACCTCGTGTACTAAGAAGGGTCACTTCGGATGACTCGCTCTTGTACCACTCTTTGTCCCGTACGTCTTCGATTGGTGATGACGATGGCAGATTTGATCATGTCAGGGAAATGGCAAATGTGAGAGTGAAGGCAATCAGAGACAGTCTGCCTGAGAGACCCACATTCAAGATGCCCAGTTTACCCAAGCTGGGTTCGTCACTGAAGCTGAACGAGGACGGAATGGGAAAAGCGGTTCCCGAAGCTCCCGCGCCAAAGGTTGATAACGATTCGTCTTCCACCCTGGACAGAGTTCTGGAGACTTTGACCGGAGACATAGTCATTCTCGGCGGATATCGAGGCTCGATCCTGCGATCGGCGGAGCCTCCCCATCACCAGCTATGGGCTCCTGTCAAGGTCGGACTCAACATGAGGAAAGTCGACCTGGAGGTAGGCCTGGATCCCGAAGACGAAGAAACGATGGAGAAGCGCATCATCCCGTCAGGCATGTTGCAGAACATCGGGCCCATTGACATCTCAAGGAAGTTGTTCAAGAAGATCGGTGCCTGCGAGAACGTTCGGAAAGGGAAGCTGCGTTTGTGGGATTACGGCTACGACTGGAGACTAAGCCCTCATTTACTGTCTCGAAAGATGATGGAGTTTTTGGAAAAGCTCCCGTCAAACCAACCGGGCTCCAAGGAGCCTAGAGGCGCACTGGTTCTGGCACACAGTCTCGGAGGCCTCATCACTCGCCACGTCGTCAACCAGAGGCCGGACCTTTTCTCTGGTGTGGTATACGTCGGCACCCCGCAACGGTGTATCAACATCCTGGGACCCCTGAGGGACGGCGATGCGGTTCTCTTGAACGAGAAGATCTTGACTGCGCAGGTTAACTTCTCACTCAGGACCACATTCGTCTTCCTTCCCGAGGACGGCTTCTGCTTCGTCAACAAAGACACGAAGGAGGAGTACAAGATCAATTTCCACGATGTCAATGACTGGATCAAATACCGCCTCACGCCCTGCATCGAGCCCCCCTTACCGCCACTGGCCCACAAGGAGAAATCGACAACTTTGGGGTCTCTTTTATCGGTCCGCAGTCGTAGCTCAAGCGAGAAGAAGCAGAACCACGTGCTTCCAACATCGCTCGCCGACGCAGCCCGCAAAGCAGAGCTGGCCCACGAAGGAAACATGAACCCGCAGATCGACGGCCACGTTCCTCGCAACCCGGCATCCAACAGCAAGCCGTCGCCGTTCACCAAAGGGTCACCTGCGACACTGACACCCGCCAAACGCGCCAGGAACCTCGCCTACCTCGAGCGCGTCCTGGCCGAAGTCAAGCAGTTCCGCGCCGAGACCCAGTTCAACCCAGCCCTCTCGGAAGCCAACGCCTACCCGCCTTTCGGCGTCATCTACGGCAAGGAGGTCCCCACTGTTCACTCCGTCAGGGTCGCGAGCCGCGAGGCCATTGCCCACCAGGGCGCTTACGACGATCTCGTCTTCCGCGCCGGTGACGGCGTGGTCCTCGCACGCGAGGCGCAACTGCCCGAGGGGTACGAGCTGGTGCGCGGCGGGCGTGTCAGCACCGAGCGCGGGCATTTGACCATGCTCGGTGACATGCCTGCCGTCGGCAGGGCGTTGGAGGCTGTTATTCGCGGCCGACGGAAGGGTATCGGCCTGGGAAACGCGATGAAAGCAAACAGCCGGGAGAGGAGTGTCGTTAGAGCCTAGAAGGTTTTCATCCGGTGGCTTAGGGCTTCGCCCAGCTGATCAGACGTAGCATCAACTTGTACAATGATAGACTGCAGCAGCGGAATTATGAGCATGGGTTTTTTGTTGAGGTCTCCTTTCAACCCCCGAAACTCGCAGCGGCCAACCTTTGGCGCCTCGTCGATGACCGTCACTGTCGCGACGGATGCTTCGATAAGAAGCCAGTGTTTCTCGCATCCTCTGATATAGACTGTGCTCGGGCGAAAACCTGTCCCTGCGGAAGCGCGATGACGATCACGCACATGAATGCCGCCGCCGGTCCCCGAAGCGCTTTGCTTGACTGGAGCAGGAGTAGCAGCATAGGCAGATAGATGTAGCATGCAGGAACACACATGCACGCATGCAGGGCCGAAGCGGATCTGGGCGGGAATCCCGATCGCAGTCGTCCGAGCCCGATTGTAGAATACCTAGACCGTGCCAAGATCAGAGAAAGAGAGAGAGAGCAGGATATAAAAATAAAAACGGGTGAACACCGAGTGAACGTTTAGGACGTACACGGGTGAAGATGTAACTCATATCGCAAGGTTTCTAACAACCATGCGTACAAAATTGTCCGTTTCTTCCGTACTTCGGTAACCAACGTTATGTTGCGTATAACGAGCTAGAGAGGGCATATTCATAATCCGCCATCCTTGTCCCCCCCCCCCCCCCCCCTGATAATGCCATGCAAGAACGCCGCCGTAAGCTCGTGCTGGTGATCAAGGCAAATCGTATAAAAGCCATTAGCTAATACTCAAAATCATCGTCCGCCGCGGGACCCTTGCTCTTGGCCACGCTCTCCTGCTTGCGATACATCTCGGCCACCTGGCGACTAGAGGTGGCCTCGTCGGGCTTCTTGTCGTCGCGCACCTTGATGAACCGTGGGAATCGCAGACTGATGCCCTTCTCGCCGCCCGGGTCGACACCTTCCTTGCACCCGGCTTTGTAGCGCGGGCTGAGCGTCAGATCTGCCGTCTTGACCTCCCAGACGTAACGCGGCTCGAACCACACGTCGGGCTGATGTTGCCCGCCCGAGGAGTGTGCGTAAAACGGTTTGGGCCGGTCAATGACTATGTCCGAGAGCTGCTTGTGCAGCTCCTCGAGAACAGCCTCAGAAAATCCCGTGCCAATGTTGCACACAGTTTCATATGATTCGGACGAAGGGTTGTAACACGCAAGCAGGAACGCGCCGTAGACGGATGTACGTTTGCCTTTGCCGTAGTATGCACCCAGCACAACAAGATCAAGCGAGTCGCCAATGCCGCTGAGGTAATCCTTTTTGATCTAGGGGGCATGCGGTCAGCACACGTGGAAATCATCGACACAAACTGCTCGTATGGGCGGGGTCAAAGCAGCTTACCTTGAGCCAGTTCCGACTTCTCTTGCTGGGCTCGTACCCGCTCTCTGTGCCGTCCAACATCTTGACCATCAGACCCTCGCAGGATGCCTTAACGCTCTCGTCAAGGAACACCTGAATCTGCTCCAGCTCCTGTCCGTTCATGTGCGTCGCGAAGGAGAACTCGCCCTCCACTGGTTCGAAAGCATTCTCAAGAAGCTCACGGCGTTCTCGAAGTGACTTCTCGACGATGGCCTGTCCGTTGAGGTAGAGCAGATCAAAGGCAAACACGCACACCTTGACCTTGACATCCTCAATCTTGACATCCTTCTTCTTGCGCGTCATCAATTGCTGGAAAGGCAAGACCTTCTTCTCGTCGACATCCCAGGCAACTGTCTCGCAATCCAGAACAAAGCTCCTTGTGTCTGCTTTGACCCAGGTGTGTAGCTTGGCGAGGATATCAGGGTATTTCTTGGAAAGGTCCTCGGAATTCCGAGAAAATATGGAAGCAACTCCATCTGCCGCAGACTTGGCAGCTCCCGGCAAAGATTGACTGATCTCCTCATCCGCAGACTTGGCTACGTAGTGGATCTGGGCTCTTTCACCATCGTACTTGTACTCACAGGTGAAGGTCTGGTTCTCGAAGCGGTCCAGCACCTCAGTAATGGCCTTTGTGGGCTTGGCCAACATTGGTTTAAGAGGCACCCCGGGCTTGAGCTTGCAATGCTCCCGGAGGTTCATGATACCGTGATTCACCATGGCGGGTATGATGACATCGTAGCTTGGGAGCTCACTACTCAGGATCAGCGCTGCACTAGGGCTTAAATAGAATGAAAGGACATACCTATACACCGTTTTGAGGATGGCCTCTGCCTGCTCCACGTCCGTGGTTTTGGGCACTTGACCCTTGGCGTCCGCCTCATGGAAAACCACAGCTTGAGCTAGAGAGACGAGGACAGTCCTCTCGGCCAAACCCAGCCGCAGCTTACCCTCGAGGAACCGGACGAGATATTTCGCTTCGCTGGGACCTCCCTTGTCCTTGCTGATGTCCACCTTTCCAGAGGAACGGGAATCGGCTGCCGACAGCAGCTTCTTGATGGCATCCACCTTGCGACCCTGAGCGCCGTTGCCGGAAACAGTGGCAATGCCCATTAGGCCATTATGCACACCCCTGATCGTAAGGGCTTTAGGCTTGAACATGGTGGGTTGTGTGGATCTACTCTTGACAGCGACAAGGCCGAGATCCCCGATCTCTTTCTGATCCTGCTTGATGACAGCAAGACTGCGACCCGTCGTCTCGCCAATGGCCTTCATGATGAGAGACTCGCCAATGCCTAGCTCAATACCGGCATAATCAGGAGCTAGTTTGTTGATCATGAGCAAGACGGTGGGGAGAAGATCATCAGGGGTCAGACGCAGAACTTGTCGAAGGAACAACGAGCAATGAGCCATGATCTCTAGTCGCTTGGTCGTAAGCTCAATGAGGGAGAAGGTGGTGCACAGCGCAGCGTATGGAACCGGTTCGCCTGGCTTCCAGTCAGGGTACGGGTCCTTGGTCTGCGTCTTAAGCTTCATCTGGACCACCTCCAGTGTCTTCTTCGACACTGCAGGCTTGGTATCCTCTTGGTCATCGTCGACCACGTCGTCTTCCGATGCAGACTCTGTTGCCTCCTCTTCTTCGTCCCTGACGCCCGGCACAGGCGAGGGAGACTTGGAGACCTTCTTCGAAGGAGACGCCTTGGGTGCGTCAGGTTTTGTCTTAGCAATCGTTTTAGATTTCAAAGGGCTGCTCTTTCTGGCCGTCGAAGCCTTGGGTGATGTTGTAGGTGACTTGACTGGAGCTTCGTCCATCGCTTCATCCTCGTCATCCTCAATAACACGCTTGCGAGTTCGCCGAGGTCTCTTGGTGGCAGGTTCGTCCTCATCGTCCTCCTCGACAACCTCATTCTTGACTTTCGGACCTGATGCCGTGACAGCGGGACTCGGGCTTCTTGTGCGTTTTCTAGGCTCTGCACAAGACCAGTCAGTGAGACGCTTCAAGTACTGAACAATATTCAGACATACTATTTGCGGCCTTTTCTTCCTTGACAGCTACTTCCGGAGTATCGACCTCCTTCTTAACCTCTTTCTTAACCTCCTTCTTAACCTCCTTCTTCGGTGCTGGCTTGGTGGCGAAGCTTAGTTTGCTCTGCTGCGGTTCGGGCTTGGACCCTTTCGCGCCGAAGAACTTGCTGTAGCAATTGTCAGCAGGAAATCTCACCTACCACGAAATAGCGAAGAAGACAAGGCTCCAAAGCATGCCTGATGGTCTGAGGAAATTGCCCTTGTACACACCCCAACGTCGTCTGCGAGGGCTTGACGTACCCTAATGTGGCCTGCTTCGGTGCCATTGTGACAATTGGTCGGATGTAAGGAGTTAAGAATCGAGTATCGATGCGAGAAGCGGCCCTGAGTGCGTTCCTGCGAGGAATTGAACTGCTTAAAAGGCGAGAGCAGGCCATGAAGGTTGTCGGGTGAATATGCGGATGCTTGGCGCGCCAGGCAGGCGCGTTGCCATTAATTGAACCCGCCGCGACGCGAGCGAGACCCACTTAAATTTAGGCAGGTAACTAACTAGGCAGTTATCTGATATGCACTAATTGGGGCTAATATGGAGTACTCGACATGGACGAAAATGTGGTGCACGACTAATTATCTACTGACATGTCGAATTGCACTTCACGCTCACTGAGCCAATTACACAAGTAGGAACAGACTTTGTTCAGCCAGGGGGATATCTGCAGATCCCGGCCATGTTTAGATTGTGACCACTTCACCCTCTCTAGCTAGTAGGTATTGTACAATAGGACAGAAAGGCTTAAGAGACAATTATTCGTCATCAGGAAGACATTTACTGGAAGTAGTAGGTCTCATCAGGGGTGCGGCCGCGGATGAACTGGGGCTCGGTGCCGGGAACGTAGATGTCCTCGTAGAGGATCTTGGGGGTGGTGTCGGGGACGGGCATAGCCTCGGCGGCGGCGACCTCCTCGTTGACGAAGCTGCGGGCCTCCTTGTCAATGGTCTTGAGCTCATCCTCAGTGACAACCCCCCAGTCCATGATCTTCTGCTTGAGTCCGGCAATGGGGTCGTTGGTGGAACGCATGCGCTGGATCTCCTCACGGGTACGGTAGGTGGTACCGGGGTCGGACATGGAGTGACCACCGTACCGGTAGGTGACGTACTCAAGGACGAGAGGTCCGTTCTCGGCAACAGTGTAGTCCTTTCCGTACTTGACGGCGGCCTTGACGGCGAGGACATCCATGCCGTTAACCTTCAGACCGGGAATGTACTGACCACGCTTGTAGTAGTCCGTCAGAGCAGAAGAGCGGGCGGCAGCTGTACCCATGCCGTACTTGTTGTCTGGCAGAACAATTAGCCTGACACATTAATTGACTTTCGGTAACCTCAAAACTTACTCTCGCATCCGAACAGAGCGGGCAGGTTCCAGAGCTTGGCCATGTTGAAAGCCTCAAAGACCTGACCCTGGTTGCTAGCGCCGTCACCGTACAAGATGACGGAGGCGTTCTTGCGGCCATTGTACTTGTGGGCAAAAGCGAGACCGGCGCCGACGGGCACCTGCGCACCGACGATACCGTTACCACCATAAAAGCCCTTGGCGAACATGTGCATGGAGCCTCCCTTGCCGTACGAGATACCCTCGCGACGACCGAGAAGCTCTCCGATGATGGAGCGAACGGTACCACCGCGCATGTAGGCGAAACCGTGGCAACGGTAGGCGGTGATCAGGTCGTCCTCGCGGTTGAGAGCGTGTTCAATACCAACGGCAACAGCCTCCTGACCGGTAGACAAGTGGCAGAAACCACGGATCTTCTTCTCCTTGTACAATCGGTCGGCAGCCATCTCAAGTTGTCTACGCGTGGTCAGTTATCGGATTCTCATTGCAATGTCCCTCCACAGAGAACATCTTGCCATACCTGACAACAACCATATCCTTGTACATCTGCTTTAGTTCCTTCTTCGTAACATCAAGAGTGTACGGCGGGGGGTCGAGCTGGTACGTCTCGAAGCTCTCATCGCTCAGGGTAATCTGGAAAGGCTCCTCATCGGACTAGAACAATGCACGTTAGCAATGCGCAATTGAAGTGTTTATCATGTCCGGGAGATCGTTGTTGTCGCAGCACCTCCGACGGTGGCGGCAGAAAAAAGAGCGCACACTGACCTGCGGGACTCCCTTCTCCAGGGTTGCCGAAGCAGCGTTGGTGGTGACAGACCGGGTCGAAGCAACAAGAGAGATGGGGGTGCGAGTGCGCAGAGGCACCGCTCGGTTTAACCTGATCGCGCGGGAGAACATCATGGGTGTGGTGGTGATGGAGCCTCCGGACGATGAGGGTGAGAAGGGTTCGGGGGAAGGAGGGTGATAACAAATTATTTGGTCGCTGGAGCTCCGAAAAATCGCGGCGTTGGTTGGGAAGGGAGCTGCTGCTTGTTGAAAACTACTAGTCCCAACATGGCTAGTATGCATTCACGTGACTCTGCCTCAACGGGATCTGGGTGGTGTGCGCTTTGGATTGTAGCGACATTGGCGGGCCCGACTTTCACCGGTCGGTCCTTTTTTTTCTGTCGGCGCCCCCCATTGAGTTGCGATTCAGTGGACTGGTAGAGCGACCTTCGGAGATAAACAACATGATCAAAGCAGACAATGACGGCCAATCGCCGCTTACACCCACAACCCGTACAGGGCAATAAAAACACATTGAGGTGTACGAAATCGGACTAGGCACCGTGCCTGCTGTTTATATGCTACCCCCGGCTGGCATTTCAGTCATGATCAAACCATCACTTGTCCTCACACTCCAGACCATCATACCCCATCACATCACCGCATTTGCATCGGTGATCTCGCGCATCCTGCTCATCAACAATTGCTTTGATGTGGTATACAGCTCACTAGACGCTACCACGGGGTATATTAAAAAGCGGCCGGGCCGACCGCATGCACGTAGTTGGGCAACGCTTACACCCTGAGCCCGTCGTGACCACCCGCCCCAGTTGCCGTACCGTGTAGACCCTCGAATCAAGCTTTCTTCCCAATGCTGTCAAATCCATGCTGGCCGCCCTTTCAAATGCATGCGATGCTTCCAGACCAACGCCAAAAGACGACGCCTCTGTCTCTGCGAGCACCCTCCATTTATGCTCGGTAGCGCCTCGAAGACGAACAAGCCATGCCAAGCAGCGACGGTCTCGTCAATAACCGTGGATGTAGCGCTTTGTGAACGCTCCGACAGCAAAATCGCGCATGGTGCAAATACACCCGAGGTCTGCTTCAGCGCGATGCTCACCGCCAGTCGAGCCCCAAGGTTATGCCTCCGTAGATCCCGGCTACGGGAGTTGTTCAGTCATCATGAAAAAACGTCTTGTTGCCGCCCTGGAGTGGAGCCGTGGATGGTCCAGCGTCTCCCATGTCCACATCCTGGCTTCCGGCGGCTTCTCGACTAGGACCTGCGACTGTCTGTTGGGGTTGTCTGTAATCGAGTTGCATGGCACTCATCGGCCGATTGGGTGCCTCTTGCAAGGCACGCTGTTGAAGAGAGAGCGGACGGTCGTAAAGAACCTCCTCGGGCGGGGAGAACGACCAAACCTAAGACGTAGGTGATTAGAATCAAAGCAGTCGTACTGAGTTACCGGGGTGAACTCTCTTACCTCCATTACTGTACGGTTTTGCCGCAAAGCTAGCGCTACGCACTTTTCGTCTTCAAAGGCCACCCTCCATACGGCCTCACCTTGAGCAATGAGCTCCCGAACAAGGTGGCCTGTCTTCAAGTCCCAGATCTTAACTCTACCGTCGCTGCCACCACTGACGACCCGCGTATCGTCGAATTGCAAGCTGGTCACGCTGTTATCGTGTGCAGCAAGTCGATGAATGGGGCACATCTTCTCCAGTGACCAGACTCGTACTGAACCATCCGAGCCGCCAGTCACGAGAGTATCTCCACGCATCTGCAGCTGCCCAACGAGGGACGTGTGGCCCTGAAGGATGGCCAAGCACTCACTGGACCAGATTAGCATACCGACGCTCACAAAAACACAATGTGAAGAGCACTTACGCTGTTCTGGGATCCCAGATTCGGACATTGGTATCCAGGCTGCCAGTCACCACCCTCTTACCGTCGAAGGCGATGGCATAAATCTGGCTAAAGTGGCCCTGAAGCGTCTGAATGCAGCGGCCCTCCGAAATGCTCCAAACCTTGGCCATAGTGTCGTAGCTGCCAGAGACGACGATGTCCCCTTTGATCTCAAGGCATCGGACGCTGGCACCGTGGCCAACAAGGACATTCCTGCATAACCCGGTCCGAATATCCCATACTCGAAGCGTCGTATCGCGCGAGCCCGATATCGCCGTGTTTGCGTCAGACATTTTCAAGCAGCGAACTGTTGAAGTGTGGCCACGAAGAGTATGAAGGCATGCACTATGCATGTTAGTATCTTCAGAATCGCACCGAAGTCATTGTTTGCTTACCCCGTGGCCAGATTCCACACTCGCACATCGCGATCGCATCCGCCACTGACCAAGATGTCATCCCAAGGGACCATCGCCCATACACCCATGACATGGCCCTGCAAAGTACGTTGCTGGTTGCCCTTTGTGTCGAATACGTGGATCTTGGCATTATCAAGAGCCACAATGATGTATTTGGGCGTCAGATGCAGGCTCGTGACAACACCTCCCTCTTGTGTGATGTTCCTGGTGGTGCTGGTGCCGCCAGATCTCCAAGCTGCCTCCACAAGATACCGTTGCTTGAAATGTGACTTGTAGGATCTCATCTTGGGACGCGCGTTTCCGGCACCATCCAGACTGCGAGACCCTGGAGCATGAGCCGTCATTGGCAGGGCTCCCGGGAAACTGTTGCTGGCGTAATCATCCCCCCATAGATGTTGTGTTCCAGGTCGCAATCCACTTCCCATCGACGTTGAGACCTCGGACAGACGCCTGCCGTAGTCATGCTTTACGCAGAGATTCTTCCATGTCATATCATCGCTCAACAGGTCTCGCCACCTTCTGGACACTTGCGAGGCACGGGCCAGCACCTTGGGATCGTCGATAAAGGAGAGGATCTAGTGCAAATTTGTCAGTACCGAATTGCCATGAGCTGGGGTTTGATAATCCAAAAATCTTACGCGTAGGCACAGCTCATCGGGAAGACTCGTGAACGGATCCTTCTTTAGTAGAGGGCTAACGAACTGATGGACGAAGCTCAGCTGTTGACTTGTGCAAAGATTCAATAGGTCGGCCAATAGACGGGTACGGTGAGGACCACCGGAGTTCTTGAAATGATGGCGGACTTTGGCCAGAAAGAAGTCCTCGTCATCGGCGGCATCGCTCCAGTCGAGCTGACGGTGTGAAGGACCGGGAGAGGCTGCTGGCGTGGGCGGAGGCGGCGGCGAGCCGGTCAACTGCTGATCGAAGTCTGCAGCAGGAGTAGACATGCTGGGGGTTGGTGGACCCCTCATATGTCCTGGTCTCTGGGGCATCTTCTCGAGCTTCGTGCTGCTAGAGGCTCCGCCGGTGTTGAGCGTCATGTCGTCGCTAAGCATGCTCCCTCTTCTTTCGGAGAAACTCAATGGTCTGTTGTTGTACCCGGCCATGTCGGGGTGTGACGAAGGACGATCGAACTTGGACGGCCTCGAGACCGTGATATCGTGGATATTTGGGATAGCGATCGCGAGTTCCTAGGCAATAGGGTGTGGCGGCAGGGGCTACCGGCGTGTTGAGACCAGTTCAGGTGTCTGAAGTCGCGACCGGGCCGTTCATTAAACAGCCAAGGTCAGGGGTCGACCCTTGAGAGACACGAAATTCCGTGAGGAAGCGCAACTGGAGGGGACTGCGATCTGAGGTGCCAACAATGTGCTATGGGTAGGAACTGAAAGGCCGGATGAAGTAGCGAAACGCGTCGGTCGTCGGGGAATGAGGCGACTACTTCAGGTTCAAGTAACTTGGATGACGACGATGACTCCGGCGAGGCGGTAACGGCGTGGTAGGAATGTTTCGCACGAAATACGACGGTGCGATGGAACGTCTCTCGTAGGAAAGGGGGCGACGCTGTTGATTGGAAAACGTGGAGTTGGTCGGTTCCTGGTTGAGGGCTGGGACGAGGAGAGTAGGTAGGAGGATACGGCGGTGCTGCAGGATGGTGTACCGTGGTATGGGGCCAGCGGGAAACGGGAAGCTTAACAATCGGAGGTGTTGAGCGGAAAGCGTGGGTCGTTTGGGCCTTGTAGTGTGGAATGCACAGGGCGAATCACAATGGAAAGTGGATTGTTCGGTGGTATCGGAAGATTTCGCTTGATTGACGCCCAAATGTCTTTCGCACCTCCCTGCAATTCACTGTCTCGCGTCGCTGGTGGTTGTCGTCGAAGGGCAGCGAGGAGAAGACAGTGTGTAGGGCGGATTTGGGAATTCGGGAGCAGTGAAGGAAGGAAGAGGGGTGGCAGACAGGCCAGGGCAAACGGGGTAAGGAATGGAAGTCACTGATGAGTCTCCTGGCGGGTATGGGAGTTTTGGGGTGGATTGGGTTGTAAGATAATGGGCCAGGGAAGGAAGGAAAGGGAATTGGCAAAGGACCAAGATCCAGGGGGACCAATGAGCAACAGCGTGAGAGTTAGAGTAGGTAGGTACAAGAGAGAGTCAAGTCGAGGCACAAAGACATACGGTGCCTGGTCATAGACGGGAAATAAACCAAGCAAAGCAGAGGCGGAGTCGGTGGGCGGCCCTTGTTTCCAGGGAAGAGAAAGGTGCAGGGTGAACGACGGGAAGGAGGGAGAGGAAGGGGAAGGGGGTGGGCGGACAAGACGAGACTGCACTAACTGCCTAGGAAGTGCGTCGAAGCAGGCCTGGGCTTCAGGCGAGTGGGCGGAGGATGGAACTGGGGGCAAGTGCCACACGGGTCACTATGCATACACTTTTCTTTGTCTCGGTGCCGAATTCTTTTACATTTCACAAGCACATCACGGATAGAGGCGAGGCGAGGCAAGGCGAGGCGAGGCGAGGAGAGGAGAGGAGATGAGCTACAGTAGGGTAACTAGGTAACTACCTAGAGGACAAGGGGGAAGAGGAACAGGCCGATGAAGGAGGCGAAAACTGGGGTCGATGCTATAGCGTTGTAGGTAAGAGCCCGTGACAGATAATTGATCTTAGCGCATATGGCAAAGCCTGGGCCGTCCGTACCTTCTAACCCACTCACTCCTCACTTTGTTCGGAGTACGTACCTCTTCAAGTACCTATCCTCGTACCTACTTCGGGGTTCCTGCAACAACACTCAACATGCGGCCTACAACCAGTCCGACACGGCAGCAGAAGAACTACCTAGAGAAGCAAACCGTCGTCTTAATTTGAAGCATACGGAGGCGTTACTACGCAATCCACACACCGCTTCCCACGCTTCCTAAGCCAACCATCCGTTAGCATCGCCTCCCCCGCGTCCCTGAAGATTACTCAGACACCGATAAAGAGGCTCAGACTTGTGATTCCCAAGCAAATCAGAATTTTATTCTGGGCCCCCTCATCTAGCACGGTTTCGTTGTTGATGAGACGCCTGCGCTACGGCACCTTTCACACCGTCCATCACAATGCTGGCATCTGCCGCTTTGGCCGACCTGACGATTTGGGTTCCCAATGCAAAGTATTGATTGACCAACACACTAATATCTCGAGGATGCGGGGACAGGGACCTCTTTTCTTCTATTGAACACTACGGAGTATACTCGGTACATGGAAAGGACGAGACTCGCATTCTAGTCAGCATTCGCCCCAAGCAAACCCCACCCGCCTTGATTTGTTCCTATTCGGCTGGGGGGACAACACGGAATAGCCCCCGTTTCTATGGCGGAACCATCATTGTATAAGAAGACAGTTGCCGTTTGGCTACCGAGAAAGGCATGGGTACCGTCTAAAGGGAAGTTGTCTCTCCAACACTGCAGCAGCGAGTCAACGCTGTTGTATGAACGCTGCATGCTTGTGAAAGTATCGGCACTGTTTGCCGACCCAAGTCAGGTAGTGAATGATGTGATCCGTCAACACTAGCCACAGCCGAGCTTGGTTGTCGCTCGCTCCCCTCGGTCCGACCATCCAACCATTCGCATGCAACGAGTAGAACTGATTCGAGTATTTCCATTCCCCAACCCCTGGGTCTATTGTATATATGATGCTAGCTATAAGAAGCTGGAAAGGGGTCTCACATTTTTGCTGTTGCTGCAATTATGAAGGGCATATATATCTATCTGTCTTCCGGGAGGGCCTGCAGGGTCCGAGTTAGTGGCGTTGATATTGCACTAGTGCTTGTTTTTTTGTTTTTTTGGTCCGCATTTTGGCGGCACCCCGTGAGTCTTCGTGACGTCGATCGATTCTTCAACGCAAAGTCGCTACCGAATCTGTATATTGACTCGAGGCAGACGTTTACTGAGCATTGATGTTTGTTTGACCTACGGTTCTGGCTTGTCCTAGGTTCATTTACAAACCTAGTCTGACCTCGTCAGCGTCTGCAATGCTGCCTCGACGTTTCTTCGAAGATGAATGATAACGATGAATAGCTGAGTTGTGGGGCTTGTTCTCATGCTTCAGTCCGTGGATGGGGAGGGGCACTCGGATGGCGCAATGGGGGAGTCTCCGCTTAGCTTCCCTCTTTCAACAATGCGCTAGTTCATGGCCATCGCGGTATCTGCGCCGAATGGGACCAAGCTGCATCCTTCCCCTGTCCTGGGGGACGGCCACAACCGCTCCCCTCGCCCTTTGAACCCGGGACTCAGCGCTATCGAAAACCCAAAGCGTCTACGGATACACTAACAACTATCGACAAGGTTCCAGCAAGGCACTGTGACGACGACATGATGATACAGTAGAATAAAACTGGGCGTTGCAGCAACAAAGGGTTTATTCCAGCCCATTTTGATGTTGTCGCGCGGCTGTAGGAGAGACTTTGGCTCCTTTATGATTGGCTGTCGATACAACCAAGCGCTGCACAGGCCGTCGCCGCACCTGAGGAGGTGGTCAAACTGATGTTTGCTCGTCAGCAAAATGCGCACGGCTCGCCGTTGGCTCACCAGCCAGAAATTTTGCCCAAGAGTCGTTCTTTTTTGGCGTCCACCATACACCGACCGGCAACTCTATTCGAACCGGATGCGGCGCACAGTGTTTGCGAGGGTTCAACGTCGGCGTGGCCCGAGTATATAGTCCAAGCCATGCGCCAAAATGGAGCATTCCCGAGCGGCCTTCGTCGCCCGGAGCTCACCACTATGCTCAATTATCAAAGCCAAGATCGATCCAGGCTCTTGGTTGGGTTATTGGAACACATGTGGCCAAGCCTGTATCGCCCTACGGTACGGGTATAGACCCGGCTGTAGTCAGCTGCAGTCGAACCCACAGTACCGCACGACTTGGGAGGCCTTCCAACGTTTTACTTTTTGCGGTCCTCCAATCGGTTTCGTTGATATCCCTGTTCATCAGATGTCAGAATACCTTGCACGCTTCGCACTCTGGGAACTGAAATGGGAGGAGAACAGGGAGCAGGAAACGGGAAGCAGATTTCCATACCGCCGTCCCGAGCCACTGTAACAACGGCCTCAGCTCACCACTTTGATTGACAAAAGGATTTCGACATGGGCACGAGAAAGAAACGCGATTGCCGTGAGTTCTAATGCGGTTGGCCGTATAGCAAGTAGCGTGGTCTCCATTCTCCTCAGCTGAACCCCCTCAGGGGGGATCTCTCACTTGCGACACTGGCGGCTTGGATGCCCCAGTGATACGGTACGGGGATATGATTTTATTTAGCACTCAGCCCGTTCTCGTATGGGTCAATACCCTCCCAAAACCTAGCATTCTTGCCCTCCCAGACCACGGGTTGGCCAGTGTTGGAGAAAGGGAGGGGGCAACAATGCTGCTATTCTTATGGGATGATCTATGCCTGAAGAAACGCGACATCTGCATGCCGTTCTGGCCGTTGCAGACTGAGATGGCCAAAGGCATGCACACACGTCAATTTCTACTGTGGAGAAGGATGTCTTGTAGATGTGTACCTCTGTCGATGCTGGTGCGACGGGTTGCTGACATATCTCACACCGACGGACTAAGTCAAAAAGAAACCCCCTCTTCACCCATCTGTCACCGAGGGCCACTGTGGCGTTTTCAACGCCGTGCGTTTATTTGACAAGCGAATGCGATCTGTCCACCCCTTCGTCTTTCTTCACCTTCAACACCCGTTGCAAGGAAGCGCCAGTAGTGGCCTCACCGGGCTTGCCAAGGGCGTCATACGAACTTGAAACATCCCGACTGCGAACCTAGCTCGGTTTTCTTCGACGCTCGGTCGCGGGCACCACCGGTTAACCCCTCCCTGACGCCCGACCCAGTCAGCCGCTGTTGTCCGCGAGCTCTTCTGTGCTTCTGTGCCGCAGTACCGTCCCTCCATCGGCGCAGAGCATATCACTTAGTCACCTGGGCCTGCTTTGGAATCACTAAGTTTGCTGCTTCTGGAACGGCCCATAGGGAAGCCTATTGCGTTTTGGCCGAGAGAAGGCACCGTAGCACCACAGCACACATCGAACCGAAACCACAAATTCTCAAAATATATCATCTGGACTTTGGGATCCAGGGAGAACCTAAATGGTGGGAGTCTATACAATCGTCATCGTCATGTGCCAGGAGAGCCTGGCTTCGTCCTAGTCTCGATATACTTGTACAAGGGACCCCAACACTTTCGTCGGAGCCTCGGGTTTTGATCTTTCAACCGCTTTTAGGCCCGAGCATCGTTCAATGGTGATGCCCAAACTGCGTGAGAAGGGGCAAGAGCATGCCGGCGACTGTCGCAAAGGTATCGCGCATCTGCGGCCGCTGCTGTGCTTTTGGGACGCCGCCTCCATCCGCATAGCCGTTGGTGCCGCCGTGTTCGTGCTTCGCAGAGCTGCCGTCTTCCTGCATCGCGTGCATCGCAACAAAACTTGCCGGTAGTTAGTAGTTGAACAGACTTGCGGGTTCCTTATTCGACTTACAGGAACGTTCCCGCGGAGAAGAGCAGAAGCATGCCGGTCCACCACTGGCCAGAGTCTCCCTCAAAGTTGCCGCCACCCAGGATTCTGATGACCGCCCATGTACTCAGAGCCCCAAAAGGCGCAGCAAGGCTGAAGACGATCAGGTGTCCTCGTGCCGTCCGCTTGGATAGGCCCTGCTTGAGGAGAACCGACGTCAGACCGAACGCTGCCGGTGCCTTGTGCACCATGATGGCAACAAAGATGATGAGACCCAGTTTTGTGTTGGATGTTGAGGTCGATGCTCCCATGGCGATGCCGTCCGCTGCTGCGTGGATAACCAAACCAATGGTTGTCGCGAGGCTCCGTGACTGCTTCGGTGGGGGTGCCAGGGGGCCGAGGAAGCCTTCCGTCTCCTCGTCGCCGATAGTGGATGGCCCCCCCAGATTGTCCAAGCTAACGTGGCGCATCTGCGGCTCAGACTGCATTCGATCCGTCGCGTGCCGCGGCAGCCTGTCGATCAAGAACATGAGGACGAAGCCGAGGACCATGGAGAGACCGATGTAGAATGTCGGCACCTCTTTGTGTCCCTCCTCGCTTTGGTGGGGTTCGGGGCCCGACGGAGGCTGCTGCTGCTGCTGGTCATGACCGTGGGTGCCGTGCTCCTCTCTACTGCGCAGCTTCTCAATGTGCTCGGTATCGCGGCCAAGGTTATGAAGCTCCTCCGCCAATCCCATGGACCTCGCGGCGGTTGCTAGTTGGGGGACATCGTCGCCTGCCGCCCACCTCACACCAAGCGTCCCTTGTTTGTCTGCTGGAGCCAACAAGTTCCTCTTGCTATGCGAGTGCCCGCCGGTCGTCGTGACAGCTTCAATGCCTTCGGGGATGATAACGATCATCGACGTGCCGACCAAGATGCCAACGCCCACACTGGATAGCAAACGGAGTTGCGACTGCGTGAGGGTTATGGCGAGGGGTAATGAGCCGGCGAAGAAAGACCTGGTTCGCGGGGCTCCTCGTCAGTATACGGATCGTTTAGAGAGTATAGGTGGCCATTTGCTTCTTCCCCGGGGTGTGGAAGCAAAATTGGGCCTTTTCGCACGAGGAGCAACCTACGCCAAGGCCATTACCGCCTGGTTTGTCGCAAAGGAACACGTTAGCTTTCCATTGTGCATAGGAGTCTACCATCCGGCCGGGGAACCCAAAGCTAAGAGGCAAAAAAAAAAAGGTACATACGCTCATCAAGAGCAGCAACATAAGCCCTCCCATTTTCCGGGTAAAGTGCCGACGACCGTGCAGGTAAGACGTGTAAAATCGGGGGGAGAGAGAGGATCTGTTGAGAGTTGTGGGATCACGCCAGCATGTCTGATAATAAGTAGTCGGCGAACGGCAATCGAGATGGCCAGCGAACGCAAAGCAAGGAAAAATGCTGAGCTCTTTCTTGACTTTCAGCTTGGGTGCACAGGGAGAATTCCATCAAAGGTTGGGGAGCTGGGCTGGCTCTCAAGCTGCACTGGGCACCAGCCATTGGCTTCCTTGCTTCTAACGTCTTGTCACCCCATGTCGTAATGGCTAGTGGATCCTCCCGCCGCTGTTGTTACCGAGAGCGATGGAGCTAACCCGCTCCTGTACTAGCGCCCCGAGTCGCTGACAGCCCATTAAGCCGATCCTCTTAACTGCATGAACCACTTAATCGCGTCTCTGTCGCGGTTCATTTGGCGCGCGTCACTCCTCCCCCAAGGCTTTGATCATTAAAAAAAAAAAAAAAAGAGGCTCTGTTCAGCTGGGAGCATCGACGTTGACAGCCTATCTGTATCGCATTTTTTCGAGACTTTATACAGCGTGGTTTGATCCTCAAGTCTTACTTCCCCCCCCCATCACCAAACCATCCCACGATCGCGATACAAGCCTGCAACTGCGACGCAGTTCTTTCTCTGCCTCCCGCATAAAATCTCCAGTACCAGCTCATACTTCTGTCGCCGCCATGGCCGAAACTGACGAGTGTACGTTTCCTACAGTCCTTGCTTCTTCATTGTTGCCTTAATAACTGACTGGGAGCTTAGGGTCGGCCAATGCCACCGAGTCCCTGAACATCAGCTTGGTCGCACCTGCTACCGGAGCTACCAAAACGATTGCGTCTTTCAATCCCAAGTTCACCTACTCCATCTTTGGCGACGATGAGCGCATTTTCGGTTACAAGGACCTCAGAATCGACCTACGCTATCGCACTTTTGACATGCGACCGAATGTCAAGGTGTCCTATGGCAAAAAGTTCCAGTCCGTCGGCGAGACCGAGGCCGCGGACGTCAATGCTACACTAAAGGAGCATCTGCCATTGGGTGAGTGATGCTGTCATCGCAAACAGTCAACATTACTGACACTGACGCCTTATAGTTGCCTTCGAGTCCGCACGCGAATTCAACACCGGCGCTCAGAGCCAGCCTGACGGCTGGACCCCTCCTGGCGCGTTCCATTCGAGCTACGAGGGCCATGATGGCACGTACGAGGTTTGGAAGGGCAGCCTTGCGGACCCCGCCGTTCGCCAGATTGTCACCCGCGTGGAGGCTCTTATCCCAATGTTTATTGAGGGGGGTTCATACATCTCCCGCGACGCAAACGACGAAGAAGACCCTTGGAAGGTTCCCGAGGACGCCAACCGTTGGACTGTATTCTTCCTTTATCGCAAACAGACGTCCCCAGAGGCGAGTGGCAGGCCCTCGTACACCTTCGTTGGCTATGCGACTGTCTACCGCTTCTTCTGCTTCCGCCCGCTTACCCCACCCTCGTCCGAGTGGGATCTGCCAAAAGAGGAGTTCAACCTGTTGGAGGAGTTGCCCTGCCGCTCACGGCTTTCTCAGTTCTTGATCCTGCCGCCCTTTCAGGGCAAGGGCATCGGTGCTCGTCTGTACAAGACCATTTTCGAGCACTATTACAACAACCCGCAGACGTTGGAGCTGACCGTGGAAGACCCCAACGAGGCCTTCGACGACATGCGCGACTTGGCGGACCTGACCTTCCTGCGATCGCTGCCGGAGTTTAGCAACGTCAAGATCAACACCAGCATCGCCCTTCCCAACCCCCCCAGCGGCACTGTCCCCAAGGACTTGGTGGACCAGGAGCTTCTCAGGAACCTCCGCCAGAAGACAAAGATCGTAGACCGTCAGTTTAAGCGCCTGATCGAGATGCAGACCATGTCGCAGCTGCCCGCATCCGTGAAGGTCGGATTCGGCGAGGAACAAAAGGCCAAGCCGACGAAGGAGGAGAAGCACCACTACCATCTGTGGCAGCTGTTCGTCAAACAGCGCCTGTACCGCCAGAACGCTGACGTTCTCGGCCAGCTGGATCAGTCCGAGCGTTCGGAGAAGCTCAACGAGGCCCTGAGCAGCGTCGAGCTCGAGTACGCCAGGCTTCTCGACTGGCACGCCCGGTGGGAAGAGCACGCCGCTGCCGCCTCTGCTGCCGCCGCAGAGAGCGGCGGTAGCAAGCGCAAGTCGGTAGACGACGCCGAGGACCAGGGCGCGAGCAAGAAGGTCCGAATTGAGGACGCCTAGCCTTGCTCTTGTCACTTACTTCGCGATGCAGGGACGGATCGTGATAAGGGAAGAGGGGGGGGGGGGGGGGGGGGGGTCGGGTTAAGGAGTTTACGGGCGGGGTCTTCAGGTCATATTTGTACTTCTACGCACCTTTGGCTACGGCCCGGTTGATACCACGTTGTCTCTCACAAGCAGGCCAAGCAGGGCCAACATATCAATAAATGGAAGGTGACTTTTTGCAAGGAAAAAAAATGAAGTTTTCCTGTAGGTTCAAGTCTATGATTTTTCACTTTTCAACGCCACCTCTAAATTGTTTTTGCTTAATTACATGCATCCATCCATCCGCAGACTCCAGTCCTGCACAGAAACAACTAACGATAATGACTTTTATTTTTCCCCTCTAAAACCAAACCACCCATGAACTCCCCCCCCGTTCTTTCTTTCTCGCCCCGTCCAACTCTTGTACTATTGTTCCGTCTCGCTCTTTACGCATTGACCTCGGCGAACCAGGTCCTCAGCAGGCCGGCCAGGGCGGTGGGCAGGTCCTCGAGGTTGTGCACGATGAGGTAGTACTGGAAGGGGAAGGTGTCGAGATACCTCTCGATGACGACGCGGCTGTTGCCGGTCTCGTCCTTGACGAACTTGGCCTCCTTGAGGTCCAGCACGCTGTCGCCCTTCTTGTTGCCCGTGTCGTCCATGACGATGAAGACGACCATGATGCGCTCCTCCATGGCCTCGCGGAGCAGGCGGCGGATGGGCCCGTGCTGCGACGACGGAGTCAGGCCGTCCGAGAGGATCAGGGCGAGCTGCCACAGGTCCTCGGCGCCGCGGGCCGGGCTCTGCAGGCGCGCGGCGCGGAAGTGGTCGATGGTGCGGCGCACCAGCAGCGCCATGTCGGTGCGGTCCTGCTGGAAGTTGAAGTGTTGCAGGACCTTGGCCCCGGCGTCGTGGGAGGCGAACGGCTCGGCAAAGTCGTGCGCCATGAAGGTGTCGGCGCCGAAGCCGAGGACGCCCACCTGGCCGACCTCGAGCATCGTCAGCGCGCGAGAGACCATGACGAGGGACTCGAGGGCGAGCGTGCCGGAGCTCGACTCGCCCATGCTGCGGGAGTCGTCGACGCAGAGGAGGATCTGGTAGCTGCGCTTCGTGGGGATGGCGCGCCGCATCCAGATCTTGTCGCGCTTGTAGCTCGAGGCGATGTAGGGGATGATCTTTTTGATGTTGAGGCGCTTGCCCGTGCGGTATGAGCCCGAGAGCTTGGTGGACTGGGAGGGGGTGAGGATGAGGCGGAGCTGGGAGGTGAGGGAGAGGGAGAGCGGGTGCGTCTTAGACTGGAACGCCGTCCAGGACTGCAGAGACTCGGAGAAGTCGCGGAGGGGCAGCTGTTCGTCGCTGATGTGCGTCGTAGAGAGCTGTGTAGAGGTTTCTTCAATGACCTGCTCCTCCTCGTCGGACTCATCTTCGGCTCGTTGGACCTCGTCCTCCGAGGGCGAGACTTCGCGGTTGAAGGCGCCCTGGCGTGTCTTGACACCCGACCGGCCGTCGTCCTTGTCGGCGCCAGTGTCCTTCTCCTGGGCGTCAGGGGCCTCCGTGGTGTCCATCGTGTCGGGATCTTGGCCCATCTCCACATCCTCATCGTCAGGCATGACGCGGCTCTGGGGATCTTCTTTCTCTTCGTCGATGGCCATCGACTCGTCGATAGGCTGCACCTGGTCTTCGGAGGCGTTGCCCATCGCTTGGGCATCTGCTGCAGTCTCGTCGTCCTGGAGGTGCTGGAACTCACGGGCACCGAGTTCCGCATCGACGTCCTGGGACTGCTTCTGCTCTCCCTCGTCCTGCTGCTTCTCGGGGTCCTTGATGTCGTTTTGCTGGCGGTGCCAACGCTCGAGGGCATCACCAAGCTTCTTGAAGGGATCCTGTCTGCTGTTCTCAGGCACGTCATCCTGGTCCTGGTCGGTGGGTTGCGCTTGGTCGTCGGATCGGGAAAGTTGGCCCTTCTTCCCGGCGCTGGTCTGCTGCTCCGCCGATCCGTCACCCGCGTCCCCGTCATCTCTCTGTGCGGCGTTGGTGTTGAAGTCGTTCTCAGCGTCCATATCCTCGGCGTCTTGATCTTGGCCGCCACCCTTGACATCGCTCGGCGCAGCGTTCGCGTCGGCGTTGGAGTCGTCCCGAGGGGGTTCCACGCGGTTGTCCGGCTCCTCGGGCTGATTGGGCTGTTCTTCCTCCTCTGCCTTGGGCTCCAAGTCGACCTTGGGCTCGCCCGCAACGTCATCCTCAGGAGACTCCTCCTCTTTTTCTTCCTCCCCGTCTTCTTCGGGGCCCTTCTCGTCCGGTCGCTGCGTCTCATCCTCTCCGTCCTCTACGTCGGACTCTTGCTGCTGTTGAGGTTCTTCCTTTTCGATGTCTGACAGTTTGTCCAGCTCATCGTCCTCGGAATCTACGTCCTCTCCCTCCTCGTCAAAGTTAAAGTCCATCTCCTCTGGCATCGCCAGGGCGTCATTCTCCTCCACGTTCTGATCTTGCTTGACCTGGTCGTCCTCAAACTTCGCGTCTTCTTGCTCCGGGCCGGGCTCTTCCTCCTCCATTTCCTCGTCTTCTTGGTCGACCTGCTGCTCATCATCCTCTGCCTTGTTATCTTCGGCATTGGCGTCAGCATCAGCGGCCATCTGCTCGTCCTTCTTCTGCCCCTTGGCCTTGTCGCCCTGCTGATCCTTTTCTGCCTCTTCGTTGTCTCCATCCCACATCTTTTCGTCAACGGCAGTGGGATCGAGGTCGTCGACATCGCCGACTTCTTCGTCCATCTCGTTCTCCTCCTTGCCATCTTCGCCTTCTCCGTCCGACTTCTCTTCTCCGTCTTCTCCACCGCCCACGCTCCCCATCTCTCCCTCGAGCTCCTCATCGGCCATGTCGACAGCATCTTTCTCGTCTTCCATCTCGCCGTCTTTTTCTTTGTTCGGCTCCTGGGCAAGTTCAGACAGGTCCTCATCAGGCTGGATATCTTTGCTGATATCCTCCGCTCCATCGCCATCACCCAGGCCGGTTCCGGACTCAAGTTTGCCGGATTCCCCAGACTCTTCGCCCTGCTTCTCTTGTGGGGAGCAGAAGCCCTTGGCAGCAAGCTGGACGAAAGTTTGCGCCAGATGGTAGGCCATGTGGCCGGTTGCAGCATGCAAACTATGGAGCTGAGAGAAGCTTTGGCGGCAGATGAGAGCATATTGCTGGAGTATAGGAAGGACAATGGAGAAGAGGGCTGAAGTGACCGCGCCCATGTTGGATTTTTCCAGGTCAACACTCTCCAAGGCGGAGAGGCACGCCTCGACCTTGCTCACAATCGCGCTGATATAGAGTGCGCCGAGACCGGAGCTGCGAACGGCAGAGGTCTTTGCGAGCCAGCCGGAATCTTCAGCTGAGCTGGGCAGGTCAGCCATAGCCTTCTTGTACTCTTGGACCGCGACAAGCACAGTGTCGCAAAGACTGGAGATCGAGTTCTTGAATTTCTGGGCGGTACCGTCAGAGCCGTGAGACTCGTCATCGCCCTGAGCGATCTCAATGCTGAACCAGCTTGTAATCTGCTTCAGAACGAAGTCAAGATCCGAGCGGCCAAGACCAGGGAGCAGAGTCTTGAAGTTATCCTCTGCAAGCAAGGAGCGCTTCTGCAGGGCCTCGTGCTCTTTGGTTTTGAATTTTTCGGGAATCGAAGCCAAAGAGGACCATTCCTTTGACAAAGCATCGACTTCCTGCAAGGTGTTCTGCAGGTGGCTCAACACGGGCTGGTTGTTGACGGACGCCAACTTGCCGTGGATTTCCACAATCTTGATTCCAAAGTCCAAGATTGGCTTCATCCAATTTACGGTGACGCTCGGCCGGCTGCCGTTCGTGTTGCGCCCGACAGCTGTACCGCTCAAGCTCTGGACTGAGGCAATGACTCGGTCAAGAGAGGCGATGGCATCACGAGTGGCAGACAGAGAGCTGTGCTGGCCCAGGATGACAGCCAACATGCCCTCCATAAAACCGGTGCTTCGAGACATCTCGGCACCGGTGAGTTCCTCCGAGTATTCGTGGATGGAGGCTCTCACCTTGGGCGCAATGTCAACTACCTTGTGGAAGTAGTACTCGGCGGCGTCATTGATGCTGTTCTCGACGTGAGAGGCGGGCATGCCTGCCAGGACGACCGCGAGGGATTCCTGCTTGGCCAGCTCCTCAGTTCCAAGGTTGTAACGAAAGCCCATCTGCCTCATCATCTTCAGAACGTCCGCAAAGAGCTTGCGCTTGCGCGTCTTGAGGTGCTTGACTTGGTCCTTGTTCTCATCGGTCAAGGTGCCGGGAGTCTCCTTGCGCAGTTCCGCGATGGAAGAGTTGACCTCTTCGACGTACGAGAGAATCTCCTGCGTGGCATCGAGAGAGCTCTGGTTTAACTTGGAAGCAACGTTGGCCATGATGGTAAGCGTCTTTGAGGAGTTCGACAGACGCTTGTGCTGAGCCAACCAGCCAGGCAAGCCCTTGTTGCATGCCGAGATGGCCGCGGGGTCCACCTTGAGATCGGCCTTGCCTTGGGTATTAGTATCCTGAGTGATGGGAACCTCTTCATCGGGTATGCCTTGTTCCAGGATGGGCTTCATCGGCTGACCGAGGACGGCGCGGAACTTCCGAACAAGTCTAAACAGTTTCAAATGAGACTTGCGAGCGCTCTCACGCAAAGCATTGATGTTGGTATCCTTCCAGCTGGCCAGCAGGACAACCTCCTTCATTGTCTTCTCGAACGGCGCTCTTCCCTTGGCAATTGCCTCCTTGACAACCTTCTCGAAGCGGGAGTGGAAGTCGATAAAGTTCAGTGCTGCGTCGGAGACGACAGTCAAAGAAGGGTAGTCGACGGTGAGAAGCTGCAGGTGCTTCTGCAACTGTCTCAACAGTCTGAGGCGTGCAGAGAACTGGCCGATGATTGCAGTGGAGAAATATGTCTCGAGCTCCCTCACCAGGTTCACAGCGTAGTCCTTCAGCTCGCTGGAGTCCACGAGGGA